AGTCGGGGCTGGGCCGGGAGTGGGCGACGAGAGGCACCCGGGCAGCCCCGTGTCGCGCACCGGGCGCGGGGCTCGGACGCGCAGCCCCGCACGGGCGCCGGGTTCAGTGCCGGGCGCTGCCCCGGCGTCCTGACGGGGGCATCTCCTTGCGGGGAGGACTGGAAACAGACGATGGAGCCCCGAGGCGGTGCGCGGGCCTCGCGGGGAAGCCCCTGTGTTTTCCACACCCTCGGGGCCGCCTCTGGGTCCCTCGCGTTTGTTCGAGAGCAGCCGCAGGTCCAGCTGCACACACCGAGTTGCAAGCCCCCCGACGTTGGTCGGGGTCGGCTGTGCCTAGGACAGTGGACGAAGGGAGGTGTTGGGGGGGGGGTCTTCTCTAGACGGAGCGCGGGGTGAACATGACAGGCGTGCCAACAGCCCCCCCACCGTGTTTGTGTAGGAGGGGACGCGTTTTCCGTGTGGGGTGCACGTCTGCGGGAAGCCGAGGAGAACTGGGCTGTGCGGACCCGTTTGATCAGAGTGTCTCAGTCTTCACAATAGGAAGTGGCCCCCAGCACCTGAAGTCCCAGTGCCAGCGGTGACATCATTCGAAAGCGTTTATGTCACCCACAGCAACTTTGTGGAGCTTTGCACGGTCCGCCTGGACGCAGGAGTAGTGCGTGCTCCGCGTGTCCTTGCAAACTGCCTTGGTCTCCAGTGGGACCCACGCGTGCGTTGCCATCAGCGGAGCAAGGCTGTGATGGAAGAGCAGCTGGGAAGTGGGGGTGGCCGGCGGAGGATGACCCTGGAGGTGGGCGGCGCTGGTCCCCGTTTGGGACTTGGTGCCAGCGCAGAGTGCAGCCCTGGAGTGGTCTCCAGTCTGCCCTTCCCTCTCTGACGCTAAGTTCTTTGAAATGCTTCCTTTCCTTAGCTGGGCCTTGACTGGGTGGGTGAGAGATGGGTTTGTAGGGGTTCATTCTGCCTGGTCCCTGGGGTCTCTGTGGCTGGCACGTGCCAGCCATGAGCCACCTGCAGCGTTGCCCCCTCGCTGACACCTGCTGCGGCAGACACCAGAGCCCAAGGTGAAGCTGCCGGTCCGTGCAGAACCCTCCTGCGTGCTGGCTGAACATCACTCCAACGAGCGTTTGCTAACAACTTTTGTTCTCTGCTGAGTTTCTGTGAGCAGCTCTGTATTATGCCAGGACCGTTAAGCACCTGTCAGTCAATGGGCCGTCACTCTCCAGGGCTGGTTTGATGGTATACAATGGATTTATTTCTGGTTATATTTTTAAAACAGCCAAAGTTCAGGAATTTGCCAGACACTGGGAAGCTATATAAGATCTAAGAGACCTAAGGAGGACTCTGAGCAGGTGCAGACTTGGACGGTGAAAGCTGGACTTGGGCTGCCGCTTTTCGGGTTCACTGAGAACCTGCGTGAAGTCGTTCCCGTGGTCCAGATCAGATTCCTTTCTCAGCTCTCTCGGATGAAGACAGCCCAGCACACTAAGGTTCCTCCCGGAGTCACCCAGGCGACCTTTTAGAGCAGGAATTGATGAAGCCCACTAGAGCCCCCACTGGTTTTTCTTCTCAGGCAGGCTCACTTTGTCTTGTACTGCCTTTCAAAGCCTGGAGCCCAGCAGCCTCTGAGATCTGGGGTCTTGGTGGACAAGAAAAGTGGCCCACGTGACAAAACAGCTGTGTGCGTGTGCTGGCGCCCCAGCGTGGCGGGTTGGCACGCTCCACCTGCACAGAAGGCACTTGAGTTCAAACCTCACTTGGACCTTGATGTTACCAAAGTGTTCAGAAGGAGGGAGGTGTAGGGTCACCGCCTGCAGTGCCAGAATCCAGCGTGGGCGCTGGTTCAAGTCCTGGCTATTCCACTAATGATCCAGCTCTCTACTGAGGCCTGGGAAAGCAGTAAAAGATGACCCAAGTCTTTGGGACCCTGCACCCACGTGGGAGACTCGGAAGAAGCTCCTGGCTCCTGGCTTCGAAATGGCGCAGCTCCGGCCAAGTGAGGAGTGAACCAGCTGATGGAAGACCTCTCTCTCTCTCTCTCTCTCTCTCTCTGCCTCTCCTTCTCTCTGTGTGTAACTCTGACTTTCAAATAAATAAATAAATCTTTAAAAAAAAAAAAAAAAAGAGGGAGGTATGGGGACGAGGACTGCCTGGAAAGCCCCTTTGGTGTTTTTTTTCTTTTTTTAAGATTTGTTTATTTATTTAAAAGGAAGAGTTACAGAAAGGCAGAGAAGAGAGAAAGAGGTCCTCCATCTACTGGTTCACTCCCCAGATGGCCACAACAGCCAGAGCTGTGCCAATCCAAAGCAAGGAGCTTCTTCCGGGTCTCCCACATGGGTGCAGGGGCCCGAGGACCTGGACCATCTTCCACTGCTTTCCCAGGCCACAGCAGAGAGCTGGATCGGAAGTGGAGCAGCCGGGACTTGAACCAGCACCCATATGGGATGCCAGCAGTGCAGGCAGTGGCTTTACCCATTACGCCACCACACCAGCCCCCTCTTTGGTTTTGAGAGTCATCTCTGTGCTAACCAGAATCTCTGTGATTGGTCACTTGTGTGCACACCTACTTCCTGCCCTGAAGCTGCTCCAGGTGTATCTGGTCAGCCAATTTGCTTGTGTTCAGTGGGACTTTTTGTTGTCTGGGGGTACAGTTATTTGTGGAATTCTGATTTCTTTCCCTAGTTTTGTATTTGCTGGACTATGAAAATCTTTTAGTCCGTTTCCCATTTGTTACTGTATGCTCTTTTGTTATTCTGATCTTTTTCCACATTTACCCTGCTTGAACCAGATTTTCCCATCCTAATATAAATTATTAACAAACCTGAGGCTCCTTCCTCTCCCTTCTGACCAGCAGCCATCAGAGGTAAGCCAGGATGGGTGGATATGAATATATGCAGGAGCTATGCAGAGGGAAGTAGTCAGATCTGGTCTGCTTTCTCCTGATGGTCCATTGCCTGCAGTACCGCCAGCTCACTGCACTCCATGGGGCTCTCCTAACACCACCTGGCCCAACAGTGTGCAGACTGGGATACGCAGCCAAACAAGGTTATGTCATATGTAGGATTTGTGTGTGCCGTAATGGCCATAAGTGCTCTGTTCCTAAAGGGGCAGCCTATCCACAAGCCTGTCCTTCATGGTGTCAGATAGCTAAAGTTGACACAACACCTGCAGTGTGTTGTCAAGGAATGAGGTGGACACCACTGTGGGGCTCTGATAGAGGAGAAAGCCTGACACCCAGAGGATCACCAAACCAGTGCACAGGCACATCTGCAGGCTCTGGAAGGGCCACGAGTTCCCCCACACTTGGTTCTCGCTGTGCAGCCTGGAGAGGCCGCAGTGCCCTCCAGCTGCACCCTTACGGCTGATGCAGGCCATGCTTGTAAAATTCGAGCCCAGTCAGCAGTGCTTAAAGGTGCTGTTTGTGCGAACTATCGTGCAGAGGACTTCACGAGTGCTTAAAGTTTGAAAATCAAAGTGCAGTAATGTTTGGAGACAAAGTAAATGGCATGTCTTGTTTTCGGTAGGATAAACTTTTTTTTTCTTTATCTTACTAGGGAGATATATGTCAGTGTTTAAAACAAGCCGTGTAGTGTAATAGGTGTAAAATAAATTCGTTAAAAGAGGAAAAAACACAAACCCTTCTGACGGAGGGTGGGTCAGCAGGGATTTGACTTGGAAGCTGTTCAGAGTGTGTCACCTTTCTTTTATATGGGATGTGGGTTTTTGTGTCTAAATTCCACGTCCTGTTGGAAATCTGGACATCTGGCCCAGCCTGACCTACAGAGGACCCATGGAGAAACGAAATCTGACTGTTTGGAATGAAGGCTGTCGTGGTGCGGGGAAGGGAAGAGCGGGAGTCGTTGGCATTTCTTGATGGCTGGAGGTTTTGTTCCTCCGCTTTGAAAGCCGTGGAGGGGGCAGGAGGGCCCTTCACCTCACCAAGCAACATCGGTATTTTTTAAGACATAGCTTAGAGGATTTTGCATTGTGTTCAGTCCAGGGGTTTGATTTTAATGATTTGCCAGAACATTCCTTTTAAAAAGAAAAGGAAAGGCTCCAAGTTGCCCCCACAGACCTTGTTGTGCAAAGACTGCTGAGAGCAGAGCAGGCCACTTCCCTCTGGGAATGCCTTCAGGTGCAGGTGGCTGTGCTGCCTTTCCTTCCAGTGCTTGCGACAGTTCTTGAAGTCCTTGCCTTTTCACTCTGTTCTTCTAACTCACCTTCCTTTCTGTGTGTGTGTGTGTGTGTGTGTGTGTATTCCCTTCTTGCTCTGGGTGGTTCCTCTCAAAAGCTCTCTTTTAAATTCTATCACTTAAAACATTGCAGAGGGGGCCAGCGCTGCGGCGCAGTGGATTAAGGCCCTGGCCTGAAGCGCTGGCAGCCCATATGGGCACCAGTTCGAGACCTGGCTGCTCCACTTCTGGCCTGGGAAAGCAGTTGAAGATGGCCCAAGTGCTTGGACCCCTGCACCTGTGTGGGAGACCCAGAAGAAGCTCCTGGCTCCTGGTTTCAGATCGGTGCAGCGGCGGCTCTTGCAGCCAACTGGGGAGTGAACCATCAGATGGAAGACCTCTCTCTCTCTCTCTCTCTCTGCCTCTCCTCTCTCTGTGTAACTCTGACTTTAAAATAAATAATAAATAAATCTTTTAAAAAATTGCAGAAACATGAAATATCTTTTTTTTTTTGAAGATTTATTTATTTATTTGGGATGGAGGTGGAGATAAGAGATCTTCAACCTACTGGATTATTGCCCATTGGGAGCCCGGAGCTCCATCAGGTCCCTATTTGGGTGGCAGGGCCCAAATATTTGGGCTGTCTTCTGCCCTCCCAGGTGCAGGAGCAGAATACTGATCGGAAGCGGAGCAGCCAGTACTGGAACAGCTCATCCATGTGGCACGTTGGCATTGCAGGAAGAATCTTAGCTCACTGCACCACAATGCCAACCCCATGAGGTATCTTTGTGTGTATTTTTTTCAGCTATACACACAGTGATTCAGAACAGAAGTGGTAAATTTTATTCATGAGTGTATATAGAACTTAGAACGAGACACCACTTTCTGGGGTTTGTTTGACCTGGCAGATAACACACCTTTGCCCCATATGGAAGTGCCTGGGTTTAATCCAGCTTCCTGCTGATGTGCACAGATAATCGGTTTTGTTTTTGTTTTTAAGATTTATTTATTTATTTGAAACAGCTACATAGAAGGAAAGTCAGAGGCAGAGAGAGATCTTCCAAGCACTGGTTCATTCCCCAAATGGCCAGGCTGGTCCAGGTCAAAGCCAGGAGCCAGGAGCTTCATCCCAGTCTCCCACATGGGTGCAGGGGCCCAAGGACTTGGGCCATTTTTCACTTCTTTCCCAGGTGCATTAACAGGAAGCTGGATTGGAAGTGGAGCAGCCAAGACTCGAACTGGCACCCATATTGGATGCCGGCGCTGCAGATGGTGGCTTTACCTACTGTGCCACAGCACCAGACCTGGTCAGGAAATGATTTAAGTGATTGGGTCCCTGCCACCCAAGTGGAAGGCCTGAATGGAGTAGCTGGCTCCAGTCCCTGGTAGGCCATTGCAGACATTTGGGAAGTGCATGAAGGGATGTGAGCTCTCTGTCTCTCTGCCTCTCAAATACTTTTAAACAAAACAAATCCACTTTCTCATGCAATTCATGTTTACTGTCCCATTGGCATTTCTTATTTCCCAGTGTACCCTTCGGTATGTTGTCTCAGGACAGGAATAGGAAGAACATCCAAAAACTGGGATGGACCCTGCTGTGATGAGGCGAGCTGAAGAGGTGGCCCTCGGGAGCAGGAGCGTGTGGAGGGTCAGCGGCTGTTGGCTAGTTTGTCCTCAGTGGTCTCTTTGCACACATGGTCCTAAGTTTTGGCTTATTTGGTATAATGCCACAAGATTGTGTTGAACATTTACTCTGTGCAGAACACTCCCAAATGCAACAGGAGATACAAATAAATCTCAGCCTGTGAAAAGTTCTGGTACATGGTAAGTGCATGTTGAGCATCCTTAACAAAAGTCTGAAATCTGAGCATTTTAGATTTCTGGATTATGCTCAACCAGTAAAGTCTATGCAGATAGTCCGAAATCCAAAACACTTCCCGTGCCAAGCATTTTGGGTAAGTGATGCTCATCCTGGAGTTCTATTAAGTGTCACAGAATTGCAGAAGAGAGGGGTAAGTGTGAAGAAGTTGTGTGGGAAGGAGGTTGGAGAGTCCCTAGCTAGAGAAACTTGGACTTGCTGGTCTTGAGGTGCTGTTGAAAGTGCCTGGGTGGGGTAATGATGCGACGAGTACAAATCAGAGAGATGAAGCTGGCAAAGTGTGCATGGAAAAGATACGGGAGGTCTGGAAATTGAGTAAGAGGCTTCCAGAAGTCCAAACAGTCAGGAGGACTTAACCTAAGGAGCATCGGGAAAGCAGCAGGCAGGGAAAGGCTGGAAGCTAGTGGGAGGCATTGAAAGAGAAGGGAGCAGCAGCCCGGGAGGCCAGGAGGAATCTGAGAGTGTGCGAGATGTAGGTGAGCCTGAGTTTGTCATGATGCAGTCAGGGTTATGGAGCATTTGACAGCCTAGGAAGAGATCAGGAAGACATCTCCCTGGGATACACACTGGCTGAGAGCAATTTGACAAATGATTAATTTTAAACTCTTTTTTAGTAGTTGTCCCACATTTTACTTTATCTACTCAAACACACTTTTGCGGGTAATGTCAGGTAAGAAAAACTATAATTAAAAGTATGACAAAAAAGAAAACACTAAGTGAACTGGCCACTGAAATTAGGTTGGTGACTAGGGACGGCGTCACTGGTCATTAGAGCTGGCCGGTACTTGAACACAGTGGCATCTGGTTACCCTTTGGAGGACCTGCACAGTGCCCATCTGTGTCAGCTTAGGAAGCATGAAGGTGGCTGGCAGGAAGCAAAATAAGAAACCAGAACCTCCACAGTAATGAACAGACAGCTAACCCTAACTGCTTACTATGTGATTAGCACTGTCCTATGAGCCGTCTATAAGCGTTAGCCGAATGCCCAAGACCACCCTAAAGTAGGCATGGTTATCATGGCTGCCTTACAGATGAGGAGACGGAGTGATTAGGTGCATTTGCTGGAGTGGCAGAGTGAAGAATTCAAACTGCAGCAGTCCAGGTCCGAAGCCCACAGTTTAACAACTGGTTCTTAGACATAGTTGCGCCCCATGATCCAAATATGGATCCCTGATTCCCACCCAAAAGCGATTGCATTAAAATATCTATTGGGTCCAGGCCTGAGTGTTGCTTTTTGTTGTTGTTTTAAGTATTTATTTATTTATTTGAAAGTCAGAGTTACACAGAGAGAAGGAGAAGCAGAGAGAGAGGTCTTCCATCTGATTGTTCACTCCCCAGTTCACCGCAACAGCTAGAGATGCACGAATCTGAAGCCAGGAGCCAGGAGCTTCTTCCGGGTCTCCCACTTGGGTGCAGGGGTCCAAGGACTTGGGCCATCTTCAACTGCTTTCCCAGGCCATAGCAGAGAGTTGGATGGGAAGTAGAGCAGCCGGGACTCAAACCAGTGCCCATATGGGATGCCGGCAATGCAGGCAGCAGCTCTACCCACTGTGCCACAGCACCAGCCCCTCACCTGGTATTTTAAAACTCCCAGCTAAAAAGTCAATTGCCTACTTAATAACAAAGTTATGTATATAAAGTGCTTAGGACAACCCCTGGGATGTAGTAAAGCTGTGGTTAGTACCGGCCGTTGTAATGACTGTTCAGGTTCAACATAGCCCAGCCATGTGAAAGTTACTCCAGGTAGCTTTAGCAACTATAGGGACTGTGCAGTGATCCAGGAAGTCACAGTGCTATGTATCTAAAAGGCCCTGGGGCACAGTCAAAGCAAGTTTGTAAAGTGCTCAGACTAAGATGGAATAAAAGGGAAGATCAAAGATGATGCCCAGATCTTGAGACCAAGTAACTTTCGAAGATTTATTTATCAGGGCTGGCGCTGTGGCATAGCTGGTAAAGCCGCTGCCTGCAGTGCTGACATCCCATATGGGCGCTGATTCGAGTCCTGGCTCCTCCCCTTCTGGTCCAGCTCTCTGCTATGACCTGGGAAAGCAGTTGAAGATGGCCCAAGACCTTGGGCCCTTGAACTAGTGTGTGAGACCCAGAAGGAGCTCCTGGTTCCTGGCTTCAGATTGGGGCAGCGCCAGCCATTGCTGCCATCTGGGGAGTGAACCAGCAGATGGAAGACCAACCGACCTCTCTCTCTCTCTCTCTCTCTCTCTCTCTGCCTGTACTTCTGCTTCTGTCTCTCTGTAACTCTGCCTTTCAGTAAATAAGTAAAACTTTAAAAAAAGAAAAAGATTTATTTATTTGAGAGGCAAAGTTAGAGGTAAAGACAGAGAGAAAGTCTTCTATATCCTGGATGGGCCAGGCTGAAGTCGGGAACCAGGAACTCTATCCAGGTCCCCCACATGCATGGCAGAGGCCCAAGTGCTTCCCAGGAGCTCTAGCAGGAGCTGGATTGGAAGTAAAGCAGGCAGGACTCAAACCAGCACTCATGTGGGATTCTGGCATCGCAGGCAGTGGCCCAACCCACTGTGCCACAACACTGGCCCCCAGAGGAGCACTTTTAAAGAAGTAGAATTAAGAGGGCCAGTGCTGTGGCACAGTGGGTTAACACCCTGGCCTGAAGCGCCGGCATCCCATATGGGCGCCAGTTCACATCCTGGCTGCTCTACTTCCCATCCAGCTCTCTGCTACGGCCTGGGAAAGCAGTAGAAGATGGCCCAAGTGCTTGGGCCCCTGCATCCATGTGGGAGACCCCGAAGAAGTTCCTGGCTCATGCCTTCAGATCAGTGCAGCTCCAGCCATTGCAGCCATCTGAGGAGTGAACCAGCAAATGGTAGACCTCTCTCTTTCTCTGCCTCTCCTCTCTCTGTGTAACTCTGACCTTCAAATAAATAAATAAATAAATAAATCTTTGGGAAAAAAAAGAAAGAAATAGAAGTAAGATTTTTTTTTAAAAACGTAGTTTAGTGGGTTTCTTGATAATTTTGAATGATTTATAGTGCTATAATTTACACACTGTAAAATTCACCCATTTCATGTAAGTCAGTCATTGTTTAGCTTTACTGAGGTGTATAATCATCATCACAACTGAATTTTAGCACATTCTCATCACCCTAAAAAGATCCCTCGTGCCTGTTTTCAGTTATTCCTTATTTCTATTACCAGCCTGTTCTGTTGGTTTTTTTGAAAATAATTATTTGATTTTCCTTTTGCAGGATGGCATAGTAAATCCAACAATAAGAAAAGATTTGAAAACTGTACCGAAATTCTACTGTTGTCCAATTGAAGGATGCCCCAGAGGCCCCGACAGACCATTTTCTCAATTTTCCCTTGTAAAACAGGTATTTTACTTAAATATACTTCTCTGAGGATGAAATGTGATCCAAACCTAGTGTGCATTCTAATTACTGAGCAGATGTAACCAGAGAACTGAGCAGAACGCTCTTTGGAGAGCAGATGGCCAGGCCTCTCCCAGCTGTTGACCATGGTGTGTGTATGGGTGTGATGCCAGTGGAGAGAAACAAGGCTTATTCTGGGGGAAAACGTCCAGAAGTGAGTTTGGAGAGGAAGAGACTTCAGACTTGGTCTAGTTCAACCAAGAATGAGAAAATGTGCTCCTGTGTGGATCTGTGAGCCTGTAGAGGTCACAGATGCAGGCACACAGGCGCTGTTCTCCCAGGAAGCACCTGTGCAGCCTCGGAGAACATCTGGAAGCTGCCTCCTAGGAGAGGGGAATTGAGACAGCAGGAAATTGGCTCTGAAATGCTGCCCCAGGGTCTCCTGGCACAGACAGATTCCTGCCCTGTAGCACTTACTTGTACATGAAAGGCTGCACGTCTGGCTGTGCGGATTGTTTCTAGAGCAGACGTCCCACTCTGCACCCAGCAGAGGCGGTAAGGAGAAGCAGCACGTGGTAACCGCAGCCCCTTCTCTGTTTTTCTAGCACTTTATGAAGATGCACGCTGAGAAGAAGCATAAATGCAGTAAGTGCAGCAATTCGTACGGTACCGAGTGGGACTTGAAAAGACACGCAGAGGACTGTGGGAAGACCTTCCAGTGTACCTGCGGCTGTCCCTACGCCAGTAGAACGGCACTGCAGTCCCACATCTACCGGACTGGCCACGAGATCCCTGCAGAACACAGGTGAAGGGGAGCGCGATGGTGGAACTAAGTCAAGTTCTGGGAAGAGTGCAGTGCAGTGTCCTGGAGAGCTGGCGGTGTGGGGAGAAAGCAGGATTAGGAAGAGAATTTGTGCAGACAGCGTCAGTACTGGGAAAGGACCCGTGTCTCGGCCTGGGCCCTTGACCTGGTTGTTCCCCTTTCTCCTTTTCAACCCCCCTTGAGGGTCCCAATTTCAATCTGAAAATAGCTATCAGAGGCATATCAAATTGCTGAAAAAATAAATTTTTTTTCATGAAACTGTATTTCACTTTAAAGGTCAGTTTATATTTGATATAATAGCCACCTGTTTTCAAAATGATAGAACTTACATTATATGTAATCCTTCAGCTTCCTTGCACTTGAAGACCTGAGTTGTAGTTCTCATGTTTAGAGTTTACTTTTTTAAAATAAGTGTGCTGCTTCCTCCCCTGTCTGTGTTGTTGAACGTCTGCCTAGCATAATTAGGCCCAGTTTTCTACATTGCAGAAGAAGCCTGCCTTCTCTGAGTTGACTCTGACCTCTGCTATAGTTGAGGGATGGGGGTTGGGAAGAAGTGAAGGTGCAGTGTCATCGTCAAAGACAGCTGCATTTTCAAATTGTTTTTCTCCTGCTCTGTCACTGTTTTCAGGGATCCACCTAGTAAGAAAAGGAAAATGGAAAACTGCTTACAAAACCAGAAGTTGTCCAATAAGACCATTGAATCGCTAGGCAACCAGCCAGCCCCCAGGCCAGCCCCTGAAGAACTCGAAACTTCAGAAACAAAGCTGGGAGCCTCTCTGGAAGACTCTTGTGGCTCTAACGCCAGAAAGCAGACGCTAACAGCACCTCCAAGATATCCTCAGAAGTTGCTGTTACCAAAGCCCAAAGTGGCTGTGGTTAAACTCCCTGTGATGCAGTTTTCTTCTGTGCCTGTCTTTGTGCCTACGGCCAACTCTTCGGCCCAGCCTGTGGTGTTAGGTGTAGATCAGGGCTCTGCTGCGGGGGCTGTGCACTTACTGCCCTTGTCAGTAGGAACCCTGATCCTCGGCCTAGATTCGGAGGCCTGCTCTCTTAAAGAGAGCCTCCCTCTCCCAAAAATCATAAGTCCTGTTGCTGTTGAGCCAGTTAGTACAGGTGTTCAAGTGAACTTGGGTAAAGGCCCATCCAGTGTTTTACAAGAACTGGGGAACACAGGTCAGAAGAACAGCCTGTCTTCAACCAATGTGCAGACAGACCTGTCGTACGCCTCACCGAGCGTTCTGCCTTCTGCACAGTGGGCTGGCCCCGACTGCGCTGTGTCCTCGTGTTCTCAGACTGACTTGTCATTTGATGCTCAAGTGTCCCTCCCCATCAGCGTTCACACGCAGACGTTCGTGCCCAGCTCTAAGGTAACTTCGTCGATAGCTGCCCAGACTGATGTGTTTCTAGATCCTTGCTTCCAGTCGGGTGGGGTCTCCAGAGAAACTCAAACCAGTGGGATGCCAGCTCCCACGGAGGACTGCGTGCAGATGGACCACACTGGGATGTGCGGGGGCATTTTTGAGAGTGTCCAGTCATCATACAGTGTCCCTACAGACAGTATGATAGAGACAGTAACTCATGGTTTGCTGCCACAGAATGACCCTAAGACTTTAAATCAAGATATTGAGAAATCGGCACCTATGTTAAACTTCAGCACTCAGAACAGTATGCTTCCTTCACAGAACATGACAGATAATCAGACCCAAACCATGGACTTACTAAGTGACTTAGAAAACATCTTGTCGAGTAATCTTCCTGGACAGACATTGGATAATCGTAGTCTTCTGCCTGACACGAATCCTGGGCCTGACACCCAGCTCCCCTCTGGCCCAACCCAGAACCCTGGAATAGATTTTGATATTGAAGAGTTCTTTTCAGCCTCAAATATCCAGACACAAACTGAAGAGAGTGAACTCAGCACCATGAACACTGAACCTGTCTTGGAATCACTGGACATAGAGACCCAAACTGACTTCTTCCTTGCCGACACCTCTGCCACGTCCTACGGGTGCAGGGCAAGTTCTCAGTTCCTAGGCCTTGAGATGTTTGACACACAGACACAGACAGACCTAAACTTCTTCTTGGACAGCAGCCCTCATCTGCCTCTGGGAAGCATTCTGAAACACTCCAGCTTCTCCATGAGTACTGACTCCTCTGACACGGAGACCCAGACCGAGGGAACCTGTGCCTCGAAGAACATACCTGCCCTGGAGAGCAAGGTTGAGCTGAACAGCACAGAGACACAGACCATGAGTTCTGGTTTTGAAGCCCTGGGGAGCTTGTTCTTCACCAGCAATGAAACTCAGACGGCAATGGACGACTTTCTTCTGGCTGACTTGGCCTGGAACACGATGGAGTCTCAGTTCAGCTCTGTGGAAACCCAGACATGTGCTGAACTGCACGCAGTCTCTGACTTCTAACGGTGGAGTCCACGTGTGGGACGGACGGCTTTTACCATTTCCCTCTGGGGTTAGAAAATGGGGAACAGGGACAACAGTGTTAACTCGATCAAGTGCAGGTGGCGATGCAGTTGCTTTGATTCTTTGTGTGCGGTTCTTTGCCTTTTGTATTTGTAAACATGAAAATTGTGTATAAATGTGAGTGTATTATAAAGTGTAAGATGTTTAGCTAAAAAGTCTGCTTTTGTGTTGCCTACATTTGCCCGTTCACAAATAGTCTTTCCATCTTTAGAAAGCAAAATGTGTTTCACACCTGTAAAACCTCTATGGCCATTATAGCTGAAGCCGAGCTTAGCAGGGACAAACTTCTCAAATCTTCAAACTCTTCCAGCCAAAGTGTAACGTACTTAAATTGCTCCTGAAATATTGTCGACGATGCCCCCGTGGCTTGTGACTCCTCTGCCTGCAGCACCCAGCTGCTTTGACATCTCATCTCTGATTGAAGACACCGAGGACGACTACAACCGCCATTCGCTTTTGAAACAGTAGTCAGCTGGTGCCATCCCTGTCCTACATGATAGCAACACAAGGGTACAGCATTTCCTGCACAAAACATTCATTGCTGTAAAATACTGTCTAGAGAAAGAGCAGCAAGCACTTCATATCAGTAGTGATCCTTCTCTAAGAGGTAACTCATCCAGACCTCGGGAACCTGGGATTGTGGTCATAACCCATTCATTCGTCCTGGGGTGTGCCCTGCTGTGCAAACAGTTTTCCTCTGTTCTCACACCACAGTCAGCACAGAGGGCTTCTGTGACCAAATGTACGAGTTCTTCTCCAGCAAGCCATCAGTCTGCAGCCAGCACCAGCTGGGAGTCCTCTAATTCAGTTCTAGTCTGACATTGTCTACTGGAGGCCGCCTCACCTCGTACGGGCTGAGGGCTCCATTCCACAAGACTGCCCCCCCCCCCCATTACTGATCTGGGCCTCCAGAGCTTCTGACCAACCTGCTTTGAATTAGGGTTCCCACAGCTCCCTCCTTGAATTTGGTTGATTTGGTGGAGCAGCTCACAGAACCCAGAGAAACGCCTGTACTGGCTTAATACAGAGGATGTTCTGAAAGATTCAGATGAAGAGAACTTTGGGCAAGGCATGGGAGACGGGCAGTTGAGCTGCCATTGCCTTTTCTAGGCACTTGGCTATCTGGAAGCTCTCTAATCCTTGTCCTTTGGGTTTTTGTGAAGACTTCATTCCATAGGCACAATGGATTAAAGCAGAAGCCATTGGCGATCAGCTGTACCCTCATCCCCTGCCCCCTCCCTGGCTGTTACAGCAGGTGGGGCTGCAAAGTCCCAAGCCTCTGATCTTGCCCTGGTCTTTGCTGAGACCAGCCCCCATCCTGAAGCTACCTGGGGGCTGCCAGCCACCAGTCTGCTCAGTATACAAGAAGACACATCCCTTTGGGAAGTCCAAGGATTTTAGGAGCTGTGTGCCAGGAAACCAAATACATCACACCACCACACCTGCGAACATCCTGTTCTCCACCATCGGCCAGCATAGAGCTTTGGAGCTGCTTCCCAAAGTGCACCCAGCGGGTGGATCAGAGTTCTGTCCCTTGGAAGAAATGTTAAAAAGGGAGAGAAAAAGCGAGAAGAGCAAAGGACAAACCCGCCCCCTCAGACTTCAGTAAGCTGTTAGGGCAAGAGTGCGATCTGCAATCATTTTAAAGTGTCTTTTCCTTCCATCCACCACTCCTTATCTCTTCCTTCAAGAAGGGAACACATTGGTCTAGCAAGGATATTATTTGTGCCTTGAGGCTGACAAAAACATATCTGCCTAAAATATGGTATTCTGCGTTTTGTTTATTTATTTTTTAAAGAAGAGTGATACCAAACTGTCTTCTCCAAAGAAAATACAGACACTAAAGATGTACTGGCTTCAAGAATCAAGCATTTTTCCTACGTTTTGAGACAGGAGCGTGCTGGGCGGGGGGTTGTCTGTGCTGTGAGGAGAGAACCTGAGTTCTTCATGTTCACCAACTTTCAGGCAGCCAAGACTTCGGCGCAGAGCCTCTGCGTTCTCCAGTTTACAACAGCAGCAACAACAAAAATACAAATGTTCTGCCCTTTTCTGTGGCACGGCCCTGTGCTACTAAGGGAATTAATGGTTCATGCATTTGATGGTGTCGCCCCATACATCAGATACAGAATTGTTGGTGATGGGTTAGTAACACCTCCTGGGCAGATGAACTCAACCTGATAGGTGCAAGTTTGCTTTGGTCACAGTTGCCTATGAATTTAAGTTTCAGAATATAAAGCCTTAACTTAGAATTTCATTATGTTTTAGAATCATCACTGCCTTAATGTCCAGACATCTGAAGTCCTCTGAGTGAAGGAGAAATGCATGTTTGTTTATGGCTTTTTGTAAATAAAAATGCAGTGATCTATCTGTGGCTTAAAAATGTTCTGTTTGTTAATTCAGCCAGTCTGCTATTTACAGAAAAATGGAGCATGTGATGGTCCTTCATGACAGGAGCTGAATTGTCCTGAGATTATTTGTAAAACCAGAAATTCAGTGATTAAAGAGAAGCTAGCATTCTGCCTTTCTTTTGTGTGTTCTTCGACCTACTCATAATGGGACATTTGTCGCCTCACTTCTCCACAAACCCATTGTCTTCTGGAGGCCACATGATGGAATAATTATGTCCAATTATTTTTGTTACCATTTTGTGAAAATACACTGAGTTTTCATGGAAAAGACAGTCACCAAGTTTCTATTTTGACAAAAAAACCTATATATTCCTTGAAATTATATTTTTTTGAAAATTTATTGAGAGTACATATTAAATGACTTTACTCCCATTCAAGAGTGGAAAAGCTATTATCTACCAAGGGCCACTTGGTGATTTTTAATAATTCATGGCTGACAAAATTATCAGTGTAAAAATTAGCCTGCTCTAGATGTATTGAATTTAGAGTCCTGCCTTCAACTGCCATGGCAGGGCCAGACTAAATGATTTTGGGGCTCTGTATGGCCCAAGGGTTGGCTGTTCCTCACCCTGGCTCCAATTCATGCATTCACCAAATGTGGCCATTTTTAGCGGTCTGCCTTTATTTTTGTAAATAATGTGGTTCTGGCTTAAGTGCAAAAGAAGGCTAGACTACAAGGGATGTTCAAAAAGCTTAATGGAAATGTGAGAAAAAATGATGCATGAGTTTCAAATTCTTTTGTGCCAGGGTGGGCGCTTGGTGCAGTGGTTGAGACACTACTTGCGATGCCTGGATTTGAATGCCATCTCTGCTGCTGATCCCAGCTCCCTGCTAACGCACACCCCTGGGAGGCAGCAGATGGCTCAAGTAGTCGGTCCCTACTACCCGTGTTAGAGACCCAGGCTGAGTCTAGGCTCCTGACTTCAGCCTAGCCCAGCTCTGGCTAAGGTGGGTGCGGGGCGGGGGGGGGGGGGGCTCCAATAGAAAAGGAAACAAAGTTGCTAAGCCTTCACTGGACAAGGCCGCTGAGCCTTTGCTCGAGTTTGCCGCACTTCCGCATCCCAGTGACTCAGCGTTTCCAACAATCCAAGATGGCCCCCGGGGGAGGTACCTAGCCTGACAGGAGACTTCCGTATTCGTGAACAGTATGTCCTCAGCTGCGATAGGCCCTTAAGGGCGTGCCCGGCTCATGGCCTGCCTTACCTTTCAGCTGGTTGGCTCGGTTCCCTTGTGCCCTGGACAGCCCCCTTTCTGTGTCTATAAAAGCTCTTCCCCTCCCAATAAAGTTGAGAACCCGGCTGCGCCCTGGGTGTTGACTTATCTCCTGGCTCTGGTGTGGTTCCTTTGCTGTCGACACTCATCATCCCGCTCGGCCCCTGAGCTCCCCAGGCCGGCCCTGAGGAGCTCTATTGGACCTGCTGCCCTGTGAACGAGCAGCAGGTGGGCATCTGGGGAGTGAACCAACAGATGGACAGTATCTCTTTGTCCTCTCTGCCTTCCAAATAAAATGAAAATAAGTGCATTTAAATTTTTTCACCAGAATAAACTCTTAATTCTGTATTTTCTAGAAACTTTTTGAAGTACTCTCATGTCAGCTGTTCTTTGCTCATTCACCTTCAGGAAAGCCAGATCCGTGTGTTTCTGATTCTCATAAGACCAAGGGGAAATTAATGAAAAATTGGGTAGGCTTACATCAGACACTGAAATTTGAAGATGCTTTTGATCTGAGGAAAATGAACTAGTGATATAGGCTCTTTTATTAATACTAGCAAATGATGACCTTATATTCTTGTTTAGTCCTGTAGGGCCTCGATTTTAGAATGTCTCGATTAATTCTACTCCAAACCTACTCATCAAACAGTGTTGTCTCATACAGACTCCGGAGAGCACTTTCTATCTGGTCCATCGGAAGTGATGCTTCTCAGACTTCCAGAGAAGAAGAACAAGTAATTTGGGGGAATTTAGGGATGAAGCTGGGACTTCTTTCTTCCTTATATCCCACAGTATTATCTGTGTGTTGTCATCAGAAGTGTGCTGACACCCACTGATGAGTGCGAACACTAGGAGAGGACAACATACACCTCCTTTCTACTCAACATCTAAGTGACTGAACTGCTCAGCTTTAATCCGGCGTCTTGAACAAGATACTGGCAAATAAAATGCTCTTAAAGCCAAAGAAGAAGCGTAGTTTTGTCATGCTTCAATCCAGGATGTTGTCTGAGATGTTGGAACTGTGTTTATTAGCAGATACATGTGTACAGTAGCTTACACATCGACAGAAGCAGACTGAGATCCTTGGGTTGTGGTTCTCAACAACCACATCAGTGCCACATTTAGAAGCAAGTGTGTGTGCACGGAACAAGGCCTAGGCTGTGTGAATGAATAAAAGCAGCCTTATTTATGTAACACTTAACTGAGACATGACCAATACTTACTCAATTCTTTCAATGACAGAAGAAAACATATATTGCCTTACTAACAAATAATGAAAAAAAATTGTAACTTTATTCTAAATCCACAAAACCCAAAAGGCAAATCTGTTGCCACGATCCTTCATTAAATGTAGGTACTGGGGCTGGTGCTGTAGCGCAGTAGGTTAATGCCCTGGCCTGAATAACTGGCATCCCATATGGCTGCCGGTTCTAGTCTTGGCTGCTCCTTTTCTGATCCAGCTCTCTGCTGTGGCCTGGAAATGCAGTAGAAGATGGTCCAAGTCCTTGGGCCCTGCACCCATGTGGGATACCCAGAGGAAGCTCCTGGCTCTTGACTTCAGATGGGCTCAGCTCTGGCCGTTGCAGCCATCTGGGAAGTGAACCAGCGGATGGAAGACCTCTCTCTCTCTCTACCTCTCTGTAACTCTGTATTTCAAATACATAAACTAAATCTTAAAAAAAAAATGTAGGGACTATGTAGCAAGTAAATATTACAGGACGTAAAGCTGTACAAAAGAAACCACAACAACAAAAAAAGTTTAAAAGTGATAACTTTTTAGTTTATCAGTGAAACAAATATTTCTGAAAATGGAAAAACTTGCTGAAAAAAATATCTCCATAGCAACTCTGTTACTCTCAGAAGTACATATATCACCTCTACACAAACCAACTCTTTTTTGCTTTTGGGCTAAAGGAGAGAGCTGTTCACCCGGATGTCTGCGTGAGACCCTGCTGCCAGCTCTGCATCTTCTCGCTGTGTCGCCCGAGTGCTCATGGTGATCCACGCTCTGTCCAGGTCCTGGGTGAAATATTTGGTTTTATGATTGCGTCCCAAACAAGCAGCTGCTTAGGACTGAATTTGAAATTGATCCCTGTCCTACTTTATCTTCTTCTTTTTCCAGTGCTGTAATGAGAAATTTAGTGACTTCAGAAAAGAGAGCTTATGTTACAATAGAAATTTGACAGGAGTCAGTGCCTCTGAGTTGATCTCACAAAAGGCTATTTTTAACCATCAAAACTCCCCTCAAGAATTTTTTCCTTATTTACTAAGTGGGGATGAGTGTTTTGCCTGGCACCTGATATCTGATTGCTTAGTCCATTGCCATGTCTCTGTCTCCTGACCCCAGGTCCTGGCTTTGACCTGGCCCAATCCTAGCCATCATGGACACATGAGAGGGGAGCCAGCTGGAGGGAACACATGTTGTCTGTCTCTAATTTAAAAAACAAAATTAAAAAAGCATACAAAAATCAATATTTTACATTACATTTTTGAGAAGCCATCCAAACTGACAAACTATGCTTTAGAAATATTATTTGGGCTCACAGAAATAATGTTTTTTCAGCTATATTTGAGAATTGAATGCTGTTAATGAATTACAAGCTAGTATTTTGTTTCTGTGCACCTTATCTGGTAAGATGTTGTATATCTTTAAACCATTTATATCACTGTTCTGTAACAAAATGTCTCTAAGTAGTAAAAACTGTTCAGGCTTAAAGCTGTTTAAATAGTTACCATATTGATGTGTCTCTCTGACATCTGCTTTCATGAAATTTACACTAGAGAAATCAGTCTGAAGATTTCAGTGAACAGCCAAAGACAGCCATGAACACTAACAGGGCCAAGTGGTTTTATCCCAAATTCAGCGTTAAGAGCACGTGCAGATTAAAACACAGAGAGGTTTCATGGAGATCAGTTCTGTGGTGCTGAAAAAGAGACCACAGTATGTTTCCAACTTCACTGTCCTCACGTTTTAACAGGAAGAGAAACTTCCATTTTAGAAGATGCATTTTAGAAGGGGGAGAAAGGTTCCTGGTTTAAGCTAAACAAAAGGGGTAGGGGGTGTGTGTCACTTTGATACATACACGTGAGGGGCAGATTTGCCAGTGGGTACAACGGTGAGCCAGCACAGTACTGGCTGTGTAGGCCAGTGAAAGAGAATTCTGGCATTAACTGCACACTAACAAAATTATCTTGAAAATCTTGCCAGAGCAACAACACTTACTCTTCTGAGGGAGGGATAAGGGATGCAACAGCTCTTGCTTGCACTGCTGTTAGGACAGAATGTCCCAGACAAAGGCAGGCTTGTGGTCACTTCTAAGGGGCATGCAGGCAGGTACCACCAAAAGACAAGATGGGACCAGAGCACAACAGAGCACACCGTAGGAAGCCCTACAACTCAAGAGGAGCTGTGCCTTCCGGGAGGAGGTGTGAGTTTCCTGCCTTCCCTTCCCATGTGTGTTGCGGGTTCTGCCTCCCCCTCTGAGTAAAGCTGTCAGAGAAGATGCCAACAAGGACCATCTGTCCTAGAATCAATGATTCCCTAAAGCAGTGGTTCTCAGGGCCAGCACTCTGGCGCAGCAGCTTAAAGCCTGGCTTGAAGCGCTGGCATCCTGTATGGGCGCCGGTTCTAGTCCCGGCTGCTCCTCTTCTGATCCAGAGCTCTGCTATGGCCTGGGAAAGCAGTAGAAGATGGTCCAAGTCCTTGGGCCCCTGCACCCACGTGGGAGACCCAGAAGAAGCTTCTGGCTCCAAGCTTCGGATTGGCACAGCTCCGGCTGTTGCGGCCATCTGGGAAGTGAACCAGTGGATGGAAGACCTCCCTCTATCGCTACCTCTCTCTGTAATTCTGTCTTTCAAATAAATAAAATAAATCTCTAGGCCGGCGCCGCGGCTCACTAGGCTAATCCTCCGCCTAGCGGCGCCGGCACACCGGGTTCTAGTCCCGGTCGGGGCGCCGGATTCTGTCCCGGTTGCCCCTCTTCCAGGCCAGCCCTCTGCTGTGGCCAGGGAGTGCAGTGGAGGATGGCCCAGGTGCTTGGGCCCTGCACCCCATGGGAGACCAGGAAAAGCACCTGGCTCCTGGCTCCTGCCATCGGATCAGCGCGGTGCGCCGGCCGCAGCGCGCCAACCGCGGCGGCCATTGGAGGGTGAACCAACGGCAAAGGAAGACCTTTCTCTCTGTCTCTCTCTCTCACTGTCCACTCTGCCTGTCAAAAAAATAAATAAATAAAATAAAATAAAATAAAATAAAATAAAATAAAATAAATCTCTAAAAAAAAATAAAAGCAGTGGTTCTCAATGGGGGCAATTTTGCCCTTGGGGGTCATGTGGCAGTATCTGGAGACGTGGGTTGTCAGAGCTGGGAGTGCTGCTGGCAGCTGGTGGGTGAAGCCCAGGAATGCTGCTCAATATCCCATAATACACAGGACAGCCCCCACCCCAGAGAATGACCCAGCCCAAACTGGCAATAGTGCCTTGGCTGAAAAGCCCTGCCGACAGATGGCTACAGGGTGGAGTGGAGCTCCAAGCACTGCTGCATGGGTAGTATCAAGCTGGGCCACTTGTTCCTCAAATGTAATTCTACATGTAAGAAATTATGTTGCTTAGAAAGTATGTGTAAGGGGGCTGGCGCTGTGGCTCACTTGGTTAATCCTCCACCTGCAGCGCCAGCATCCCATATGGGTGCCGGGTTCTAGTCCCGGTTGCTCCTTTCCCAGTCCAGCTCTCTGCTGTGGCCCAGGAAGGCAGTGGAGGATGGCTCAGGTGCTTGGGCCCCTGCACCCGTGTGGGAGACCAGGAGGAAGCACCTGGCTCCTGGCTTCGGATTGGCACAGCGCCAGCTGTGGCGGCCATTTGGGGAGTGAACCAACAGAAGGAAGACCTTTCTCTCTGTCTCTCTCTCTCACTGTCTATAACTCTGTCAAATTAAAAAAAAAAAAGTATGTGTAATGAGAAAATGTTGTGTCCTTGTTATCTTGGGTCAGAGATTTTAAAAGATCTCTTTTTAGGGTTTTTACTATCAGCAACTTCTGAAATGTATAATTTGAAATTCACTTTGTACTGCCAGTGACCAGAGCAAGGCTGATCAAAACTGGGACAGAAGGAACTGTTCACCGTTTGGAGTATCCAGTCACGTCTGCAGGCAAGTCAACGGTGCGACAGTGGCAGAATTGGGAAATACCCTGAGATAACCCCTCCTCCAGGGCAGAGGCAGCACAGCCCAGTGTCAAAGTGTGGGTGTGGCAAACAGCTACGTCTCCTAGCGGTTCTCAGCTCCCAGGAAATGGGAAGATGCTTCCACTTTTACTTAGTGCAGTGGATACTGGAGTTACCCTGAGACTGTTCACAGCTTTGCTCTGGGAGACTGAACTTGTAAAGTGAACTTCTTCCTGAAACACAAAATCAGCACAAGAGTCATGGTCTTTACCCCCATAGCGATGGTGTTTACAGTCGTGTAGTGGAAGTTCAGGCAAAGCAAGATGAGGCATTATTTTGAGGGCTGTTAAAGAACAAAGACGTGTTGAGTGTCCAAATGAGAGGATTCTGTATGATTTCTGAACAGTCAGTCATTAGAGGGCAGTTACCCAGCTATTTACATTGCATCAGCCCATTACGTGCAGGAAAGTCACGTTTCTGCTGGAGTTGAACATGCGTGAGCTGGGACTGTGCACTCCCACCTTACAGCAAGAACTCTGTCTGCTCTACACTACTGCACCAAGGTAGCACTGGACACAAGCGCAGACACCCCATGCAGCCCGCAGGCCCGTGGCTGTGCCTGCCCTGGCCGGCTGGGGATGTCCACAGTGAGAAGACTGGGGCTTCTGGACCCCAGCCCTAAAGCTCCTGAATTGGGAGGGAGGAAGTGAAAGCAAATTTGATTCGAATCATTTTGGTTCGAATCACTGTATAGCATGGTCTTTGAGGTACAGGCAAATTTCACAATAGAAGGCAGAGTGGAGAGTAAAATGAACAAAGCTGAACTAAATTTAAGGGTGGCCGACCAGAGTAGCCCAAGGTCTATGTGCTTGTCCAAACACAGCCAGGCCTTACTCTGATGTAAAGTCTTCCCTCTGGCCGGCGCCACGGCTCACTAGGCTAATCCTCTGCCTGTGGCACCGGCACCCCAGGTTCTAGTCCTGGTCAGGGTCAGGGCGCCAGATTCTGTCCTGGTTGCTCCTCTTCCAGTCCAGCTCTCTGCTGTGGCCCAGGAGTGCAGTGGAGGATGGCCCAAGTGCTTGGGCTCCTGCATCCACATGGGAGACTGGGAAGAAGCTCCGGGCTTCAGATCAGCGCAGCTCCGGCAGTTGCAGCCATTTGGGGAGTGAACCAATGGAAGGAAGACCTTTCTCTCTGTCTCTACCTCTCACTTCTGTAACTCTACCTCTCAAATAAATAAATAAAATCTTTAAAAAAAACATAGGCTGAAGACTGACATAGGGAGCTCTCCATGGTTGGAGTGAAGGGGGCTCGTGGTTGGCACAGTGGTTAAGACAATGCTTGGGACACCCACATCCCATGTCTGTGCCTGGGTTCAAGTCCCCTTTCCATTTCCAATTCAGCTTTTTGCTACAGTGCATTCTGGGAGCCAGCAGATGATGGCTCAAGTGTTTGGGTCCCTGCCACCACACGGGAGACCCATATGGAGTTCCCTGTTCCTTTGCTTCAGCCCAGCCCAACCCCAGCTGTTGAGGGCATTTGGGGAGTGAACCAAAAGATAACAGATCTCTTTCTCTCTCGCTGCCTTTCAAATAAATAAAACTTAAAAACCAAAACCAGGCCTGAGGTGAGCAGGCCTGAGGTCGACGAGGCTGGCAGCACCCACCTTGTGCCATACTCGCCCCTCCAGGACTCTCCCACACATTCCATGACACATAGCTGCAGGCGGCATAGCTAGCACAGCAGAGGACCAGTTTGGATGCCCTAGCTAATCTGAGCAAAAACTGGAACAAGGCAGGGGTGGGGAACCTTTTTTCTGCCAAGGGCCACTTGGATATTTATAACACCATTCATGGGCCATACAACATTATCAACCTAAAAATTTGCCTGCTATATAGATTTATTGAGTTTCAAGTCTTGCCCGTGGTTGCCCTGGCAGGAACAGACCAAATGATTTTGCATTGTTACACAATCTATTGGCCAGAGGTTCCCCCCCACCCCAGCCTGAATGGACTTCACCCATAGAGAAACAGGCTAACATAGGCTGAGGCCAAGAAGACTCCAAGGGGCTTCCTGGATGACCCGAGAGGCTACTGGAGCAAAGAGATGCCCTAATGCAAGACTTTTTTAATCCATTCACAGAGGACTTTTCAAGTAAATATTTTGTTAACCATATTAATTATGTGCTCAAAAAGGATGCTACCAATCTTTTCCTTTTTGAAGTAAACTTACTTTTTCCATTTCCTACTTTTTTTTTTTTTAATTTGACAGGTAGAGTTATACACAGAGAAAGAGACAGAGAGAAAGGTCTTCCTTCTGTTGGTTCATCCCCCAAATGGCTGCTACAACTGGCGCTGTGCCAATCTGAAGCCAGGAGCCAGGCGCTTCTTCCTGGTCTCCCATGCAGGTGCAGGGCCCAAGCACTTGGGCCATCCTCCACTGCCCTCCTGGGCCACAGCAGAGAGCTGGAGTGGAAGAGGAGCAACCGGGATTAGAACCCGGCACCCATATGGGATGCTGGCGCCGCCGCAGGTAGAGGATTAACCAAGTAAGCCACGGCGCCAGCCCCGATTTCCTACTTTTAACAAGTATATAGAATATTTCTGAATACTAAAAATAAAATTTGCTGCAACACAATTTAGTTTATTTGCCTAAATATTGTGATTTAGGATACTGGCTAAATTTTAATTTCATAATTGCTAAAAAATAAAAGTATTTCCTTCTGTTACCCCATAAAAATGTCCAGGATGGCAACTCTTTTTTTTTTTAAGTTTTTAATTAATTTATTTGCAAAGCAGTACAAGAGAGATCTTCCATCCACTGGTTCACTTCACAAATTCCAGCAACAGCTAGAGCTGGGCCATTCCAAGTTCCAAGACCAGGAACTCCATCCCGGTCTCCCACATGGTTGGCAGGAACTCAAGCATTTGGTCCATTATCTGCAACCTCCTAGGCATGTTAGCAAGAAGCTGGACTGGAAGTTGGAGCAGGACTCAATCCCAGACTCACAGACACTCCAATATGGAAGCAGCAGCTTAACCTGCCGTGCCACAGCGTGCACCCCCAGATGATGCCTCCTGAACATAAGTGTTATCATGCATGATGCTATTTCTAAATGAGTCAGACTAAAATGTACTAATCTTTACTACACTTGGGTCTCCTGCCTTGTTGAGAATGACCCCCGCTTCATTCTTTGTTATTTTATGTTTGCATCTAAGTCTGTAGAATATACTACATATCTGAACAACCAAAAAAATCCACTGTAACTTCGTTCGATCAGTGTTTTCAGACTGCCTCACCTCCTCAAGAGGTAGCTGTATCAGGCTGAGTGGGGCTGGCCCCTCGCCCAAGCTGGGACACACCCTCACTCTCAGACACTTCTTAGACTGAGTTCATGCATTCATCTGCTGTTTTAAGAGGGTGCCTTCAAAAATCCACAGCCTTAGCTGGGCAGACTGCTGGAGCCAGATGGTCCTCAAACAGTGCCCGGCCCAACACCACACCGTCCAGAAACAATGGGCAATCAGGCCTCCTCCTCCGTACAGAATCCAAAGGGTTCCGTTATGCAAGAAAGAGAGGGAAAGAAACCCAGAGTTGATACTAGACTGTAAATGTGAGTTCAACCTCAGTAGGCAAACTCCCTTCTTACCAGTGTTAAGCCACAGTCATTCCAGCATTTCTGGTGCTTTCTAGAAGCATACCAACAGAAAGAGACCTGGGCTAACAGACAAGACATTACAGAGTTACAAGTATGGAAAGCAAACATTTACAGTGAAATTCTATCTGCCCCATCAATTCTGGATGGAAAATCCAGAATCCAAGTACAAAGCACCTTAAGCAAATTCAAACGATACAATTAAAAGTAGCTTAATGGCTATTCATGTGACAAAATAGCAATGTCAGAACATTTGTCTATGTAACATCACTTGGCATTTAAAAAACGTATGAAAGTTTAATTTATGTACGGCCTCAAGAAATATGCACTGGAGTAAATGGAAGGCAGAAGGGAGGAGTAACAGCCGCATTCCAAAAGTGCCTGGGGCTGAGGCTTCCCCGTGATGTACGCTGAGGAGGGAGAAAGCACATCATGTGGTGGCAATCACAGGGCTCACTCCCTAAACAGCTACTTAGTCTTAACCGGTTTCTCAGGATGGATTTTGTGAAGCTGTGGCTGTAACTTCCAGACACAGAGATCAGTGCTGGGCTGCAGTGTGAGGATGTGACCAACTGGACATCATCAGAGCAGACGACGGACAGTGACTACCACAGAAGTGACAGAGCACGTGCTATCCCGGACACTTAGGAAAGAAGCCTATTTACATAGACACAGGCTGGGGTTTTCTGTTAAAACAAGGCACCAGGGAATGGGTATTTAGCCTTGTGGCTAAGACCCCCCACAACCCATATTGGAGTGGAGTCTGATTCCCAGGTCCAGCTCCTGACTCCAGCTTCCTGCTGATGCAGACTCTGGGGGCAGCAGTGATGGCTCAGAGTTGGGTTCCTGCAACCCACACCCTTGGGAGACCCAGAATGGCTGCAGCCCTAGCCCAGCCCTTAGCTGCTACAGGCATTTAGAGAGTGAACTAGCTGGATGAAAGACTTCTCTCTCTTGATGTTGCTATCTTTTCTTCCCTCTCTCTTTATCTCTCTGCATCTCAAATACATAAAATGTAATTTAAATTTTTTTATAAAAGCAATGTTTCAAATCTTCATTGCAAGAGAAAAAGAGGCGGCAGGCGCCGCGGCTCAATAAGCATTTAATCCTCCACCTAGCAGCACCGGCACACCGGGTTCTAGTCCCAGTTGGGGCGCCAGATTCTGTCCCGGTTGCCCCTCTTCCAGGCCAGCTCTCTGCTGTGGCCCGGGAAGGCAGTGGAGGATGGCCCAGGTGCTTGGGCCCTGCACCCCATGGGAGACCAGGAGAAGCACCTGGCTCCTGCCTTCAGATCAGCGCGGTGCGCCAGCCGCAGTGCGCCGGCCGTGGCGGCCATTGGAGGGTGAACCAACGGCAAAAGGAAGACCTTTCTCTCTGTCTCTCTCTCTCACTGTCCACTCTGCCTGTCAAAAAAAAAAAAAAAAAAAAAAAAAAAGAGAGAGAGAGAGAGAGAAAATGAGGCAAGAGTGAGAAACAAGGCACTCAGTTCAAGAGTGGGAAACAGTGAAATTCTATCAACCCCATCAGTTGAAGATGGTTCAACGGTGGGAAACAAGGTACTTAGCTAAGGCATTGGGGTGGGGAACAAAAGTCCCTACCAGACACCCCTGTACTGGGGAAGGGCAGCATGGAGGGAGGCCGTGGGATTCCCCACCTTCCCCGGAGCTTCTACTAGGAGTGCAGGCTGAAAGCTGCAGAGGCAAGACGGGTGACCAGTTCGCATTTGGTAAATGGCAGAAGTAGGCATCACATACACTTGGTGTTCCAGAGGAAAAAATCCAAACTCATCCGAGGAAGCTCAATTTCCTCCAGCTCTACCGTGAAAATAGCAAGAGGGGAGCAGGGGGGAGGAAGGGAATGAAGGCAGGAGGAAAGAGAGTATGGGGGAGGGGAGTGAGAAAGAGTGGGATGGGAGCAGGCAGTGGAGGAGAGGAGGAAGAGAATAAATGCCAGCCATGCTCATGCCCAGGGAATTCTATTGACAGCTCAGAGGAACCTGTGAGAGGACACGGGGATGACAACTCTGCTCACTGTGAGGGACGGCAGGAGAGCTCCGGGCAAAACTCTGCTGTCCAGCGTCTGGGGCCTGTCGTCCTCCTGGGCCCCCGTGACCCCATGCTTTTGCGTATTCACGGGAGGTTTCTGCATCTTGGCTTTGAACTTAGCTTTGTAGTGTTGCATCCCCTGCCTCTGCAAAAGCTTCAAGGTGGTGAGATAGTGAGCGGTGCTGGGGCTGGGCAGGCACATCTGCTTGTTTTCAGGCAGGGAGCATGGCTCGGGATCGGACAGCAGGGACGTCTGGGCCCCTGGAGACAGAAAAGGCCGCACGTCATTGACCTTCAGGTGCCTGGCCAGCTTATGGGTCTCTCTTCACCTTCCCCACCAATGGTTTTCAACCCATATGCACGAACCACACACTCATCCTTCTCCACACTCGGCACCTTCTCTCCCAACTGCAACAAAAAGTTCTTACTCTTATCCAAGCCGTTTGGGGGTGAAGCTTTCAGGGGAGGCAGAACCAAGAGGGCCTTGGAAGTCAGGGAGTCTGAGATGGAGAGCCCTCTGTCGGCGCCTCCGCCGGGACTCCTGGGTGCCTTGCCCCTAACAGTCTTGGGGACGGCCCAGTCTTCCATGCACCAAATAAACTCTTTGATTTGCAGGCTTTTTTTTTCTCCATGAATGTAGGTGGGAAAGTAGATTTTGCTAATCTCCCTGGAAGCAGTGGTGGGGCCCTGGGGAGGCCCCTGACTCTGGGAGGGGCTGCTCTGATCCTTCTCCGAGCCTACCTCAGCTACAGCCCCTGCCTCCAATTTCCCGGGTCCCGCGGGAGGCCTGGCCTCGAGGCTTCCTTGGGGGAGGTTGAGACAGAGTAAACAGCTGCTGTTGGCACTTTCTCCTACCCTCGCCTTTTTTAGCTTCTTTCGTGGCCAGATGCAAGCAGTTGGAGAAATCTTCCCCCAGCCTTGGACCTGCAAATAAAGCAGCATGTTACCCTCACACCAGTGGCCCAACCTCCAGCGGCCCCAGGCAGAGCACATCTCCTTCGGAAGGCCTGTTTGAGCCAATATTTCTCTTAAAACTGACTCACTTTTCACAGACTTTCAATATCTATGTTAGCATCACACTAACGAGTATTTATTAACCCTAAATACTAGCAACAGTATGGTTAACAGTAAGATACTAAGCAACAATGTCACTCTATGTGCTGATTGTATTTCTTTTAAGATACACATTAAATTCAGAACTATTAAAATCAAAACTGTCCATACTTGTCCCACCTCCAAGGATTTCTCGGTCTTGTTTCCCACGCGTGGGGAAGTCTATGGCTGGGAGGATCTGGTGGAAGAGCAGTGAGCAGAGGCAGGGTTCCCCAAGCACACGCACACCCATGCCACTCACAGCCCCCGTGGGCTGACCTAGCCAGAGGCTAGAGGGTTGCCACATAAAAATAAAAGACCACATTTGAGGTCTACTCCTGCTAAATAAATTAGACGTTGTTCATCTGAAATCCAAATTTATTTGGGCATCATGTATTTTCCTTTACTCAAGTCTAGCAACCCTACCTTTAATCACTGGATTAGACCAAGATCCCTTATAGCTTTACATTTAGGACTCTGCCATTGATTCCAAGAATGCTTTAAGAATAAACCCACGTTTGAGAAAATACTAGTAGGGTGAATCCTGCTTGCCCCCACTTGGTCATCTTTTTATGAATCCATTTTTTTTTAATTTTTGTAGCTGATGTGCAGGAAGCACAGTGAATACCTAGAACTGTGACACTGATGAAGGGAAATCTCATCCACGAAGCCTCATTTCCTTACAGAGACGTGTCATACCATCCTTTGGGCCTCTGCTGGGAAAGTAAAATCAAGTCTTAAATAATGCCTTTTTTTGTTAACTTTATTGTTTTATTTATTTAAAAGGCAGAGTTAGAGAGAGAGAGAGGAGAGAGAGGGAGAGAGAGAGAGAGGTCTTCCATCCACTGGTTCACTCTCCAAATGGCCACAATGGCCAGAACTGGGCAGATCCAAAGCCAGGAGTCAGGAGCTTCCTCTGGGTCTCCCATATAGGTGCAGGGGCCCAAGCACTTGGGCCATCTTCCACTAATTTCCCAGGCACATTAGCAGAGAACTGGATCAGAAGTGGAGGAGCTAGGACACAAATCAGCACCCATATGGGATGCCAGCACTGCAGGCAGTGGCTTTACCCACTATGCCATGGTGCCGGCTTCAAATAATGACTTTTAATTGTATCCTTTAAGTATTGTAGATGTAGGACAGCACTATAGCATACCTCTGTGAAGGTATCCTCTGTAAAATATCTCATACCTGCTTTATGATGCATAGTAGTGACCGTGCTTTATCAGCATTATTTTTTTTTTTTTTTTATTTGACAGGTAGAGTTATAGACAATGAGAGAGAGACAGAGAGAAAGGTCTTCCTTCCATTGGTTCACCCCACAATGGCCGCTACGGTCAGAATTGCGCCGATCCGAAGCCAGGAGCTAGATGCTTCCTCCTGCCCTATGCGGGTGCAGAGGCCCAAACACTTGGGGCATCTTCCACTGCCTTCCCAGGCCACAGCAGAGAGATGGACTGGAAGAGGAGCAGCCAGGAATAGAACCCTGCACCCATATGGGATGCTGGTGCCATAGGCGGAGAATTAACCAAGTGAGCCACGGCACCAGCCCCCAACAGCACTATTTTTTTTAAAAAAGATTGTATTTATCCTCTTCCAGTCCAGCTCTCTGCTGTGGCCCGGGAGTGCAGTGGAGGATGGCCCAGGTCCTTGGGCCCTGCACCCACATGGGAGACCAGGAGGAAGCACCTGGCTCCTGGCTTCGGATCGGTGCAGTTCGCCAGCTGTAACGTGCCGGCCATAGCGGCCACTTGGGGGGTGAACCAACGGAAAAAGGAAGACCTTTCTCTCTCTCTCTCTCTCTCTCTCTCTCTCTCTCTCTCATTGTCTAACTCTGCCTGTCAAAAAAATAAAATAAAAATAAAATAAAAAAATAAAAGATTGTATTTATTTATCTGAGAGGTAGAGTTAAAGACAAAGAGAGGTAAAGACAGAGAAGTCTTCCATCTACTGGTTCACTCTTTAAATGGCCACATTGGCCAGGAGCTGGGCTGATCCAAAGCCAGGAGCCAGAATCTTCCTCTGGGTCTCTCTCACCGGTACAAGGGCCCAGGCACTTGGGCCATCTTCTACAGCTTTCCCAGCCCATAGCAGAGAGCTGGGTCAGACTAGAACCGATGCCCATATGGGATGCTGGTGCCACAGGCGAAGGCTCAGCCTAGTAGGCCACAGCACCAGCCCCATAGCAACACTATTTTTAATGTTATTCTAGAATGTTTCCTTTCCAGATGATTGAGAAGCTAATAAAAAAAAAATGTGGTGCTAGGTACCACAACAGTAACAGAACCTTGCTATTTTGAGGGGTTTTGTTTTTCTACCTTTTTTTAAGAAATGGAGTGTGCAAGATAGCTTTATAATTTTGTTTAGATGTCTCTAGAACCTGGAAAAGCTATTGCTGCTAAGGATACATAATGTATTACTATTACTGGTCTTTACTTTTTTAATGTTTATTTATTTATTTGAAAGAGTTACACAGAGGAGAGACAGAGAGAGAGAGGGAGGTCTTCCATCCGCTGGTTCACTCCCCAGTTGGCCACAACAGCCAGAGCTGTGCCAATCTGAAGCCAGAAGCAAAAAGCTTCCTCCAGGTCTCCCACGCAGGTGCCAGGGCCCAAGGACCTGGGCCATCTTCCACTGCCTTCCCAGGCCATAGCGGAGAGCTGGATTGGAAAGTGGAGCAGCCGGGTCTTGAACCGGCATCCATATGAGATGCCAGCACTGCAGGCGGCAGCTTTACCCACTATGCCACAGTACCAGCCCGTATTACTGGTCTTCATTCACACACACACACACACACACACACACGTTTATAATTGAATTTTTGGAAACTTTAGCTGTGCTGTCAACTCCGAAAAAAGTACCCCAGTTCACAGGGTGAAGTTGCATTGTACAGAAATTAACAGCCGTATTGGTCTAGAAGTGTTCATTTTTTTCCCATTTGTACAAGGGTAATGCAGTGTATCAAATATATAAGGTCTTATCTACATGGCTCTGATTACAGAATAAAGTATTCTCTAAAAATAATGAAAAAGAAAAAGAATAAACCCACAGGGTTCTGAGTAAAATCACCAGAAAGGAACCTGAGGTTTGCAGAGGGGTTAGCACAACAGTTAGGGCAGTCAGGTTCCCCATCTGGGACCTGGATGGCAGCCTTGCCTCGGGCACACCTGGGATGCTGGTTCACTTCAGATGTCAAGGGGGACTGAAGACAACCTGGAGAACTAGCCAAGCACTACTTATTTTAATTAACTAATTAATTAATTTGAAAGGCAGAGTTATAGAGACAGACAGAGACATCTTCAATCTGTTGGTTCAGCCCCTAATGGCTACAGTGGCCAGGGCTGGGCCAAGCTAAAGGCAGGAACCTACAGCTCCATCCATCTTCCACTGCTTCTCCTAGGCCGTTAGCAGGGAGCTGGATCGGAGGCAGAGCAGCCAAGATTCGAACTGGCGCCCACATGGGACGCCAGTGTTGCAGGCAGAAGCTTTGCCTGCTAACACAACACTGGCCCAACAGCATTGCTCACTTCTGGATGGGGTTACGGAGGCACTCAAAGAGGAGGTAACGTTTTGTCAGGGTTCTCCAAAGGAACAGAGCGATAGGGTAAACAGAGAGACAGATAAATAAGAAGGGACTGGTGAGGGCTCAAGCAGTTGGGAGCAAGAGAAGTCCCAGGACAGGCAGTTGTGCCTGCTGGAGACCCTGGGATGCCCGTATCATGGCTTCATCCAAGACCAGAAGCCTCCAAAGAGGGAAGCCAGTCGTGAAATCCTCAGTCTGAGGACACAGAACTGAGAACCGAGGGGCTGCTGGCGTGAGGCCCGGAGTTCTGATGTCCAAGAGCAGGAGAGCAAAGGGAGACAGCGAGGACACTGCCCCTTCTCTGCCTTTGTATTCTCTCTGGGCGCCAGCAAATTGGAAGGAGTCCGCCTACAGTGACGGTAGGTCTCAGGCACTCAGCCCTCCACGCACAACACACTCTTAAGTAATGCCTGAGGGCTGGCACTGTGGCATAGCCGGTTAAGCCGCCACCTGCAATGCCAGCGTACCATGTTAGTGCCAATGTGGCACATGTTAGTGCCAATCTAAGTCCCAGCTGCTCCACTTCTGATCCAGCTCCCAGATAATGTGCCTACAAAAGCAGCAGAAGATGCCCCAAGTGCTTGGGCCCCTGCACCGATGTGGGAGACCCAGAAAAAGCTCCTGGCTTCTGGCTTTGGTCTGGTTCAACCCTGGCTGTTGTGGCCATCTGGGGAGTGAACCAGAGGATGGAAGATCTCTCTATCCCCATGCCCCTCTCTATAACTCTGACTTTCAAATAAATAAATAAATCTAAAAAAAAAATGGTGGGACAGTGCTGTGCTGTAGTAGGTTAAAGCCCAGCGTGCAGTGCCGGTGTTCCATCTGGGCACCAATTCAAGTCCCAGCTGCTATATTTCTGATCCAGCTCTCTGCTGTGGCCTGGGAAAGCAGTAAAAGAGAGACAAAGCCCTTGAGCCCCTGCACCAGTGTGGGAGACCTGGAAGAAGCTCTTGGCTCCTGGCTTTGGATTGGCCCAGCTCCAGCCATTGTGGCCATTTGGGGAGTGAACCAGCAGATCAAAGACCTCTCTCTCTCTCTCTCTCTCTCTCTCTGTTCCTCCCTCTCTCTGTAACTCTGTCTTTCAGATAAATAAAATAAATCTTTAAAAAAAAAAAAGTAAGTAAGGTTGTTATATAGCTGCTTCACATGGCTACTCAAAGGCTGAATGAGCAATTAAAGCAATGAGTACAAAGCTGTCCCTATAATAAGGGCCAGACATTCTCAGTAACAGGTATGGCTATATCATCAGTGCAATTTTACCTCTGTTCCAGGAGTTACTCTTTTTCCCGACTGCACAATTTTTTGGTAATATTAACTGTTTCAGGAGAAACATCTGCAGTCAACACACTGAGGTGCAAGATCTAACTAAGAGACTCACATCACTGTGTTCCTAAAGTCGCACTTAGGAATGCATGCAGTTTGCATTCCTTAAATAAAAGGCTTCTTTGGGGAAAATTAAATTAAAAAGAAAAAAAGATACTCACTGCTTCTTCCCAGCCAGTCCCAATGACGAACTCACTGGCTCTTCCATCTTGTTCAAGCGTCAGGTCACTGATACTGAGAAGGCAGCACACGTGACTCCTCTCACTCCTTTCGTCTGGACAAGAGCAGCTCAGCTCCGTTTCTTCTGTACTTTGGATTTCATTGCTGTCTAAATCAGCCTCATTTTTCTGACAAAGATCCATTACCAGTAAGGTTGCTTGTAGTTTTTAACATCTTCTTTCTGAAGTTTAAAGAAATGCAGACTGAGCAGAGTTTTACATATGAATTTGTTTAAAAGGAAATTCAACACCTGGGTGAAATGTTTCTATGACACAGTCAGAAACAGACTGAGAGCAAACACTGCAATAGATGAAACCAGCTCCTACCAACCACTGACTTTATAAAAGACAAGGCCATTTTAATTACAGGCCACATAGCAGTGAGGGACAGGCGCAGTCACGAGTCAGTCACCGCCAGCCGGCCTCCTCTGCCCGCCCTGACAGCCCTCTGAACTGGCTTGTGGCGCTGGTGTCTGGCATAGCGTTACGCGCCACTCGGACACCCGCCTCCCAGGTCAAACCTCGGCCTCCATTCGGCTTCCACTGTGCAGGGGAGTAACCGGGTCAACGCTGGAAAGCAGAAATCTCCCTCCCTCTCTCTCTCCGGTTGTCTCAAAGTTAAACCCGTGCACCACTCAACCTGCACAATCGGTCCCATTTCCAAGAGTCGAACCTCTCCATGTTAAAAATGTGTACCGTATTACTATGCCTACAGGGCACAGCAACTAAACCAATCCATTGCCAGCTCTTCCTTAATTAATTCACTAAGTGCCGGACACCGGGAACAAAATGGCAAAGCAGAGTGTCAGCTCTGACACAGCTTAGAAACGGGAAAGCACAGGTCTTCCAAGGCACAGCTCACGTGTCCCTGCCAAAGCCCGAGCGCGTCCCTCTCGGCTCCGCCCTCTCCCAGAACAGCCCCGCCTCCTGCCAGCAGCCCCGCCCCTTTCTCCCGGGGCCCCTCCCCTTTTCCCATGGTTCTCCTTTCCTCGCCTAACTCCTCCCCTTCCTCCAGCAGTTCTTACCGCGCCACGCGACGCCTGCCCTTCTTCCAGTGGCTGCCCCCGCACCAAGCTCCACCCCCGTGCCCCGCCCCGCCCCACAAGAGCAACGCCCCTCCAACGGCTCCGCCCACTGGCTCCGCCCTGCTTCTCCCAAGTCCCGCCCACGTTTCGCCCGGCGCCTAAGTCCGCGCTGCCTCTCCCTCTCGCCTGAGAGGGTCCCTTCCTCTCGAAACGAGTGGTCAGGGACCTTACCCCGGGGACGGAGAAGCGGCCGCTCACACTCTCACGTGGGGCCTGGCGGGGTGGAAGGACCCAGGGTGGACCAGGACGACCCGGACAGCGACTGGCGGGGCCGTCTCCCGGGGTTACGGTCGCGTTGGGGGCGGGCCCGTTTGTATGTGCTGCGGAAGTGACGTAGGCAGCCTCACGCGACAAAGTTGAGCGCCCGCCGGCCACGCGTTCCCGGCAGGCTCCGCGGCGCCGCGGGTGCCTGAGGCGGCTGTGCGGGGTCCGCCGTCGCGGGACCTGTAGGCCGGGACGTGAGCGCGGGGCTGCGGGCCCAGCGGGAGCCGAGTCTCCTCAGACGTGCGCAGCTGCTGCTGGCGGGACGGAGCTCCTCAGCCGTGCGCCGTCGGCTTGGGGCCGGCTGGCCGGTCGGGGCACCCCTGGAAATGGGTATCGGCGTGTTTTATACGATGAGGGAGCGCAGCCGCGTTCTAGAGCCAGCGGCTCGCGGAGGACCTCGCAGAGCGCCCTGCCCGTCACGCGCGTGGTGGTAGCCCCCGCAGAGCGCCCCTGCTCGTCACGCGCGTGGTGGTAGCCCCCGCAGAGCGCCCCTGCCCGTCACGCGCGTGGTGGTAGCCCCCGCAGAGCGCCCCTGCCCGTCACGCGCGTGGTGGTAGCCCCCGCAGAGCGCCCCTGCCCGTCACGCGCGTGGTGGTAGCCCCCGCAGAGCGCCCTGCCCGTCACGCGCGTGGTGGTAGCCCCCGCAGAGCGCCCTGCCCGTCACGCGCGTGGTGGTAGCCCCCGCAGAGCGCCCCTGCCCGTCACGCGCGTGGTGGTAGCCCCCGCAGAGCGCCCCTGCCCGTCACGCGCGTGGTGGTAGCCCCCGCAGAGCGCCCCTGCCCGTCACGCGCGTGGTGGTAGCCCCCGCAGAGCGCCCCTGCCCGTCACGCGCGTGGTGGTAGCCCCCGCAGAGCGCCCCTGCCCGTCACGCGCGTGGTGGTAGCCCTCGCAGAGCGCCCCTGCCCGTCACGCGCGTGGTGGTAGTCCCCGCAGAGCGCCCTGCCCGTCACGCGCGTGGTGGTAGCCCTCGCAGAGCGCCCCTGCCCGTCACGCGCGTGGTGGTAGCCCTCGCAGAGCGCCCCTGCCCGTCACGCGCGTGGTGGTAGCGCTTGCGAGCGCCCCGAGGGGCGGCCCGAGGACCCCACCTCCCGCCTCTTCCCACAGCTCCGCTTTCTGGTTTAGAAAGCGGATCATTTCTGCTGTAGAAAAACAACGTAAGTCCCTTCCCGCGCTGTGACAGAGGCGTTGGCCGAGAGCCCGGGCGACAGCTCCTCGTTAACTCCCAGCCCACGGGGGCTGTGGAAAGGCTCCCTCGAGAGCTGTGTGTGTCGCACCGTCCTAGTATGTCGGAACAAAGGACTTTCCTAAACTGCGACGACTACCTTTTTTTTTTTCCTACTTAAAATATTCCTGTTTGTATCCGAATGTATTTCACAACCTGCAAAGAAGGTTAGCCTGTAAAATGCATCCAAAGTCAAATTTCGCTAGTTAAAAATTTTCATCATAAATAGTAGCAAAGGGTGTAATACCCAGAGTATTATGGTTGTTGACTTGTTAAGAAAGATTTACTCACTAGGCTAATTCTCCGCCTGCAGCGCTGCCACACCGGGTTCTAGTCCCGGTCGGGGTGCCGGATTCTGTCCCGGTTGTCCCTCTTCCAGGCCAGCTCTCTGCTGTGGCCAGGGAGTGCAGTGGAGGATGGCCCAAGTGCTTGGGCCCTGCACCCCATGGGAGACCAGGAGAAGCACCTGGCTCCTGCCATCGGATCAGCGTGGTGCGCCGGCTGCAGCGCGCCGGCCGCGGCGGCCATTGGAGGGTGAACCAACGGCAAAAGGAAGACCTTCCTCTCTGTCTCTGTCTCTCTCTCTCTCTCTCTCTCTCACTGTCCACTCTGCCTGTCAAAAAAAATTTTACTTGAAAGGCTCGAAAGGTAACAGAGGGGAGACAGATCTTCCATCCTCTGGTTCACTCCCCAAGTGGCCGTAACAGCTTGTGAAGGCAGGAGCCAGGAGCTTCTTCCAGGTCTCCCATATGGGTGCAGGAACCCAAGGACTTGGGTTATTTCCCACTGCTTTCCCCCGGCACTTGAGCAGGGAGCTGGATCTGAAGTGGAGCAGCCGGGACTTGAACCGGTGCTCACATGGGATGCTGGCATTTCAGATAGCGGCTTAACCCACTACACTAAGATGCTGGCCCCAAATGTTGACATTTTAAATAATACTATATCACTCTTCTAAACATTCGAAGAGAGAGCTGGCGCTGTGGTGTAGCAGGTCCTGCAGCGCCAGCGCCCCATATGGGTGCTGGTTCTAGTCCAGCTGCTGCACTTCTGATCCAGCTCTCCGCTATGGTCTGGGAAAGCAGTAGAAGACGACCCAAGTCCTTGGGTCCCTGCATCCACATGGGAGACCTGGGGGAAGCTCCTAGCTCCTGCCTTGTGGCCATTTTGGGAGTAAACTAGTGGATTCTATCTCTCTGTGTCTGTGTAACGCTGCCTTTCAAATAAATAAATAGGTTTTTTTTAAGTATTCAAATAAACCTTAATCCATTGGCAATTTGGCACCCATCAACATCGAATTTTGTTTATTTAGAGAGCTCTGCTCTACAGGTTCACTCCCCAAATACCTGCAATGGCCATGGGCCTGAGCCTGGTTGGGGCTAAGCCCGGCTAAAACTAAACCGAGGTCTTCACATATATGGTGGCATGTAATCACTTGAGCCATCGTCACTGCAGCCCAGGGTCTGGTCTACATTGGCAGAAAATTGGTGTCAGGAGCCAGAACGGAAACAGGGCATTTCAAAAACTAGGCAAATGCTCACTCCAGTACCTATTTTAAAAGTCATGGATAAGCTGGTTAAAACATGGAAGACTTTCTACTGCTCGTTTCCTTAAGCTCGTAATTGTGGGGTTTTTTTTGTTGTTGTTGGTTTTTGTTTGTTTGTTTGTTTTTTTAAGGTTTATTTAATTTGAAAGGCACGGTTAGGAGACATAGAGATCTTCCATCTGGCTCATTCCCCAAATGGCAGCATCGAACAAGCCAGGCCAAACCTAGGAGCCAGGAACTTCATCCCTGCCTCCTGCATGGGCTGCAGGGGCTCAAGCATTTGGGCCATTCTCTGCTGCTTTCTCAAGTGCATTAGCAGGGAGCTGGTGGAAGTGGAACAGTCAGGACTCAAACTGGTGCCCATATGGGATGCCAGCACTGCAGGTAGTAGTTTAACCCTCTGTGCCATAGTGCCAGTGCTATAACTGTATTATAATTGTATACTCATTCTACTTCTTTACAAAATTTTATTCTAACATTTAAGAGTAGTCTCAGCAGCTAAACACAATTTAAAAAAAACCTGTAAATTGAACATGAGGGATGGGTGTTGTGGCACAGTGGGCTAAGCTGCTGCTTGGGACACCCACATCCCTAATCAGAATGCTGGCTCTGGTCTTGGCTGTTCTGCTTCTAATTCCAGCCGCTTGCTAACACATCCTGGGAAGCAGCAGATAATGGCTCAGATGCTCGGCCCCTGCTATTCATATGGTAGACCCAGATGGAGTTTGGGCTTCCAGCTTCAGCCTGGCCCAGGCCTGCCTGTTGTGAGCTTTTGGGGAGAGAACCAGCAAACAAGAGATAACTCCTCTTCTTAAAAAAGAAAATAAATAAATAGAAACATTAAAAATTCTCATAAGGCCAAAACAGTTAAATTTCCCCTCCATAACTACTTTTTTTCTTAGAAGATTTATTTATGTATTTGAAAGGCGGAGTTATAGAGAGGCAGAAGCAGATAGGTCTTCCATCTACTGGTTCACTCCCCAAGTGGCTACAATAGCCAGAACTGTGCTGATCCAAAGCGAGGAGCCAGGAGCTTCTTCCAGGTCTCCCACATGGGTGCAGGAACCCAAGGACCTAGGCCATCTTCCACTGCTTTCCCAGGCCGTAGCAGAGCTGGACTCAAATCAGTGCCCATGTGAGATGTCAGCACTGCTATGCCACAGCGCTGGCCCCACACATAATTACTTTTATTCCTACTCAGTTGCCAATAGAAATGTATTACACATGTTGGTAAATATTCAGAGAATGTTAAAGTATAACAGAAAGAGACTGCCTCCAGCCTCCCAAATCCATGTTATCTATGCCTAAATATTACATATTGCTGAAATGAGAGTCCACTACAATTTTATTGCAAATTTTTTCATAGATATAAGCTCCCTTGTTCATATGAGGATACAAATTAAAGGGTTTAGTTACAGCAGTCTCCCAAGCTTTTTAAAACTTTTTTACACTGTAACCCCATAAACATTCACCAAAAATACCTCACATTCTATCAGCTGCTTACCATGTAGTTGGGTCCTCCAATTGTTGAAAACAATTTCATACCACCCAACTAGCAGAATTTGGTAGCCAGTCATAATGCTAATTTCTCAGTGTCTGAAGTTTACTGAAAGTCTTAACTAAGACTTACTAAATGTGAACCACTTATTCTGCTTTACAGAATGAAACATTGCCCAATTCTGGAACTGCAAATAAAACTGAGAAAATGTTTTCCTAAACAATTATCAAAGAGGCTGACTGAAAGTATACTCTTGTAAGTACATGTGGAAGTTGCCGGCTCATCCCAGTTTGAAATCTGTTGGTAATCACTGTTGACATTTAGCAGTTCAAGTCTGACAGCCTGGGAGCAGGAATGCTAAGGACAAACATGTTTGGCCAGTCATGGTTTGTTTCAAGATATTTTTATTTGAAAGGCAGAGTTTACACACAGAGAAAGAGAGATACCTTTATCCACTCATTCATTCCCCAAATGGCCACAAGAGTTGGAGCTGGACCAGTCTAAACCCAAGAACCAGGAGCTTTTTCCAGGTCTCCCATGTCAGTGCAGAGGCCCATGTACCTGGGCCATCTCCTGCTGCTCTCCTAGGCCATTAGCAGGCAGCTGGGACTTATGAATTGGCACTCATGGGATGCTGGCATCACAGGCAGCAGCTTAATCTGCTAAGCCGTGTTGGCCCCCTCCAGTCATGTTTATAAAGCAAGCCAATATAGACTGGGCAAAGCTACCAGAAACTCTAGTAGAATAAAACCTCAAATAGCAAAAGGGAATATTTCAAAAATATAAAGATAAGGGGGAGGGGTATATGAGACCTCTGCTTCATAGTCAGTTTTGCTGTGAACCTTAAACTGCTCTGGCAAATAAAAGCTGTTTTTTTGTATTAAGGCAAGATGCAGCTTTATTAATTACATGACATAGCTGTTTACATTTTATTAAGAGGGTTAGAGCTAAGGCACTAGCCTATGCAGTGATGAATTAATTCACATACCAAATGATCCAATAAAATACACTTAAAGGGAAAAAAGATAGGCAGGTAGATAGTCAGTAGTACAGCCTTATTACAGGGCAGGAAGAGAAATTCAATCTCAGTGCAAAGGGCCCTCTCTGAGGATGGATGGCTCCTAGGAGTGGCTGGGTCTGAACGATTGCAGTGATTGTTGAGAGCAGTATGGAAGGCAGACTTAAGAGTTAGCATAATTTTAAAAGATTTTATTTACTTATTTGAGAAGTAGAGCTACAGAGAGGGAGAGAGAAAGGTCTTCCATCCAATGGTTCACTCCCCAAATGGCCACAATGGCCGGAGCCAGGCTAATCTGGAGCCAGGAGTGAAAGAACAAGTTGGCGTGGTCTGCTCTTTATAAGGTCTTAGAGTGGGTGTTACAGGGCAGGTATCTCTGAGAAGAGATGGGGGAAAAAATTGCCTGTGTCTTTCAGAAACTCCAACCACTGTTGTGTTTCTACTCCAGAAGTCATTGCTGCTTCCCACTTTTAGAACATTTTGTCTTTTCCACCACAAAATTCCCACTTATGTACTTTTTAAAAAAGATTTATTTATTTGAGAGTCAGAGTTAGAGAGAGAGGGAGAGAGAGCTCTTCCATCCACTGGTTCACTCCCCAGGTGGCTACAATGCCCTGGGCTGGGCTAGACTGAAGCCAGGAGCCAGGAAATTCATCCAAGTTTCCCACATGGGTGCAGGGGCCAAGGCACTTGGGTCATCCTCTGCTGCTTTTTCAGGCCATTAGCAGGAAGCTTGATCAGGAGTGGAGCATCTGGACACAAACCAGCAACCATATGAGATGCTGGCATTGCAGGCAGTGGTTTTACCTGCTATACCATAACACTGCCCCAGAACATTAAGTATTTGTTTAATTTTTATAAATATAAAGAGATTTCATGTATTTCATAGGTACTGTTCTAAGATGATAACCATACTTCCTTCCCTCACTCCCCCTCTTCCTTTTTTCTTTAATTTTTGCAAAGACATAATTTTAATCCCCTCTATAATCATAGGCTTAATTCACCAGTAACTGTAAAATTCAACCCAGAATACTGTACCCAGCATTTATAAATGAAGGTGAAATAAAGACCTTCCAAAACAAATTGAAAATTTGTCACCACTCATCTAGCCTTACAAATGGTACTAAAGGATGTACTACACCCAGAAATAGAGAAAGATAGTCATCATTATGAAAGAATGTGAAGGTAGAAAATCTCCTGGTAAAAATACAAAGGAAATCCAAAACAAACAACAGGAATACTTATGGAAAAACGGCAGGACCTAGTCATTATTTATCAATAATAACTCTGAATGTAAATGGCCTGAATTCTTCTATTAAAAGATACAGACTGACTTAATGGATTAAAAGACAAAAAACACACCTCACCAAAAAGATATACATAGATTCAAAGTGAAAGGATGGAAAAAGATATTTCATGCTAATGGAAAGCAAAAACAAGCAGAAATAGCCATGTCAATATCAGACAAAAATAGACTTTAGCACAAAACCTGTTAAGAGAGACAAAGAAGGGCATCATTTAACTATAGCAGAAATAGCCATGTCAATATCAGACAAAATAGACTTTAGCACAAAACCTGTTAAGAGAGACAAAAAAGGGCATCATGTAACTATAGTAAACATATGCACCCAATGCCAGGGCATCTGGGCATTTAAAAGTCACAGACTCCAGTACAATAATGGCGGACTTCAACACTCCACTCTCATAAACAGACAGATCAACTAGACAGAAAATCAAACAGCTAGTTTATACGACTGACCAAATGGACCTAATTGTTATCAACAGAACAGTTCCTCCTACAGGTACAGAATACACATTCTTTTCATCATTGCATGGAACTTTATATAGGATAGACAATATATTAGGCCATAAAGCAAGTCTCAATAAATTCAAGAAAATTTGAATCATACCATTTATCTTTTCTGACCACAATAGGCTGAAACTAGAAATTAACAACTTAAATTCTTAAAAAAAAAAAAAAAAAAAAAAAACTAGAAAATGTGCAAACACATGGAGAATGAAGAACATGCTCCTGAAGAGTGGGTCATAGAAAAAAATCAAAGGGGAAGTAGAAAATTTCTAGAAATGAATTTAATGACAACACAACATATGAAAACCTATGAAATGAAGAGCTGGATTTTTGAAAAAATTAACCAGAAAAAAGGAGAATACTTAAGTATTTTTTTAGAGGTATTTATTTTAAATTTTAAATTGAGACACCAAGAGAGCATGCTCCCATCCATTGGTTCACTACACTCCTGAAATCCCAATAGCCAGGAGGCCAAAAGTGGGAACTCAATCCAGGTCTCCCACATGAGTGGCAGGAACTTGACAACTGGCCTGCTGTCTCCCAGGGAGACAGGAAGCTGGAGTTGGGAGCTGGGAGTCAAACCCAGGCACTCTAATGTGGGAACCTAATTTTCTAAGTGCAGTGCCAAACACTCCTATTTAATTTAGAGTAACATATGCCTAGGGATGATAAAGAGTAGACTAGGAAATGTAGCACTCCACATTTAACATGCAACTATTAAATCACTTACTGTCCCTATCACCTTTCTGAGAAATGGTGGTAGTAATGGGTGTCTTACCTAGCTTGGGCAAAGCAATATAAGAGATCACCTTCAAAACAAAAAGGTAAATTTATATAATTACTATGCTGATTTCGGGGACAGATTATGTGTGACTTGTATATTTCTAAAGCAGAGGGATTAGTTAACCCAATTAATAATTACTCAAATAGGGAGACAATTATCTGGATACTCTATTGTTAAGAGTACAGATGTACAGTCCAGCCGTGATGTGGCCATTAGGACACTCCTGGAAGGATGCTTTCTTTTGCTAAAGAGCTGAGAATATGTGCATGTTATTTACCTTCCTACTTCCAAGTTCTCATATTTGCTATTTGTTTACCACCAGAGGTGGTAATATCTGAATATCACCCTTTTTCTATAGTAACTAGGAAAATGATACAGGAGTTAGCTCCTGCTTTGTGTGTATGAATATCTATTTATTTGTATATGTATTTAACCCAGCCCCTAAAACTGTTATGGTTGACTAACTTAGAGACAGTAAGTATGCCCTACATATTAACCACTTGAAAATAACATTTGGCATCCTAACTAAGCAGTGGTTGACTCAGTGTTGCAGCTCACAGGCCCTTGCTGCATGGCCACCTCTGTTCCCATGACTTAAGTAGAAACCTGTATATGGTTTCACTTCTTAAGAATACCATGTGCTATGCTGATCAAAAAAAGGTTCACATTTCCTTGTTTTTCCTCTTCTCATTTTTAATCTAGTGTGATGAAAAGTCAGTGATTTCTTTTTGCCTATATTAAAGATGACAAGTGTTTGATTCTACCAGAATTAATTTGCAACTAAAAGGAGACATTTCTTGGAACCTTTCATTGTTACAGTTTAAACTTTCTTTTAAAACATAACTTTCTATAAGTTAAAATTAGCATCTTCATAGATACTAGCCAAGTCACTTAATCAAATATTAACATCAAAACATGATATGAGGAAGTTGAAAATTTATTTATGTTTCTTATTTTGCTGTAGAGCTGCTCCTTCACTGCATACAACAGCACCAGCAAATGCAGCATATTGCAAAAATTAAGATAGTATTGTTCTTTCTCTGGCACTGCAACTAACAAAAACTGTTGTGTATTCCCAGTTACTTCCAATGGAAAGATCATTACATATTTTGACCCCAAACCAGGGATGAGTATAAGCAAGTTACAATATTACATAAGGCTTAAGATAACAATGTTATCCTTGAATTACATTATTTGTAAAACTAGTTTTTACCACAGATAACTTCATGTATTCTGAATACCAGTGCCTAGGGCCTACTATAAAAATCACAAGGTACTGTGAAAAAGATGCATATTGAGTTTTTTCTGCAATCATTACAAAGTTAGGGTATATTTTCTTCCAGTAGCAGAGTTGAAAGTGGTATTTCTTCCATCAAGATTGCTAAAAGTTGCTATTTTAAGTCCTGTCCGCCACTAATTTAAGAGAAAACTGTGCTGGATTAAGTTATTCCATACTAGTTCATGTAAGGGTTCCACTTTCATTCCTCAATAGATTTTATGTATTTCTCATAGGCTTCTTCACTCATTAGTTCATCTAGTTCTGAAGGGTTACTCAGTGTCATCTTGATCAGCCAACCTGCAACCAAAAAATAATCTTATTTTCCAAATTACCATTTTAAAATAAGTTAAACTTATTAAAAATGTAAAACAAATTCCTTAGTGTCTCAAAAGTAACCTATTTTTCTCTACATATACCATTGATTATCTGTTCATGGAACATTTAAACGTGATTTTTAATCATCTGAAAATTACAGCCCCAATACATTAAGAACTCTTAGGTTGTACAAGCATCAACAAATGGCATTTAAATCTTTAAATAGGACATAAACAAACATACAAAAGATACAAGAGCAGGTATATCTTTCTTTAGCAAAAGGAATACCAACACTGTAACTATTAAGGTTAAAGGTCATAGAAACCACAGGAAAGAGTTACAAGGGTTAGGTGACAAACAAAAGAACTGCAATCAGTACCAGTTTAGTCATTTCTTGGCTGTGACCCTGACAGATAAATTCTTTGGAGGCTTTGATTCATATTTAAAAAAAAAAAAAAAAAAATGGAGACAACCGCTGTTTAGCCTACCTCACAAAGTCATAAGGATGAAAATGTAAGAAAACCATAAATCAATGCAACATACTTTATTACCACCTATTTTACATGACTTGAACAGATGCTTTATGTCTGAAGAGATACTTTTCAGGTGTTTATACCCTAACAACCAAGGAACCCAAAACTATGGATCTAAGAATTTTGCCATATAAACCAAAGCTTTTATTCTCAGATCTTAGTACTAAGCTAATCTCTGTTTTGTTTTTTAAAGAACGTTTCTAGTAACTAAGACATAGAGATTGAAAGCACAATTAACTAAGCATGCTTTGAACTCTGGATTAAACGTGACCTATAGCAGTAATCCCTTGAAAAATTCCTGGCAACAACTTACCATCTTCGTAACAAGATTTGTTGACAAGTCCTGGGTTTTCTGCAAGGGCTTCATTAATTTCAGTTACTTCTCCTGATAGAGGAGAATAGAGTTCACTAGCAGCTTTCACACTTTCCAAGGCACCAAATTCATCTAAAAGGAAAATTTAAAGAAAATATAAAAATCAGTGACTAAAAAATACAAAATATGGAGAATTGGGCATTTCTCATCCAGTCATGATAAAAAGAAATTCTAAATTTCTTTAAAAATAAAACCATAGGTTTTGTCATGCTCATGTCGCTTATGAGAAGGACAAACTATCCTCAGTAATGTGGCCCTGTCTGTTCTAGACACAGTGAACAATGTGTGGTGATGCCCCTGAATATATCAGATATGCTTACATTCAGTGAAACTCAACTTTCAACTTACTGTGGCTCAGAAAAAAATGAAAACTTTAGAAGGTTCCAGTAATGATGATGTACCTCATATCAGAACATCTTCCTGCAGATAACAAAGATAAAATCTCAGCAAAATACAAAAAACAATTATATGATGGTGTTACAGAATGACCAAAAAGGAATCAAGGATTGGGCATTTGGTGAAGCTGTTAAGGTGCTGCTTGGGACACCTGTATCCCATATCAGAGTGCTTGGTTTCAGTCCTAACTTCACTTTTTTTTTTTTTTTTTTTAAATTTATTAACTTGAAAGGCAGAGGCAAAGAGAAAGTCTTCCATCCACTGGTTCATTCTCCAAATGGCTGCAATGGCCAGAGCCGGGCCAATCTGAAGCCAGGAGCCAGGAGCTTCTTCCAGGTCTCCCATACGGGTGCAGGGGCTCAAGGGCTTGGGCCATCTTCTATTGCTTTCCCTGGCCATAGCAGAGAGCTGGACTGGAAGTGAAGCAGCCAGGACTCGAACTGGTGCCCGTATGGAATGCCAGTGCCGTTAGCCAGGGCCTTACACCACAGCACGGGCCCCTGGCTTCACTTCTGATTGCAGCCTTCTACCAGCATGCACCCTGAGCGAGAGTAGATGATGGCTCAATTACTGGGGTCCCCTCTACCCAATAAGACACTCAGATTGAGTTCTAAGCTTCTGGCTTCCATGTGGCACAGCCCTGGCTGTTCTGGCCATTTAGGAAGTGAACCAGAGGATGAAACATCTTCCTGTCTCTCTCTGCCTTTCAAAGGAAATGAAAATACAAAAAAATTTTTTGTTGTTTATCACAGCCAAACCTTGAAAGATGGGAAGTAAACTGGGTGAGATCTTCATTATACAATTTGTCACCTGACAGTTTTGTCCCACCTGAAGAGCACAAGGTAACTAGAACACAAACAGAAAACCATACCCTTCCTTGCTTAAGGAGCTATAGGATGGAGTGTGGGGCTGCCACAGTGGCTAGAAATTGAGGACTGAAATACTAGTAAGTGAGCCATGGTCAAGAGAAAAAGTACAGAGAAACAAATCTCAGATGGCCTGTATGCTGGAATTATAGGGAAACTTAAAGTAGTTATTATAAATGTGTTCAAAGACTTTAAGAAAAAGATCATCTTCATGAGTGAACATTTGAGATAATCCCTGTATAATTTTTTAAATGGATATTCCAGGACTGGAAAGCATAATATCTTTAAAAATTTAGTGGACAGCATTAATAACAGACTATAAGCTGTACAAGAAAGGATCAGCATATGTTAAGAAAGATTAACTAAAAATTAGCTGATCTAAAGAAAAATTTAAAGACAGACTTGGAGCAGGTGTCTGGCCTGGTGGTTAGTTAAGACGCCCATGTTCCAGATCAGAATGCCCGGGGTTCAATTCTTGGCTCTGGCTCCTGACTCCATGTTCCTGCTACTGCAGACCCTGAGAGGCAGTGGTAATGGCTCAGGCAACTGGAAGACCTGGGTTGAGTTCCCAGCTCCCAGGTTCCTGTTGAAGACATCAGGGGAGTGAATCAGCAGATAGAAGACAGAAGCACACTTGCTCACTGCCTCTGCCTTTTCTTAAAATTACTTTAAGAAAAAAGAAAAGAATCTTGGGTCTTTGGGACAGTATCAAGCAACCTGACAAACTGGATTCAGAGAAGAGACAATGGAGAAGGGAATAAATTGAAGGAATACGACTAAAAAAATCTCCAAATTTGGTAAACAAAAATGAAGCTCAGCACAGCCCAATCAAGATACATAGATAGCAGATCACAACTACGTAAGTTATAGTCAAACTGGGGCTGGCGCCGTGGCTCACTTGGTTAATCCTTTGCCTGTGGCGCCAGCATCCCATATGGGTGCCGGGTTCTAGTCCTGGTTGCTCCTCTTCCATTCTAGCTCTCTGCTGTGGCCCGGGAGGGCAGTGGAGGATGGCCCAAGTGCTTGGGCCCCTGCACCCACCTGGGAGACCAGGAAGAAGCACCTGGCTCCTGGCTTAGGATCGGCGCAGCACCAGCCATAGTGGCCATTTGGGGAGTGAACCAACGAAAGGAAGACCTATCTCTCTGTCTCTCTCTCTCACTGTCTATAACTCTACCTGTCAAATAAATAAAATAATAAAAAAAAGTTATAGTCAAACTGCTAAAAACTCAGCACTCAGGAAAATAACATATGCTTGAGAAGAAAGACAAGAAGGATGGCCAGCATCTTATCTGCAAAAATCAAGGCCAGTCACCAATGGAATGAAAACTTTAAAGTGCCAGAGCAGGGGACTAAAAAGAAGCAGAGTCTGTCTAATCTCTTTATAGCAAAAAAAAAAAAAAAAATCCTTCAAGAATGAAAATGAAATAAAGATATTTTCAAATAAATAATCAGTCACAGAGAGAAATGCTAAAGGTAAAGTAATGACACAAGATTAAACCTCAGAATGAATACAACTACCACTATCTGATATTCCACTTTTCTTTGGATTATTCAAAAGTAATCCAAAGTAATATAGTGGAATCTAATACTGAAACTGTGAACTCCAATGAGCAATTAGCTTGCATCAGATTTGCACATTTAAATATCCCACAGTGCCCCATGCCACTGGGGAGAGAAGCTGGGAAATGTGAATCTAGACCAAGATTTCCTAAAGAAAACGTTCTATACATAAACAAAAACATTAATAAGTTGAACTTACTAAAAGTTTCTGAAGAACAGTTAAATGGCAGCCAGCATTGTGGGATGGCAGGTAAAACCTCCAGCTGCAACACTGGCATCCCATATGGGTGTCAGTTTCTGTCCTGGCTGCTCCACTTGTAATCTAGACCCCTGCTAACAATGGGCTGGGAAAAGCAGCAGAAGATGGCCCAAGAGGCTCTGTCACCCACGTGGGAGAACTGGAAGAAGCCCAGCCCTAGCCATTGCAACCATCTGGGGAGTGAACCAGCAGATAAAAATCTCTCTCTTTCTCTGCAATTCCTTCAAATAGATAAATCCTTGTAAAAAATGAAAAGGCAGGGACCAGCACTGTGATGTAGTGAGTAATGCTACCACCTGCAGTGCCAGCATCCCATATGTGCGCCAGTTCGCCTCCTGGCAGCTCCACTTCCAATCCAGCTCTCTGCTATGGCCTGGGATAGCAGTAGAAGATGGCCCAAGTGTTTGGGCCCCTGCACTCGCATGGGAAACCTGGAAGAAGCTCCTGGCCCCTGCCTTCGGATCGACACAGCTCCAGCCATTGTGGCCAACTGGGGCATGAACCAGCGGATGGAAGACCTCTCGATGCCTCTCCTTCTCTCTCTGTGTAATAATAAATAATAATAAATAAATCTTCAAAAAAAAAAAAAAAAAAAAAAAAAAAAACATGGGGCCGGTGATGCAGCATAACGGGTAAAGCTGCTGCCTTCAGTGCCGACATCCCATATGGGTGCCAGTTCGAGTCCCAGTTGCTCCACTTCTGATCCAGCTCTCTACTATGGCCTGGGAAAGCAGTAGAAGATGGCCTAAGTCCTTGAGCGCCTGCACCCGCATGGGAGACCCAGAGGAAGCTCCTGGTTCCTGGCTTCGGATTGGCACAGCTGCAGCCCTTGTGGCCAATTGGGGAGTGAACCAGCAGATGGAAGACCTGCCGTTCCTTTTCTGTGTAATTCTGACATTCAAGTAAATAAATAAATCATCTTTAAAAAAATGAAAAGGCAGAACTGCAAACTACAACAAAATATACAAGTATATCCAAAAGATTTGAATTCAGAATATTTTATGTATTTATTTTTTTAAAAATCAAAGGTAAAATACAATCCAGTTAAAAAACCTGGTAAAAGCTTTGAATAGAAAACTTACCAGAAAAAGATGAGAGTAGCAAAAAGGACATGGAAGGGTCTGCAAAAATTTCCCACTAAGGAAATCTAAGTTAAAACCAAATGAGATTTGCAACAACTAGAACTCTCTCATATTACTGGTCAGAATGTAAATAGTACAACCATTTTGCAAAATAGAATGTTTTTATTAAGTTAAACATATATTAAACAGCACCTAAAAACTGTACTCCTACATATGAGGAGTCTTCAAAAATTTCATGTGGAAAGTGTGTACTGTGAAAGAATTACACACCTTTTTCTCTCACTATCCACTCTGCCTATCAAAAAAAAAAAAAAAATGCCGGTGCCGCGGCTCAATAGGCTAATCCTCCGCCTAGCGGCGCCGGCACACCGGGTTCTAGTCCCGGTCGGGGCGCCAGATTCTGTCCCGGTTGCCCCTCTTCCAGGCCAGCTCTCTGCTGTGGCCTGGGAAGGCAGTGGAGGATGGCCCAAGTGCTTGGGCCCTGCACCCCATGGGACACCAGGAGAAGCACCTGGCTCCTGCCATCGGATCAGCGTGGTGCGCCGGCCACAGCGTGCCAGCCATGGTGGCCATTGGAGGGTGAACCAACAGCAAAAAGCAAGACCTTTCTCTCTGTCTCTCTCTCTCACTATCTACTCTGCCTGTCCAAAAAAAAAAAAAAAAAAGAATTACACATAGATGTCACTATTTTTTTTTTCACCAAAATAAACCATACTAATTTGTTATAATACATCTGCCCAGAACACAGTTTGAGGCACTAAGAAAAATAAGACATCAGTTTGAAAAGAGCCATTATAACTGACACTATATGAATTCTGCTAAGATTGAAGTCAGAACAAACATTAAAATGAATGGTGAAGCTTGGGTGAAAGAATGGTGAAATCACTGATGCTTTACAAAAAGTATAATAGCACAGTGCCCTCAAAGAAATCAGCAGTTTACAAATGGGTAATGTATCTTTTTTTTTTTTTTTTTTTTTTTTTTACAGGCAGAGTTAGACGGTGAGAGAGAGAGAGAAAAGTCTTCCTTTCTGTTGGTTCACCCCCAAAATGGCTGCTACAGCCGGCGCACTGCTCCAATCTGAAGCCAGAAGACAGGTGCTTCTTCCTGGTCTCCCAAGCAGGTGCAGGGCCCAAGCACTTGGGCCATCCTCCACTGCCTTTCTGGGCCACAGCAGAGAGCTAGAGTGGAAGAGGAGCAACCGGGACAGAACCGGCGCCCCAACCAGGGCTTGAACCCGGGGTGCCAGCGCCGCAGGCGGAGGATTAGCCTAGTGAGCCGCGGCGCTGGCCATGGGTAATGTATCTTAAGAAGGAACAGGATGATGATGGAAACGAAGCTCATAGCAGCAGACCAGCCAAATTAATTTGTAAGGAAAAAAAATTAATCTTGTTCATGCTGTAGTAGAAAAGGACTGATGAATAACAGCACAAACAACAGCAAACACCACAGACACCTCAACTGGTTCATCTTATAGGATCCTGATAGAAAAAATAGAGATTTCCCACTCAATGGGTGCCAAAACTGCTGTGCTCTGACCAGCTGCAGACAAGGGCATAGCTTTCAATAGAAATTTTAAACAAGTACTGGCCGGCGCCGCGGCTCACTAGGCTAATTCTCTGCCTTGCGGCGCCAGCACACCGGGTTCTAGTCCCGGTTGGGGCACTGGATTCTGTCCCGGTTGCCCCTCTTCCAGGCCAGCTCTCTGCTGTGGCCAGGGAGTGCAGTGGAGGATGGCCCAAGTGCTTGGGCCCTGCACCCCATGGGAGACCAGGAGAAGCACCTGGCTCCTGCCATCAGATCAGCGCGGTGCGCTGGCCGCAGCGCACCGGCCACGGCGGCCATTGGAGGGTGAACCAACGGCAAAAGGAAGACCTTTCTCTCTGTCTCTCTCTCTCACTGTCCACTCTGCCTGTCAAAAAAAAAAAAATTTTTTTAAACAAGTAGAATCAAGAATTGTAAGAGATGAAACATGGCATTCCTAGTATGACCCTGAAGACAAAGCACAATCCAATAATGGCTACCAAGAGGTTGAACTGGTCCAGTCAAAAAAGAATGGACAGGTCAACAGCAAAATCATGGTACAGGTTTTTGGGAATGCTCAAGGTCTTTTGCTTTTTGACTTTCTGGAGAGACAAAGAAGAGTAACAACTGCTTATTATGAGAGTTTTGAGAAAGCTAAAGGTTTAGCAGAAAAATTCCAGAATCCTTCAACACAACAATATTCCTGTTCATTTCTTGCATCAAACAAGGGCGCGATTTTGTGATAGTCTCAATGGAAAATCATTAGACGTCTACCTTACATCCCTGACTTGGTTCCTTCTGACTTCTTTTGTTTCCTAATCTTAAAAAATACTTGGCCGGCGCCGCGGCTCACTAGGCTAATCCTCCGCCTTGCGGTGCCGGCACACCGGGTTCTAGTCCCGGTCGGGGCGCCAGATTCTGTCCCAGTTGCCCCTCTTCCAGGTCAGCTCTCTGCTGTGGCCCGGGAGTGCAGTGGAGGATGGCCCAAGTACTTGGGCCCTGCACCCCATGGGAGACCAGGAGAAGTACCTGGCTCCTGCCATCAGATCAGCGCGGTGCGCTGGCCGCAGCGCACCGGCCATGGCGGCCATTGGAGGGTGAACCAACGGCAAAAGGAAGACCTTTCTCTCTGTCTCTCTCTCTCACTGTCCACTCTGCCTGTGGAAAAAAAAAAAAAATACTTAATAGACACCCATTTTTCTTCAGTAATTAATGTAAAAAAGACTGCTTTCACATGGTTAAATTTCCAGGACCCACAGGGATGAACTAAATCATCACTTAAAGCATCTTGAGCTTGATACACCTTATGTAGAGAAGCTTATATATTTTATTTTTATCTTCTAATTCCATTTCCTTACAAACTTTTTGAAGACTCTCTTACTTACCCAACAGAAAAGAAGACATACACTCAGAAAAAAGACATAAGAATGTCTATAGCAGTTTTCTTTATAATAGCAACAAGCTAGAAATAACACAAAAAATCCAACAATATAGTGACTAAAATATGGTCTAGCCATACAGTAAAATATTATATGGTAATAAGAATAAACTACTGATCACTCAACATGAATGGGTCTCACAATGATGACACAAACTGTGTGACTGCTTTTAAAGGAAGTTAAAGAATAGCACCTCTCTCCCCTACAAAACTCTAAGGTGTAGAAATCAAAAAAAGCATCTGTCTACTGAAGAGTTTTGTTTTTGTATAAGAGGCACAGAAATTTCCCATTTGCAGAGATAGAAATATCTTCCATCCACTGGTTCCATCCCCAACTGTCTGCAATGGCTGGGGGCTAGGTTGAGGCCAAAACTGAGAGCCAGCAACTCAATCCAGGTCTCCCAATTAGCATCATGAATCCAATCACTTGAGCCATCACCACTGTCTCTAAAGGTCCATATCAGTAGGAAGCTGGAGTGAGGAGCCAAGTTTCAAAGCCAGGTACTGCAATATGGAACACGGACATCTTAAATTAGATGCCTAATCCCCAAAGAGTTTTAGTTGGTAAAGCTTACATGAAATGAAATGAAAATGTCTTATACCTCTGATAAGGATGTTCCTTCCTGAGATAAGGACTTATCCCTACCTTCCTACTTTACGACATTGTCACTTGAGAATATAAAGATTCTGTGCCATCTGTAACCTCTGACAGAGGCAGAAAACAGGAAAAGAGGCTGTGTCTTCGATGACTTTAAACCCACGCTGGATTTACCTACCTTGAAACTACCTTTATTTGAATATTCTTTTACTTGATTCAAAAGCACTCTAACTGATCCTGAATGCAAACAAGTTATGATTCTAGGCAAACATCCAGCAAAGAAAACTCATAGCATGAATCAAATATCCCAAGGTAAGAAAAAAACACTTACCTTGTTTTTTCAATTTTGTCCCAACTTCAGGCAGACTACAATAAACAACATCTCCCAAAGCTTCCTAAACAAAAACAAAACACTCTTAAGTTAAACCCTTCCAGTAAACAGGAACAAGTCAAACATGGTGTCCCCTATAATTCAAGTAGTACATGGTTTATAATTGAAGGGCTCTGTTCTTTGGTTTTCCTTATAACTCTTCAAAAATGTCAAGGAAAAAAAAAAAGAAAAAACAAAATCCAACAACAAAATTATTAACTCAGGAACTATAAGAAATGGGCCACTGGCAAGATGTGGCCCATTAGCTGTGGTGACCCATCCCACTTTCACAAACACTGTGCCTCATCAAGGTTCCTAGCTCATCTGGCAAACACACTTTGTGCTTTTCCTCCTCTGCACTTTTACTTTTGCCATTACCCCTCCTGCATTTGCTGAGATCCTACTCACTGGCTCTATAAGTCATGGTCCTCAGGCCTTGTAGCCCCTGAAGACCTGGACTCTAGGAGGAAGTGCTGTCTCCATCAGGTGTGCATTCCAGCCTCTTGTACCCCCACAACAACTGTTCTGTAATGTTGTGTATTGTTTCCATAGAGTGATCCTTTCCCAGATAAATGCTAATAGGCAAGGACAAAATCTCACAAATGCCCAGCACTGGCCCTCACAGTTTGTAACTCTCCATGATTCTAACCCCTGGGAACCCACCATTTCCGAGGACTTTTACATGTTCCCATCAGTTAACATCCCCTTACCACACTGTCTCAATCAACATAAAGATCCAGTTGAAAAACCAGTGACTCATGCTATATTGAGCTTCGCATTGTTTTACAGTATGTCAGTATGGGATCAGTGGACATACTGGGAATTCAGAGAAAAGCAGGATAAATATAAGTTTTCCTTGTGTGTAATCTGTGCCTATTTAGGTTTTCTCTTTTCCTTGGTCACGAGTGTTTTAATGAAAGCACAAAATGCTGGCGACACTTCAGCCCCTGGCTTGCTGGTTTTCTTTTCTTAATTACCCAAAATAAAACAAACATTTCTTTATTGAATAACATGTTTCCTACTTTTAAGTGTTAACATTTCATTGTCTCCTAAATTACCACACACTTTCCTAACTAATGTTTTACTTAGTTGACCTCTGATTGATTTTTTTCTAAGGGTCTTTAAAGGGGCACAAAGTACTGTGGCAAAATAAATAATTTTTAAAACATGGCTGGCACCGCAGCTCACTAGGCTAATCCTCCGCCTAGCAGCACCGGCACACCGGGTTCTAGTCCCGCTCCGGGTACCAGATTCTGTCCCGGTTGCCCCTCTTCCAGGCCAGCTCTCTGCTGTGGCCCGGGAGTGCAGTGGAGGATGGCCCAAGTGCTTGGGCCCTACACCCCATGGGAGACCAGGAGAAGTACCTGGCTCCTGCCATCAGATCAGCGCGGTGCGCTGGCCGCAGCACTACGGCCGTGGAGGCCATTGGAGAGTGAACCAACGGCAAAGGAAGACCTTTCTCTCTCTCTCTCTCACTGTCCACTCTGCCTGTTAAAAATTAAAATAAAATAAAAATTAAAAAAAAATGACAATCCAAAATTACATGAGAGCAGACTGTCATAAATATTTCAAGACAATCCAATACCTGTGCAAAATTGCTGATTCCCACTGTTCCAATACCATTTTCTGTTGTTATCCATTCATGTTTCTCTGTGAACTTACGCACTAAAACAGAAAACCAATTATTTCAGAAAAACGGCATCACTTTTTTTTTAACTTTTACTTAACAAATATAAATTTCCAAAGTACAGCTTATGGATTACAATGGCTTCCCGCCCCCCATAACGTCCCTCCCACCTGCAACCCTCCCCGGCATCACTTCTTGACAAGCACTTTTGAAATCACTACTATCAAAAGGTGAGACTTGCCCATTTGTTGTGTTTAACTTTCTGACTGTGCCCAGGAAAAGAACAAGGATCATGTATCAAGATAGCACATCCTGTAAACAGTGGTAACAGTTAGGTAAAGATGGCTTGATTTGAACACCTGGTGCATCTTTGGAAGATTGAATTATTTGCTTTAACATTAACCTGAATCATAAAAAAAAAAAAAAGCGCATTTCAAATGTATTCTTAACTAATGCAGAAGAACATCCCTCTGATAATAGACATGGAGCTGATAGGATTGAGAGGCAGCTTAAAGACTACTCATATAAGAAATGATCTAATTAAAACAGAAGAAACATTCCCTTAGGTAGAGTTGACCTAAAAGAGCTTTGCTGCAACTTGGATGTTAAGTGAAACTTCACAAGAAGGAAACTGACCTCCTGGAACAATAACTTGATTGAATTCTTGAAATTCTGCTGTAATCAAATTTAAGTCTATCCTTGAAGGAAGTAACTATCATCAATTAAAGAAAACTAAAATCCCAACTCAACAGTCACCTCAGAACCAAGCCATTAATTGGTAAAGTCAAGCTCTGTACAACATTGACTAACTTTATGAGCTCTGTCTCTTCACAGACTGCCCAACATTGGGAAGATGTCAAAAAGTACTTTTTTTGGAAGAATAATATTTTTTAAAAAAGCATTATTCTTAAATGTATATCATATTCTGAAAGCCAATCATTTTTCTAGAAACAGCCCAATAGAAATTAACAGGAGAATGTTTGTTAAATACTATTTTATGGTATACCTTGCTTGTTCATTCTTCCCCCTTCTCATAAGATAGTTGTACTTAAAATAGTATTGAGTTGCTTTGGTCACAGCTCTGATGCAGCAGAATGGAAATTTGTATAATTTCACCCTTTCTTACCCCCAGCCATTATCAAATGCTAAATGTTAAGCTCCTCGGTGGAAGAAGTTGCAAAATCTGTCACAAGGAAACTTGTTTTGCTTCATTCTACCTCAAAGAACTGAATACTTCAGGTTAAGTTGGGTACAGTGCATTCTGACAGAAACATTCTACCTACCACCTGACTATTTCTGATTTCAGCTGAGAAACTCTTCCCTGCCTCTGGGTCCCTGGGCCATCCAGCATGCTCCTGCAGCAGCACTTCCCTTGCCAACAAAACACAACACGGAACAGCATGAAGCCCAGGGATCCATTTCTCCAAGGAAGTAGACTGTGTTCGTATAGCCAGCAACAGAGTTTGGCTGATTCTCATCTGGAGTCCCAATTTTACAGTGCTCAGCAAATACAAGCACTCAGAAGTGGAAGGAGTGAGATTTTAAAACTTATTGAGCAAAGGGGGGTCTGAGCAAACAAATGTATATGGCTACAACTCTCAGTTCTCCCTCTTTCTGTTATACTCTAGAACCCATAATTACATTACCAATGTAGTAATGTGATTATGTAAAAACAAATATACTTATGAAAGTAGGTCATATAAATAGATGACCTTGGGGCCGGCACTGTGGCCAAGCAGGTAAACAACTGTCTGCAGTGCTGGCATCCCATCCACATGGGCTCTGGTTCGAGTCCCGGCGGCTCTTCTTTTGATCCAGTTCTCTGCTATGGCCTGAAAGCAGTAGAAGATGGCCCAAGTGCTTGGGCCCCTGCACCCACATGGGAGACCCAGAGGAAGCTCCTGGCTCCTGGTTTCAGATAGGCATAGCTATGCCTGTTGCAGCCAGTTGGGGAGTGAACCATTAGATGGAAGATCTCTCTCTACCTATCCTCTCTCTTTGTAACCCTGACTTTCAAATAAATAAATCTCAAAAAGCCGGGGGGGGAGGGGGTGCCGTGGCTCACTTGCTTAATCCTCTGCCTGCAGCACCGGCATCCCATATGGGTGCTGGGTTCCAGTCCCGGTTGCTCCTCTCCCACTCCAGCTCTCTGCTGTGGCCCGGGAGGGCAGTGGAGGATGGCCCAAGTGCTTGGGCCCCTGCACCCGCATGGGAGACCAGGAAGAAGCACCTGGCTCCTGGCTTCGGATTGGCGCAGCGCAGGCCGTAGCGGCCATTTGGGGAGTGAACCAATGGAAAGAAGACCTTCCTTTCTGTCTCTCTCTCACTGTCTGCAACTCTACTTGTCAAAAAAAAAAAAAAAAAAAAAAAAGAGAGAGAGACCTCTTTGAGGACACTATGGCCCTGATTTTGGCCTTGCCATCTTGCTGAACTCTAGAGATAATTTTAGGAGTAAGCTTGGTCTGTGAGTGACCACCACATAGAGATGGCAACAGCATTACTAAGCTCAGGTAGAGGTCCACTCAGCTTCTAATGAGTGCCTGTCTTTTTTTAACTAGTCATGCTAGACTAAAGACAATGATTAGTATGCTTCTCCTTTAACCCTTGACCCAACAGGAAAAAGTGGCCAGATTAGGTAAATAATTACTTTCTTCCTCGGCCCTGAAAAATATGGTTTTGGGCCTCAGAAACTTAGGAGTTGTAATTAATAAAAATTTTGCATTTTCCTCTTTCAAAGTTACAAGTTAGACAAAATACATTTCATAGTAATATTGACCTACTTTTCTTATCCTTTATCTAGTGTAACATTTGTGTGTTTACTATGGTCAGGCTATATAGGTAGCAGTTACATTGTTTCATTTATCCTAACAATTCTGTGAGGTGGAGCTTCATTCCCAGTTTTCTGATGAAAAAAAAAAAAACGAATTCAGAGAAGTTAAATGACTGCCCAAGATCGCACAGCTCCTGAGGCAGAACCAGAATGAGAACTGTAGTCTGCTATTAAAAACTAGGCAGTAGGGGGGAAGGTGGGTAGAGCTGCCGCCTGCAGTGCTGGCATCCTGGGTGCTCTGCTTCCAGTTCAGCTCCCTGCCATTGTGCCTGGGAAAGTAGCCTAAGACGGCCCAAGTACCTGGCCTCTGAACCACGTGGGAGACCCCGATAAAGCTCTTGGCTCCTGACCTCAGCCTGGCCACTGCAGCCATTTGGGGAGCAAACCAGCCGACAGAAGCCTCTCTCTGCCTCTGCCTCTCCCTCTCTAATTCTGACTTTCAAATAAATAAATCGGTGCACTCTATCCCATAGAAGATACCATTATCATGTATCAATTATAAAATAGCTATATAAAAACAAAACCCTAAGTGACTAACAGATCACGGGTATTGGTATTTTGGGCAATATTTAACTAAGGAATGCAGACAGCTAGAGATCGTGTAAGGCTGATTCACAAAACCGACTTAAAACTCTTATTACTCCTGCATTCCAATTGGCGATTCATTGATATTTGTCATAAATAGAGCTGAAATTAGCAAGAGAGGAGAAGCAAACTTGATGCTTCAAACTTTTGAATAAACGGCAGTTTATTCCGAAGAGGTTTCTGACCAATGATGGAGCAAGTCGGCGGCCATACAGATCTAGGTGAGTCCGAGTTCTCCAGGGGCAGCTGGTGTCTCTAGCATCCAACTATGCTTTCCTTCCTCCGTTGCGCTGACTGTGCAGGGGCACCCACGGGCAGGTCTCCCGGTCACTCAGGCTGGTTGAGGCAGGACCTCCTCTGCAGAGCCCGGCTTCGTCCTACACGAGGTCATGCCTGTCCCGGACTCGTGCAAACTGCACTTTTAGCCGGTGCTTCTGTGCTAACGCTCCTTCGCAGTTCTCAGAGGCAGCCCGTTTAGTAAACCAGAGCCCCGCACTCGCCCTCACGGGGCGCAAGCTTGCGAGACAAGCCACGGGCCTGCCCGCGGGCCCCTCCGCCCAGCCCGGCACCGGGCGCCAGGGTCGCCGCACTCCCGCCTAAAGGGTGGGGAGTTGGGGGTGGGGAAGCGGCAGCAGAACGAGGACTCCCAGCGCCGGGCGGCTCAGCAACCGGACCCGCCGTGGTTCCCGTCCGGCGCTGCCTGGCAGGTGCCCGGCTCTCCCCCCACGTGCCCGCCGCGCTTACCCGAGAGCAGAGCGGGTCCAGTGCGCAGCGTCCGGACGGCGCCCGCCCGCAGCCGCCAGGGCAGAGGCGAGCAGGGGTCCGGCCGGGCCCCCGAGGCCCCGAGCAGGCTGCAGGCCGCGGCCCGCAAGCTACGCGCCACTCGCAGCGCCATGTTCGCAGGGGTGCCGAGGGTCGCAGCGCTGCAACCGGGCCACCGGACCCGCGGGAAGCGCAGGGAGGGTGAGGGGGCGGGGCGGCCCAGGCCAAAGCGAGCTAGTTGGATGGACGCGCGCGGCGGGGCCCGGGCGAGGGGCGGGGCCCGGTCTGGTTGGGTAGCGCTCGGGGGCGGGGATTCCTGAGCCAAAAGCGATCTCGGATAGGGCCACGCGCAGGGGTTGTGGACCTGTGTGTGGCCGGAGGCAGGACGGTGGGCGGGGCCTGGCGCTGCGGGGCGGGGCCTGGCGAGGATGCCAGGGCCCGGGGGCGGGGCGGAGGAGCTGGGTGAGCTGCCCGGAGAGGCGCGTGGAGAGCTGCGTGACCTGACCGCCGGGACAACTTTTGCTAGCAGGGTGGCTTTCCTGGGGTCCCGCATTCCGGTGCCCTTGAGTCCCCGGGCTCCTGGGTTGATGCGGTCCAACCCTCTACGGAGGATCAGGATCACTCCGAGCCGGATTCAAAGCCAGCTCTAGCCAGAATTCGCTCCACCCAAAGATGATTGGTGGGCACCGGCCAGAGTCAGAGTGACACAAATGCAGTTCATCCGACTTTGAAATACCGGGAACAGGCCACGAGGCCACTTCTATAACTTCACAGATCCCAAAACTTGGCCCAGGGACCCCCAAACGTAACAGACACAGCCAAGAAGCGAACAGGAGGCGAGGACTGGCCCGGGGTCAGTGTGGCATATGGACCCGAACCAGGCCCGCAAGCAGGAGGTGAGAGCGTGGACCGGTCTGTGCTCAATTGGCCAGCTGCTAACAGGCCTTCGTAGGGAAGCCTAAATTGTCATCCGGATCCAATGAGGCAGGAAAGCACCCTGCTCCAGGAAAGACCTCATGTCCAGGGCAGGTTTATGGAGTGGGCACTAGTGGGCCGAGAAACTGGTGTGGAAAATGCCTCAAACTGCACACCTTTGGCATGGATCCACTTCAGGGCAGGTGTGCGTGTGTGGGCCCAGTGTTGTTGAGCTGACTTTTGCCTGGTTTATATCCAGTGCTGCTGGCACATCTGTGCATTGGCTGCAAGGGCTATCACGCTGCCTCTTCTCCTGAATAAATAAGTAGTTCGCACCTTCTGAGCCCCTGGTAAGACCTGGCACCAGGCAAGCATTGTCTTTTAAATCTTCTCAAAGCCCCTCTTTGGATGGCATTGCTCTCATCTCAGAGGAAGCTCTGGAAACCAGGCAAGTTTCGCTCACCCCGGAGTTTGCAGCCTAAGGAGCTGCTAGGTGACAGTGCTAGACTTGACTGACTGTGGCATGCTGACAGGATCATTGGTCAGCTCCTCAGCTTCCTGCTAATGGGTGCCCAGAGCTGGGGGTGGCGGTAGCAGATGATGGCTCAAGTGCTTGGGTCCTTGCCACCCACATGGGAAACCTGGATTGAGATCTAGACTCTGGCTTCAGCTTGGCCCAGCCCCTACTTTATTCTTTTCTTTCTTTCCTTCTTGCTTGCTTGCTTTTTTTTGTTTGTTTGTTTTTGTTTTTGTTTGTCTTGTTTTGTTTTGACAGGCAGAGTGGACAGTGAGAGAGAGAGAGACAGGGAGAAAGGTCTTCCTTTGCCATTGGTTCACACTCCAATGGCCACCGCGGCCGGCGCGCTGGGGCCTGCGCACCGCGCTGATCCGATGGCAGGAGCCAGGTTCCTATCCTGGTCTCCCATGGGGTGCAGGGCCCAAGCACTTGGGCCATCCTCCACTGCACTCCCTGGCCACAGCAGAGAGCTGGCCTGGAAGAGGGGCAACTGGGACAGAATCTGGCGCCCCGACCGGGACTAGAACCCAGTGTGCCAGTGCCGCAAGGCGGAGGATTAGCCTAGTGAGCCGCAGCGCCAGCCGCTTGCTTTCTTTTTAAGATTTATGTATTTATTTAAAAGGAGAGATAGATATGTTCCATCAGCTGGTTCACTCCTCAAATGGCCACAAATGGGGCTAGGCCAGGCTGATGCCAGGAGCCGAGAGCTTCTTCCAGGTCCCCCACATTGGGGCAGGGGTCCAAGGACTTGAGCCATCTTCCAGTGCCTTCCCAGGCACATCGGCAGAGAGCTGGATCAGAAGTGGAGCAGCCGGGACTTGAACCTACAGACGTATGGGATGCTGGCATTGCAGGTAGCGGCTTAACCTGCTGCACCACAACACCAGCCCCTCTCTGGGGCATGTGGCTTTGTGGGTCTGTGGGGTTTAATTGTCAGGGCAGAGGGTGGGATCCTGCTTCAGTTGTCTTAAAAGGATTTCAGAGGTTTCATCCAGTCTTTCATCATCAGCGTTGATTTAGTCCGCTCTTTAAACACCTCATCAAACACCTATGTTTCTCTTATTTTTCTTCTCAGCCGTTTTTAGATTATTCCCACATAGTGTCAAGGTAGCTGCTAAAGTTCCGGGCATCTTAGACCAGCAAATGTGAGCAGCCTGAGTTTCTCTCTGTGAGTCTCTTCATTAGCAATACGCCCTTCAGACCTTCACTCATTTGTCACTGGGCCAAACTGGGTCATGTGGCTATGCTGAACCAATGCCAAGAGATATGGATTACTATTCCTAAGACAAATTAAGGTCTCCCTGGAGGTCACCAGCCCATGAGTCATGGGGCAGAGGGGTAGACGGCTATTTGAATAAAGTCAGGTTTCTCATAGTCAAGAGGAAAGCATGCAATGGATTTGGAACAGGGAACATATATATGTGTTCCAACGGATGTGTGAGAAGGAGGACAAGATGGGGTGTGCAGGAAACTGTTCACAGCTTTGTTCCCAACATGGAGGGAGTGTACGTGCATCCACACCAACACCTGGGAGCCCCTTATTGAGTGGATCTGTGGTTCTCAGAAATGAGCACCTATTATCTAGTCTAACTGCACATTGGAATTGCCTGGGGAGCATATAAAACTGGTTCTTTGAGGAGTCAAATGGGTTATTAGGCAGTTGATTGGTCCCAGTGGAAACTAAGGGTACAAAATGCTTGCTTCTCCCAAAAGTTGTCTTTATAAGTTCAAAAGTACCTGCTGCAATCCTTGGGAGCTTCCATTTTTATCATGAGAATAGCAAGGGAGTGGCAGTTCCAACCCTCTGAGCTCACAGTTTACTGTAAAAACAAGTTTCCTATCCCCACCCCTCCAATGGCATTTTTATTTTATCATGAGCAAGCCAGAAGGAGCAAATAAGATTACAGATCAGGTCTTTTGATGTGTTTTGTCCCAGCCTTGTTACTATTGTCAAGTTTTTTTTCTTCCACAAAATTGTGCTTAAAAACCCCACTCCCATCAGCCCTGTTGGGTTGAGTTTTGCCTCTCTTGGAGCCCCTCTTCCTGGCCACTCCACCAAGGAAGTCTGACTTAAATAAATCTTGGTTTTAAATATGTTTTGCTTTTCTCTCTGCCTTGTCCGTTTGGAAATTCTTCTCTTCCATGTGAGACAAAGAAGACCTGAGGTATTCTTTTCTCTGCTGCCGTTTCACCAGTAGTAGTTCCAACCCCGAAAGTGCAGTGTATTGGAAGGAGGCCTGGGGAGCTAGCCGGCAGCTCACCTTTGGAATCACCAGTGGAGACCAGCCATTCCCAGAGCGCTAGTAAAACGGTCGCCTCTTCCTAAGCCTAGCCTGGCCTGCTAGAAGTCAGTGACCAAATGCCGCAATCACAGGTTCCGCTCCACCACTATCCTAATGGGATTCGCTGCTCCCACTTCCTTAGGTCTGCAAACCTAGGTAAGCCCTGTTCTACTTGTACAGGCTGCTGTTCTCTCGTGCACGGGGGAGGCAGCCTGCCGGGTTTCCCCTACCTGACAATAAACCTCCCTTGCTGTGCTGTTTGGTGTGTTTTGTGGTGACCTTTCACAGAGCATTGTCTGAGGAGCACCAGCCCTGGTGAGGGCTCCAGTATGCGATGCGTCGATCCAAGAGGTCTAGGAGTCATTGCAGACTTTGTCTCTCATGCTCATAGAGACCCTGCAGTACACATGACCACGTTCAAAGTTCTGACAGTTTCACACTACAGAGCCAGCACAGCAGCTGGCATTGTGGCACACCAGGTTAAGCCTCCACCTGCGACATTGGCATCCCATGTGAGCATTGGTTTGAGTCCCAGCTGCTCCATTTCTGATGCAACTCCCTGCTAATGTGCCTGCTAAAGCAGCAAAAGATGGCCCAGATGCTTGGGCCCCTGCGCCCACATGGGGGACCCAGAAGAGGCACCTGGCTCCTGGCTCCTGGCTCTGGCCAGGCCCAGCCCTGCCGTTGTGGCCATTTGAGGAGGGAACCAGCAGGTGAAAGATTCTCTCTCTCTCTCTTTTTCTCTTTGTCTCTCCATCTCTCTTTAACTCTGCCTTTCAAATTAATTAACTTAAAAGAACCAGTATAATAGTTTATAAACCAGTATTTTCTATATTTGATCCACAAACTTTTTTTAAAAATTATTTATTTATTTTAAATGTATTTATTTATTTGAAAGGCAGAGTTACAGAGGCAGAGGCAGAGAGTGAGAGAGGTCTTCCATCCAGTGATTCACTCCCCAAATGGCCACAACAGCCAGAGCTGTGCCAATCCAAAGCCAGGAGCCAGGAGCCAGGAGCCAGGAGCCAGGAGCCAGGAGCCAGAGCTTCTGGGTCTCCCATACGGGTGCAGGGGCCCAAGGACTTGGGCCATCTTCTACTGCTATCCCAGGCCATAGCAGAGAGCTGGATCAGAAGTGGAGCAGCAGGGACTGGAACCGGCACCCATATGGGATGCCGGCCCTGCAGGTGACAGCTTTACCTGCTATGCCACAGTATCAGCCCCTATTTATTTATCTGAGAGAATTAGAGAGATCTTCTATATGCTGGTTTACTTCCCAGAAAACTGCAACAGCCTGGCTAGGCTAGGCTGAAGTCAGGAGCCAGGAGCTTCTTCCGGGTCTCCGACATGGGTGACAGAAGCCCAAGTAGGTGGCAGCTTTTCCTGCTATGGCATAACACCAACCCCCACAAACCTGGGGGGCAGTGGGGAGTAATACCTGTTATAGATCAGATTGTGTTTCCTAAAGAGATATGTAAAAGTTGTGCGCCCCACCCCGAGTACCTCAGAATGTGATCAAATTGGAAACTAGGGTCATTGCAGATGTAATTAGTTAACAAGAGGTCTTACTGGAGTAGGGAGCCCCAAATCCACTGTAACAGTGACCATGACCTGTGCCCTGAGAAGAGGAGAGAGACACAGAGAAGTGGAGAACAGCAGGTGACAAGATGGGAACTGGGCACCTACCAGCCAAGGCCTGCTGAGAAACACGAGGCGCTGGAAGAGGCAGGGACTCTCCCCTCGAGCCCATGGAGGGAGCACAGCTTTGCCAGCATCTTGATCTCAGGCCTCAGGCTCAGACACTTTGTTCTGCAGCCCAGGGACACAACACACTGCCAGTGAGCATCTTTCAGACCATGTGAAAAGCCATTCAAAGGCAACCCCTGGCCAACCAAGGAGATGAAACTTTAGAGGATTTTTTAAAAGGTTTGTTTATTTATTTATTTGAGAGGCAAAGTCAATGCAGAGAGAGCAGAGAGAGGGAGAGACAGAGAGAAAGGTCTTACATCTATTACTGGTTCAATCTCCAAATGGCCAATCCAAAGCCAGGAGCCAGGAGCTTCTTCTGGGTCTCCCACATGGGTGCAGGGGCCCAAGCTCTTGGACCATCTTCCACTGCTTTCCCAGGCCACAGCAGAGAGCTGGTTTGGAAGAGGAGCAGCAGGACACAAACTGGCACCCGTATGGGATGCCAGCACCACAGGCTTAACCTACAATGGCACAGTGCCTGTTACAAGGAATTTATTTATTTTCGTAACTGAACTCCACCCAATATTTATTCAGTCTCTGAGAGGATATACATTTGAACACACAGGTTTTCACGGTAGTGGCAGTTTTGCTTACTTGTTGAGCTTGGTAACTTTCCTATGCACAGAAGCAACAATACCCTGGTGAGACTACAGCAGTCAGTGATAAGCACAGCCCGAAGTTCTGACCTCCAGATGATTGCATGTGGACGGGAACCAACAGCTTAAACCCTGGACGAGGCTTGTACTGGGTGAGAGGCTGCAGCCTTGGGCAGCGACTCAGGCTGCTCACAGCTGCCCTGAGGCTCCTCCCTTTTGCCTTTAATGCCCAAGAAACTGAGTGTTTTCATCAGCAGCAAATCCATAATCTGTTCTTCCTCTGACAGCTGCAAGGGAAAAGGAACAGAGTGATATACATAATATCACCCTCTCTGGGGCTTTTCTTTCTAAGGGGAAACCACAGTTTTATCATCCAGTTTGGCCCCAGTGGGAGGTCACTTTGCTACCTAAAGTTGTTTGAGGGGTTGGGATGACCTGTGTTCCTGCTTCCCATGCCTGAGCATGCCTGGGTTTTCCTGGCAGAATTTTAAATCCCCAGACTGGAGCAGAAAAGCCTGGGCTGGCACTGAACCTGAATTTCAGCAGCACGGCATCATGTGGGCCCACTTCTGAGCCAGCTGTCACCCATTTCCCTCTAGGGCAGATCTGATAGTGACTCTGTGTGCTTTACGGTTTCTGCTTGCGCTGTTTACCTCACACTGCACATAGTGAAGAGTACAAAGCTTCTCACTGTGAGGAGTCAGGCAGTCAATAGACAGTCAGATTGGTCCCAGTGCAAAATGAGGCAAGAGGAGTCCCCCTAAGAGGGTGCAGAAGGCTTGCGTCCTCCAAAAGTAATTTTTTTTTTGACAGGTAGAGTTAGAGACAGAGAGAGACAGAGAGAAAGGTCTTCCTTCCGTTGGTTCACCCCCCAAATGGCCGCTACGCCGATCCAGAGCCAGGAACCAGGTGCTTCCTCCTGGCACTTGGGCCATCCTCCACTGCCCTCCCGGGCCACAGCAGAGAGCTGGACTGGAAGAGGAGCAGCTGGGACTAGAACCCGGCGCCCATATGGGATGCCAGCGCCACAGGTGGAGGGTTGACTAAGTGAGCCACAGCCCTGGCCCCAAAAGTAATCTTTAGCAAGATCAAAGTGTTGAATCCCACTGCAAGTTTCTCCCCAAAAGCTGCCTTTAGCAAGACAAAAGTGCCTGTCCCAGTCCTTAGAGCTTCCAGTTTTATCACGAGAACAGCAAGGGAGAGGTGAGTCCACCCTTCTGAGTTCCCAGTTTACAGTGAAAACAGAAGTTACCTTTGCCCTCCTTCAGGTAGCAAGCTAAACACGGCAAATACAAATCAGACGTTTCGATGGGTTATGTCCCCAGCCTTGCAACTGACTGTTAGCTGATTATCAATTTTTCTCCCCAAAATTGTGCTTTAAAACCCCACTACCACCAGCCCCTCAGGTTTTGCCTCTGTTGGAGCCCCACTTGTAGAGTTTTGGCAGGCGGTTCCTGACTTAAATAAATCTTGCTTTTCCCTCTGCCTTGTCTGCGTGGAAATTCTTTCACGTGAGACACAGAACCGAGGTAAATCTTTTTCTGCTGCCATCTCACCTGTAACACAACCACCTACATGTATTTCATAAATAGCTCAAAGCAAAGAAAAAACAATTTCTCTGAAAGAGGGAAGGCAGAGTGCAGCTACCAAAGAGTCCCACTCAGTAAACCGGTCAGAAAGTGTCCTTGGCCACCCAGAGGACTGCAGCAGAGGCCAACAACACAACATTTCGGGGACTCAGAGACCTGAGTGACCTGTAACTGACCTGGGACCCCCACCCACTCTTTCACTGATGATTTTGTTTGCACTTCCCTGGCCACAATGTCGAGGAATGACAGCCTCAACCAGGGACAGAGAAAGAAAAGGGGACACCCCCCAGCACTAACCTTGAAAAGTGGCTGCTCACAATTAACTAGTGAAGCAGCTGCCCACTGTGATCTTGTCTAGGGAGGGAAGAAGTCCTAAGTTCTGCTTCTGTAAACTCCAGTCATAAATCTGTCCTAACGAATCCACTCCTAGTATCTCTTTTAAAAACATACTGGACCCATGGACTGTTGGAAGTGTGGTCCTAAGTCACACAGGCTGCAATTTAAAGATATTTTAAGAAACTTGGGTTTGTTGCCCAGTCTTCAGGAAATGATTCCGGCTGAGCCCTCTGGTGTTAATAAACTCCTTCAATCTTCCACTGTCTCCAGTGCCTGCTTGAATGAAGGGAGTTCTTGAATGAAGGGAGTTTTCCCACTCCAGATTCTCCAGATTTCTTTCTTTCCTTTTTTTTTTTTTTTTTTTTTGGATAGGCAGAGTTAGAGAGAGACAGAGAAAGGTCTTCCTTTTCCGTTGGTTCACCCCCCATATGGCCGCTACAGTCAGCGCACTACACTGATCTGAAGCCAGTAGCCAGGTGCTTCCTCCTGGTCTCCCATGTGGGTGCAGGGCCCAAGCACTTGGGCCATCCTCCACTGCACTCCCAGGCCACAGCAGAGAGCTGGACTGGAAGAGGAGCAACTGGGACAGAATCCGGTGCCCCAACCAGGACTAGAACCCGGGGTGCTGGTGCCACAGGTGGAGGATTAGCCAAGTGAGCCGCGGTGCCGGCCCCACCCCAGGTTTCTGTAACAGCAAGACAGGGACCCAGCTAGCAATGGGGCATATGGAAGACCTCACCTGCTAAGTACCCCTTGCATGATTATAGCCAGGTAGCTAAATCTGTGTTTCCCTGTGTAAACTTGACCCGATTCCCTTTGGTGGAGCAGTTGGATGTTGAGGCACTAGCCTGCCACATCCCTGGCTGCTAGCATCTTTCTCCCCTACTTTCCCCCAGACTGTCATCTCCTGAGTCACTGGCTTCTCTTGCAGCAAGTGCCTGATCTCAGGTTCAGGTACAAGACTTTACACGCCTGAAGTCGCTGCTAGGAGTATATGATGGTGCAACTCTTTGGAAAGCAATGGGCAGTTCCTCAAACTGTGAGACACAGTTACCTTATGACCCTGAAATTTCACCTCTAGGAATATGCCTGGAGAAATGAAAGCCTGTGTCCATGCAAAAATCTGTACCTGAGGCTCATTATCATTCACAATAGCTAAAATATGGAAACGACCCAAATGGCCATCAACTGATGTTTGGATTACCACATTTGTGTCTTATACACACAGTGGAATATTATTCAGCCATCAAAAGGAAACAAGTCATGATACACACTATTGTGAGGAGTCAGATGGGTTAAGAGGCAGAGCAGAGTGCTTGCTTTCCCCCAAGGGTTGTCTTTAGCAAGGTCAAAAGCACCTGATTGCCCACTTCTTGGGAGCTTCCAATTTTATCATAAGAATAGCAAGGAGTGGTGATTCCAGCCTCCTGAGCTCACAGTTTACTGTAAACAACTTACCTATCTCACCCTTCTGATGGCTGTTTGTTTTATCAGGAACAAGTCAGATGGGATAAGAGATTGTGAATCAGGTCTTTTGAGGGGTTTTGTCCCTGCCTTATAACTGAATGTCAATCTGATTGTCAAGTTTTTTTTTTTTTTTCCTAAAATGTGCCTAAAACCCCACTACCACCAGCCCCTTTGGGTTTGCTTTTCCTGAAGCCCCCCTACAGGCCACTGTGGTGGGAGATCTCTGACTAATAAATCTTGCTTTTAAACCTTTAAATCTTGCTTTTCTCTTTGCCTTGTCTGCTTCCAAATTCTTCCATGTGAGACAAATAATATTCTCTCCACTGCCAGTTCACCTATAACACTATGATGTGGATGATACTAAGTGACATGAGCCATTTACCAAAGGCCACACGGTGTATGATACCATTTATATGGAATGTCCAGAATAGGCAGGGAAATCAAGAGAAGCATAAGGTAGAGTAGTGCTTTCCAGAGGCTGGAGATATGGAGTGTGAGGAATGATTATGAGTGGGTATAGATTCTTTTTGGAATAATGGAAATGTTCTGCAATTAGGTAGTAGCAGTGGATGCACAGCTCTGCAGATATACTAAAAACATGGCATTGGTTATGTTCAAGTGGTGGATTTTACAGTATGTGGACTGTATCTTCATTTTTAGATGGATGGGTTTAGTCTGCATGCTTCTCAGCAGGGACTCGCTCTGAAAAACTAACTTCAGTTAAGAGTGTCTAACTGCCAAATCAGGATAGAATCTGAGTACCTGGGTTAAACCTAGCAATATTCTCTGCTTCAGTGCTAAAATGAAAAATGTGCTTCCTAAACACTTCAAAACTGTTTTCAGTATATCAAGGGCACAATAGGAAGTATAGTTGGTTTTTGTCACTGCTTCCTGTTCCTAAACCATTGAAATGCCCTGTGTAATAGGGGTGTCTTTCTCTATTTGGTAATGAGCTTAAAAAATGACACTTGAGTTTATGCTAATGTAACAACTTAAGTTGGGACATCTAGGTAGCTTCTGATTGGGGCTGATCACCAGAAAGACCCAGTGGACTGGAACCTTCTGCCTAAGCATCTAAACTCTACCTGGGGGAGGGGACTGGAGGGTGCCTGGGATCACAAGATCTGATGATGAGTTTCCTGGCTGCCAAGCAGGTGGGAGTGCTGGGAAGGAACAACAGCGTCATAGGGTTTGTTAGGCATGCGGATTTTAAGGCGTCTTCTAGCCTGGAAGAGACAGGTGAGCTCCCATTAGGCTCTCCCTTAACACAACTGCAGCTCCAGAAGCACTAGGTAAACCACTCATACCCGGGGCCGGCACGCTGGCTCACTAGGCTAATCCTCCACCTGCGGCACTGGCACACCGGGTTCTAGTCCCGGTTGGGGCACCGGATTCTGTCCTGGTTGCCCCTCTTCCAGGCCAGCTCTCTGCTGTGGCCCAGGAGTGCAGTGGAGGATGGCCCAAGTGCTTGGGCCCTGCACCCCATGGGAGACCAGGAGAAGTACCTGGCTCGTGCCATCGGATCAGTGCGGTGCGCCGGCCGCGGCGGCCATTGGAGGGTGAACCAACGGCAAAAGGAAGACCTTTCTCTCTGTCTCTCTCTCTCACTGTCCACTCTACCTGTTTAAAAAAAAAAAAAAAAAAACACTCATACCCGAATCAGGCAGACCTGGGTTCCAGTTACACTTTCTACTTTCTAGTTCTGTGATCCACAGTAAATGACTTCCACTCCAAACCACAGTGCAGTACACCTGTTCCAGCAAGCTGTCTTCAGGATTAAATACAATAAAAATGTGTGAAGCTTTTAGCGCCACAAGTGTCATGAAGGAAGCGTTCTGCAAGTGGTGGGGTGCTTTGTTCCGTGCGGAGTCTACGTTTAAACGCCCCCTTCTTGCCGGGAGCATGGCAAGCAGACCATCTTCCCCAGTGGAGGAAGTTGACCACCCTCCCCACTGGCTCCTCTCTGTGCCTCTGTGATGGAGGTCGAGGTGGTGGGGCGTAGTGCAGGGGCTCTCAGCCTCAGCAGAGGGGATGACAGAAGTACCAGTGCCTGGTCCTACACCAGAGATTCTGTTTTTGTTGGTCTCTGGTGTGGCAGTGGCAGTTTCTAGAAGGCTGGGGGTGGGTGATTCTAAAGTGCAGACAGGGCAGAAGGTCACAGGGCAGTGAACGGAGCTCACGAGGACCCAGTCTAGTCTAAGCTCTGCGCCTCACTTGTGATTTCCTCCCTCAGTTTCCTCTCCTACAAAACGAGGGCTTTAGGTTACAAATGGAAATCTCAGGTCTGCCTAACGTCTCAGGCTACTCAGCCAGCCTCTTCATGGTTCAGGGTCAACCATGGATGTAGAATAGTCCAGAGGGACTCGCCTGATTGCATTTTTGCTCCTCGCTGAAGGCCACCAGGATGACAGAGATGAACAGATTCAGCACCACAAACGTCATGAACACAATGCAGGACCCAATTAGGAAGGAGCCAAGCACAGGGCTGTAGTCCAGGACCTGCAGGAGGAAAGCCAGAGTCGTCCCTGTGTCCTGTGTCCAAAAGGCCACCCCTCAGAGTTGGGCAGAGCCTGGAGCCCGAGGGTCCCCTCTGCCGGGGGGTGGGGGCTGAGAGTATGCAAGAAGTGCTCGGAGCCAGCACCCTGGCTCCCCAGTATAATCCCCTCGAAAGATGGGTGCCATTTCTGGCAAGGACAGGAGATGCTCTCCTGAGTCAGCAGGACCTGCGACGTTCCCAGAGTAGGAGTCTGCAGGGGGATGCTGTGGGCTCTAACATGAGGCTGTCTGTCTGGAAGAAGGGGAACTTTGTATTTGTGCAAAGTGGCCCAGCGCTTGCCAGGCCATGGACCTGAGAGGGGCATGATGGGGGGTGCAGGGTGCATTTTCTAGTTTTCCTACAGGCTTAGCGTGGATGGCCGTGTCCATGCCCCTCTCCCCCAGCCCTGTTACCTCCTCATAGTTGAAGATTCCCAGCTGAAGGCTGATCATCGTTTCTGCCGCATCAAAGAGAGTTTTGTAGGAACGGAGTTTCCAACCAAATATCAAGTTTGACTGTTGTGGAAAGAGTCCTCATGAACAGGGAAGAAACTGTGAAGCCCCACGGAGCCCGCTGTTAGAGTCAGTGTCTGTGTACAGGGCCCTGAAAGTGGGTGTGCGCACAAGCTGGTTCTGTACCGGATGCATTTCTCTCCACATGCCTGTGCGTGTGTGCACCTGTGGTCATCAGCATCTGCACATGCATGAACATGTGTGTATGTGTGTGTGTTATGCATTACAAGTGCCTACCCAGTGACCTTGTCCAGGACCATGGCTGTGTCCACAGGCTCCGATGGAATCTGTACCTGCCTCTATCAGCACAAGGAAGAGCTCAGGTACACTTCTGCAGCTCAGGAACCCACCTGCCCAGCCACTGCTGCACCCACCAGGTGGCTGCTCAAAAACTCAGTTATGAAACTGGATGTCTGAGGCCACAGCCTTTTTACTCTGGAGAAGTTGGGGTGGATGGACAATGGGCTGCTTCTGCCTGGGCAGGGATCCCCTCCCACCACCACAATTCCACTCACCACACCACAATCCCCCTCCCAAGACTTTCCCAGGGATGTGGTATGACAGGGAGACCCAGCACCTTTGGCTCTGAGTAGGTGACTTGTCCCAGAGGACACTGCATTATCCCCACAGCCCAAGTACTGCGTGGATCTTCATAAATCAGGGCACTGGGACAGGGAGTTTTCACAGACTGTGACTTTTCAGCACATAGCCTCCCTACTCCATCAGGGCACCCACCTCACTCCATCAAAGCACTCCAGGGTGGGAGAGCAGGGGTGGGGCTAGAGATGGAAGGGGGTCAGGGCTGAGGTGAGAGGGATAGAGGATGGCTGAGAGTTAGGGATGGAGGTGACTGGTGATGGGCTGCCAGATGGTGTGATCAGAGAGTGGAGGAGTGAGAGCCTGGAGGGGGCCATGGTGAGAATGGGGAGGGGTGGGGAGAGGGTACAGATGAGTGGGGTCCAGGGTTCATAGGAACCGTGAACTTGAGCATCTGCATGGGGTGCATATTTGGTTGGAGATCAAGATGTGGCAGATGAGCCACAGTGGAAGAGAGTCTTTGATCCTCTTGTTACTTGATAATAAGGAGTTGAAAGTTTAATATTTTAGATTCCGCACCCACCGCCCCCCGTCACAAAAGACATGTGATGGCCAGAATGCTGTGTGTTGGGGGGCTGAGTGAATGAATCAGGCCTCATGTCTAGGACACCAAGTGTTGACCTGTGGGCTTACCTACCCTCATGCCCCCTCCTATGCCCTGGCTCAGGAACAGGGTGACCCATTCATCCCCTGACTCTATGCTTGTCTGGAAACTGGCCCCGGGCCTCTGAGCAGTGGGGACGTCAGGAGGACCACACAACCAAGTAGGGTCTAATGCAGGAAGGGATCCTTCACTGAGGGGAGCCGGGTCTTGTTTGTCCTAGACCCAATGCCTCCTCACCATCCGCTTCCCAACACTGAGTAGCCTTGGCTTCCAGAGTCCAGCCCTGAGATTTTCCCAAAGGAGCCACTCACCGCGACAGAATAAGCCACAAGCATGACAAGGACAACGCCGCCGAAGCCCGAAATGTCACCCCAGGCACGGCGCAGGGCTGCGGTGATCATGTTCATTTTGGGATTCAGCCTGAGCAGGTGCCAGAGCTTCACTGTGGACAGGAGAACTAGGAACGCGATGATGTAGCCCAGGGCAGCATCGGCAGCTGCTGTCTCACTGAAACTGATGGCCCTGTGGGACAGATATGAGTTCAGAGACGGTGAACAGTCCAGCTGGAGATCACACAGGCAGGCTTAGGCTCATCAGCCGCTCGGAGGCCGTCATGTCCAGAAATGGGTCTGGGAGACAGAGCTGTGCCAATGCCTACAGCCGGGTGATGGTGATGATAGTCCTGTGATGATGGTGAGAATGATGGTGATGGTGACAAAGACAACGTGGTTATGGGGCCTCGGTTGCTAGTTCATGTGACTAACTAGCACTCCTGATTAATGGCTGCGGAGCTGTGGACAATGGGAAGGTGATAGAGCCAGGGGCTTCTGTGAGTCTTCCTCTTCCTGAACTGGGCTCACTGGTGCTACCTCCCCCAGCACACTTGTCTGCTACGTCCAGTGCTGCTTAATGTGCAGGCACTTCAAACAGTTCATGAAAGATGAGAATTATGACAAAATTATGCAGAGATTTCTTTTAATTCTTTTTTTGCAGAGACTATTGGAATTACCCTTGTATCTGAAGGGAGAATGGAAGGTGCTGTTTAAGTGGGAACCTGATTTGCATGGTCTCGTTTGAACTTCTAGATGAGGTAAGCCTTGCCAGCTCTGTTTCACAGAGAGTTGGCGGGAGGGCACACGGCCAGTGACATTAGCAGTGATCTGAGTGCAAGAGTGAGAGCTGGAATCCAGGTGTGTGTGATTTCAAAGTCTCTGCCCACCATCCCATCCCAAATGCAAGTGTATTTCCTTATAAGTGGCAATACCATTAATGTCACATGATAAATAAATATGATACAGAGATGCATACATATTATGGATGTAATATAAGAAATATAAATATAATTGCCACGATTTATATACTAATTTGGATGTTGGATGTCCCTCAAAAGCCTACGTGTTCAAAGCTTGGTTCCCAGGGTGGTCCTATCTAGGAGGAAACGGAGGTAGCCATGGGTTTTTGGGAGCGTCCAGTGAGAGGGCTGTTATCAAAGCCTGCATTTGGGCCTGCCCACTCTCTGCTTCCTAGCTCACCGTATGGTTCCTCCTCCATTTCTGCTCTGCGGTTGCCATCAGCTGCCCACACAGGGGCTGAACCTTTGGGGGTTGCCCAGTCTTGGAGCTGTGAACCTCCAGAACGGTGAACCAAAATAACCTTCTTTAGAGGCAGGTTGCCTCAGGTATTCTGTTATAGTAACAAAAAGCTGACCAATACAGTCATAATCATAAACACACATACGTGTATATATTCCTAAGAAGACAGACCAACCAACATGTGATTTTCTCAGGGATATTTACTGGACTCAAGGTTTTCCCTTCTAATGCAGACATGTTTCTTGTGAATTGAAAATTTTGTGAGGTCTGCCTTCCAGTCTGTTCTGCAGGAGAAGCCTGTTGGAGCAGGCCGGAGGATAGAGCACCTGCCCCAAAGCCCTCTGGCCTTGAGAACTTGCCAGGTACCCATCCTGCAGGTCAGCTCTCTGCAGGACTACTCCAAGGGAGCAGACACCAGGACTGGACTGGGCACCATGGGTCCTGGCCACGCCAGAGAGATAATACCTTTCTATCCAAACCTCTTGCCTTCCAGAACCTTCCTCCCCTTTGGAGCTGCTGGGATGGTTGGCAGCTTCTTCCTTGGGCTCCTGCAGCCCCCTTTTCCTTTCTCTTTAAAAATACCGCATCCACTCTGGAGCCATTCAGTTGCTCTTGTATGTGGAATCAATAACAATGCTTAAACCCTCCTTTGTAATAGCAGTCAGCTCTAATTAAGCAAGCTTTTCAGCTTGTGTGGGGCACCAGCATCGTAGGTCTGGGATGTGGGTGTGGCCGAAGGGGCGTCTCCTCTGCCCGGCCATTCTGCCTCTGACCCAGGCTGAGAACCACTGGGTTAAAGCTGCTGTGAGCTAAATCATTTGGGCTTACAAGGCATTTTTTAAATCCAGGACCTGGCTGTCAGAATGACTTATTTCAACAAGAAAGTGAGATCTACAAGCTTCTAAAGCAAACAGAATTTTGGTTAATTGATTCATCAAATTCAACTGAGAGACTCAAGTGAAGTTTCAGATTTAACTATGCTTGGATGTCTATCAAAGTGGCAGATTGCTTTTCTGTTTTCTGACGTTCCGTGTAAAGAGAGAGCTCTCTTGTTTGACGAAATTAAAATTGTTTGATGAAAACAAGACCCCGTCTGTGCGGATGTCAAGAATGAAGCCTGTGTTGGATCACTGTGAGGAATCAGAAAGGCTGGCTAGCCTGGGGTCTGCCAGTGACCTCAGTCCCGTCTGACCTGGAACAGCTCCCCATTGTTCCCGCCCAGAGCTCAGCCTTTGTCCTCTAAACAGAAATCCACAGGCTCTTGCAGTGAAGGGCCAGAGGCTACACATTTGAGGCTTTGTGGGCCAGACGCTTGCTGTCACGTGACTCAGCTCTGCCACTGTAGTGTGACTGTCACCCAGGCTAATAGGCAGTTAGGTGCGCCCGCCCGGTTATAAAGAGGGAAAGTGGAGTTCCTCCAAGAGGGTGCAAAACCCAAAACTTATCTTTAGCAAGATCAAAGTGCTGAATTCCACTGCAGGTTTCTCTCCAAAAGCTGCCTTTAGCAAGACAAAAGCGCCTATCCCACTCCTCTGAAGCTTCTAGTTTTATCCTGAGAATAGCAACCAAGTGGTGTTTTCATTCTTCTGAGTTCCCAGCTTACCATGAAAACAGATTCCACCCTTCTGATGATTTTGTTTGTTTGTTTTATTATGGGCAAACTAGACTGGACAGACAAGATTACAAATCAGGCCTTTTGATTGCTAGCCACTGTTTTTTTTTTTTTTTCCTTTCTCCCAAAAGTGCATTGGCTTGCCTCTCTTGGAGGCACTCCCCCTCCCCCTCCATCGCTGCTTTCTCTCTGCCTTGTCCACATGGAAATTCTTCTTTCATGTGAGACAAAGAACTGATGTCATCTCTCTCCACTGCTGCTGCACAGGAGCACAGAAAAGTCGCCCTGGGCAACACGTCAGCAAAGTGGCGTGGCAGCGTTGCAGTAAAACTGAATTTACAAACAGCAAGAGTGCTGGATGTGCCACCCCTTCCAGAGCCAAAGCACTTCTGAGTGTTTGAAATAAATGCTTTTAGTATTTACAATCAGCTCAAACAAAAATAGAAGTGCTTCTGACAGTTTCTGAACTCAAAGAACTGTGCTGATACTGAGACATTTTTATTAAGGGGAACTTTCAGAGAGGGTGGAGCTTCCGCTGGTTTGTTGACTGAGTGAGACCAATGGTGGAGGTTAGAAATAGGGTTCAAATTCCGAGTGCTGCATGAACTTGCTGTGTGACCCCTACAAACAGCCTCTCTGTGCCGACTACAAGATTTTTCTTCATCTGTGAAAAAGGAATGATGATCATGGCATCTCTGGCTTCACCTTGGCCCAGGCCTGGCTGCTGGGGGCCTTGAGGGCGAGTGAGTGAACCAACGGATGAAGACATGTATTTCCTCTCTCATTCTGCCTATCAAGTAAAATGACATTAAAAATTTTTTAATGCCATCTCCTAGAGGTTGCAAGAAGATTCAAGTAGGGGAAATAGTGCTTTAAAAGGGAGTGTTGTATGACTATGTGTGACAGCCAGCAATAGCGTACGTATGTTAGCTGTATCTTTACAACAAAGACACACAAGCACTCAGAGTGAAGGAGAGGAACCTGGAGCCACACCAGCTGGGTTTAAATGACTTCTCTACCACATTGCAGCTGTGGAGACTTGGGGCGGTCACATCTCATCCCTGGGCCTCAGTTTCTTGTTAAGTCGGGGCGATGGTAACCTCCACCTTCAGTGGTTCCAGGAGGGCTCACTGAGTCCGGCACCCAGTGGACCCTCGGTCAGTGCTAACACAGGTGGTCACTGACATTTGCAAAGGTCTCCCCCAAAACGCTGAGAGAGCCCTGACCCTCTGCCACATGACCCTCCGTTTTGGTGAGACTTGCAAAAGCAGGAAAGTGTTCCGGTTTGTCTTCACGAACCCTCTCCAATTGTATATGCTTTAGACCCCAACCCTGCTATCACTTCTGCTGGAATTGCACTTGGACCTGCCGAGGGTCAGTAAGGTTTCCAGAACCTCCCTCTGACCCCAGATCTCAGACGGCGGCCACTTACTCCTCCCTGTGCTTCCGGCAGCGCCGGAGATCACGCTCAGCCAGGATTGCCCTCTTGACGAACACCACCAGGGCGCTCCAGCTGGCCAGGATGATGCCCAGCTCCAGGAGGTTCCACTTGCTGCTGAAATAGCCCCACTTCTGCTTCCTCATGAGCTTGCCCTGGGGAAGGAGAGCAAGGTTCTGCCGAAGGCTGTGGTGACAACTGCCCCATACCCTGGCCCCACAGCTGCTCCCTGCCCACCACGGGCCTTCCACCCCAGCAGGAGTTAGAGATCCTGGGAGCCTCCTCGTGCCTTGGCCCCTTGTGCAGGGAGTGCAGTGGAGGGCTTGGGGGGTAGATGCTTCCATCTGCCCCCACCACTGACCCTGGCTGCAGTGCTTGTAAGAGTAAATACCATCTGTAGTAAGAAAAGAAAATTAGTTAAAAGCAGGCAAGACCAGAGACTCTCCCCCACCTGCCTCACTTGAGAAAGCCTGCAATTGTGAGGTCTTTCTCAGCCTCTGAGATGCAGATAAGTCTTTTGAAAAAGTAACTGAGCTTCTAGCGGGTTTTGGGAATACTTTTCTCAAGGACACCTTGACCTCTCCCGCTAGTCCTGTCTTTGAAGTGTAATTGTCATGGAAGATAGCATCTCCTCTTCCTTCTGTAGGTACCTGGCTCCAAGTTGCAAAACTCCTGTCATAAAGATCAAAGTTTATTTTTCCTTTTGACAAAGCCAATTAACAAAGGTGGCCACCCCAGTGGCCAGGTTAATTTAGGAAGGACAGGGTGATGAGTGGGTGTGGTGGCGTCCTGTCCTCTCACTTAAAGAATCCAGCACTTCCTGTTAAGAACAGGTGTGTCCAGGTGCCACCTACTCGGCTCCCCAAGAGGACTGGAGTTCTAGCTTTGTCATCTGTGGTGCACATCACCTTCCAGTTTAATGCTCCCAATAATAAAAGTGGTTCTCATAAGGAGTTCTGGGGAATTGCTTAATGGGCTGGTTTGGGTGATTTGAGATGAGAAAGTTCTGAGAGGGGTGGTGGCAACGGCTGCAGAAGGGTGTTCAGGTAATGAGTTTGCTCTGACCCACGGCCCACATGGTAATGCTCTGTCTAGTCACCACAATTTTTTTTTTTTTTTGACAGGCAGAGTGGACAGTGAGAGAGAGAGAGAGACAGAGAGAAAGGTCTTTCTTTGCCGTTGGTTCACCCTCCAATGGCCTCCGCGGCCGGCGCGCTGCGGCCGGCGCACCGCGCTGATCCGATGGCAGGAGCCAGGAGCCAGGTGCTTTTCCTGGTCTCCCATGGGGTGCAGGGCCCAAGCACCTGGGCCATCCTCCACTGCACTCCCTGGCCACAGCAGAGGGCTGGCCTGGAAGAGGGGCAACCGGGACAGAATCCGGCACCCCGACTGGGACTAGTACCCGGTGTGCCGGCGCTGCTAGGCGGAGGATTAGCCTGGTGAGCCGCGGCGCCGGCCAAGTCACCACAATTTTAAAAATTTCTTAAAAAAAAAAAGTTGTTTTCTGTCTTTCCTATTGTGGAGAGGTTATCTGGATTGGCAGGTGTTTAAAGTCTACTTCCCCCAACAGGTGTCCCAGATCAAAGAGAACCATTCTGGGCAGGTGCTGCCTCCCCCCGCCCCAGAACTTTCTAGGGTTTGTTCCGTTTCCCTCAGGCATTCTTAGGGAGGAAGGGCTTGCTGGTTTGGCTGGTTAAAAGGCTAGGTCCACCTCCATTACAAAGGGATGGAGAGAGAGAGGAAGGTTTTTCAAACCTGCGGAGCAAGAACAAAGTTCTGAGAGATTTAATTGGGAGTGTGGCATTCTGAACTGGGAGGAGAGGCGTGAAGCATGGAGGCAGGTGGTGGACAGCTCTCCTGGGAGGTTGTCAGACAAATGCAATGTCTGGAGATGCTATTGGATAATGACTGACTCTGGGGCCTGAACAGACCATGCTCAGGGCGACCACTCAGGTCCCCTGCTTTGCGAGGCTGACCCTGTAGCATAGGAGTTGAGGATGAACGTGTCAGACTCCTTGGGTTCAAATTGTGACTTTGGATACATTACTTAGCACCTCTGGACTTGACTCTCCTACTCTGCAAAATGGAGCTCACAAGACCTTTGTCCTGCCAAGGAAAACCTCCGTAAGATTCTTAGCAGGAGGCCTGCTGTGTGGGAGTGTATGAAAATATCACCCTCTTCCTTTGAAGAGGTGGCTGGAGCAGAGGACCCCTTCCAGGTATCTGGTTGGCCTTTCTTGGGGAGGAGAGGGGCGCCAACCTGCTTCAGGTGGGTTCCCAGCATCTTCAAGGCTTTATCGTTACCAGCACCTGCACCCTTTAAGGGCAGCAATGGCAGCAAAAGCCACAAAGGGCCCACCGATGAGACCAAGATGTTAAGAACCCCTACAGTCTAAGTTCAGAGACCCCCCGTCAAGGGGATGGCACCCCTCTCCACCCCCAACCCTGGCCTTCTGGAAGGTTTCAGCTCAGTAGAGGTGTCCTGAGAAGTGTCCAGCTGGGCCCTGCCATGGCTGCGGCTGTCCACAGCAGCCTAGATCACTGCTGTAGACCAAATCGAGCCACGCAAACAGCCAAGACAAAGCCTTTCTCCTCCCTCTTCTTCAGGCCCCGCCCAGGACCACCCCACACCCTACTCACACAACCTCCATCCCTGCCCATGGGGCCACAGGTCCACCCCTCACCTGCTCTACCATGTAGTAGAGGAGGAAGAGGAAGTAGATGAGCTCTGCCGCCACCACGAAGGGGTGCCAGCCATCCGTGAAGGGGTACAGGCGGAGGCTCTGCAGGGCCGCGTGTGTAAAGAAGGTTCCTGCGAAGCAAAACACATTCTGTTCAGCACAGCCACCTGCCTTCTCAGGGGGTGCCTGCAGCCCTCCCAAATGCTGGTGGAGCCAGGGAAAAGGCAGAGGTCCCTCAAAGCCCGTGGACACCAAAGACAATGGCCCCAGTCCTTACCCTGCACTGCTGTGGGCCATTGGGCAACAGTCACCTCCAGCCAGAGCACATCCACCCACTGAACAACTGACCCCAAAGTGGCTCAGTGAATGCCATTTCTCTAGACACTACACTGAAGATCAGCTCACCTGATGGCCAATGTGCCTAATATTCTACCTTTTTTTTTTTTTTTTGACAGGCAGAGTGGACAGTGAGAGAGAGAGACAGAGAGAAAGGTCTTCCTTTGCCGTTGGTTCACCCTCCAATGGCCACCGCGGCTGGCGTGCTGCAGCGGGCGCACCGCACTGATCCGATGGCAGGAGCCAGGTGCTTCTCCTGGTCTCCCATGGGGTGCAGGGCCCAAGTACTTGGGCCATCCTCCACTGCACTCCCGGGCCACAGCAGAGAGCTGGCCTGGAAGAGGGGCAACCGGGACAGAATCCGGCGCCCCGACCGGGACTGGAACCCGGTGTGCCGGCGCCGCAAGGCGGAGGATTAGTCTAGTGAGCCGCGGAGCCGGCTTCTACCTTTCTTTTAAGATGTTTATTTGCGAGGAAGATAAGCAGCTCATCCTTTGGTTCACTGCCCCCTAATGCCTACAAAAGCCGGGCTGGGCCAGGAGCAGAACTGGTAGCTAAGAACTCAAACAAGGTTTTCCCTGTGGGTGGCAGGGACCTGACTACTTGAGCCATCACTGTTGCCTCCTAGGGTGTGCATTAGCAGGAAGCTGGAGTCAGGAGCCTGAGTTGAGGATTGAATCCAGGTACTTGGATGTGGGACCAGGTGTTCTAACCAGCGTCCTAAACCATGAGGCTACATGTCCATCCCTCAGCCTTCTTCTGAGTTGTTTCTCTGTTTTGCTTTTTCTTTGCCCGCCCCCCTCTTTTTTGCATTGTAATGATTTTTGAGCAACAATATGTAAGCCAATTTGACTAGTAAGTCTTCTGTGTGCCAAGTCAGTCCCAGGGATGACAGAATAGAGAGTGCCTGACCACTCCAGGAGCTGCTGATCACCCAGGCCAGAAGCCCCTGCCCCCAAACCTAAAAAGTGGCAAAAAGAAATAGAACTAAAGGTCTACAAATAAACGTCAAAGAACTTGAAAGGACCTGGTACCAGTGGAGAATGCCACTGTGTGGAGAAATGGAAGACCTGCCTTTCACCTTACATAGTCCCTTTTGTAATTAGATATGAAACAATATTTTCTAGGTGTTTAGTATTTAAAGGAGAAGAGGTCAAGTTTTAGGCAAATTGACAGGCTCTCATGTTCTTGATCTTGAGTTGTTTGGGATTAGCCTTTTTTTTTTTTTTTAAGGGATAGAAAGAGAACACAGAATACATAGCTAAGGACAGTGGTGTCTGCGAGACTCACCCCAGTTGTGTGTGTGTGTGCATTGGGTTGTGATGTAAAATGAACTTCACACTCTGGGTTGATGTACAAGTTGAAAACTCTTGCTTTAGGTGGCATCACCCATTACCAAGTCACGCTCTCTCCAGCCCCTCCCTGCCAGCTCCCACCCCAATGCCCAGGAGAGAGGATGAGCCACCTTTAGACCCCAAGGGGTTCCTTTAGGAGAACTAGGGAGGCAAGGGATGAACAGCTGCAGGGAGAACAAAGACCCAGGCCTAGATTTTCCAGGCAGCTCTGGCCCTGGGACAGCTGGGCCCGGATGGAAGAGGCTCTGAGGCAAGGTGGCACACCCAGGGCGCTGGTCTCCAGGATCAGTGTGACAATGCAGAACAGGTTGACGTTGGCGTTATACACGGTGAACTCCACAAACACGGCTCTGGTCTGTGTGTCCAGCCAGGTGTTGTCAAAGAGGTACTGGAGAACTCTGGAAAAGAGGGGCTTTTGAGGGTCCATCCCAGAAGGCTCCCTGTCCCCTCCCTCCCCTGACAGGGTTGGGGCACCTGACTGAACTTCCCCTCCCTCTGCTCTGCTCCCAGGGCCAGCAGGGCAGGTCTGAGGAGTGGTCACCACCATTAGTCCTCAGGGCAGTATCTTGGTGCCCACAGTCTCCAGGATATTACAAAGATGGGCTTCCAGACCAATAGTAGCAACATCGTCTGGGAACTTGTTGGAAATGCAGATTCTCAGGCCCCAGGCCTTCTGAATCAGAAACTCAGTGGCTGGGGTCCAGGGTGGTACATTTTGATGAGCCCTCCATGGGAGTCTGGTGCTTTTTCAGTCTGCAAACCATAGTGTTATAAAATACGTGTCCTCATAAAACACCTGGGGCTTAGGTGGCAGGTGCAGCTATGAAGGTCTTCCTGGGGCTGGCAGCTCACGTGAGATCAGCTCTTGGAGTTCTGCCAGCCTGGTGTGGCGACAGCATGTGCCTGGGAGGTGGCGCAGGAACATGGGTTCAAATCCTGACTGCTCATAATGTCTCTAGCCTTGGGTTCCTTATTTACAATGGGTCTGGTACCTCTGAATCATTGTTGAGAAGGTGCAAGAGTGTGAGTATTCATGTGTGTGTGTGTGATTGTAGTCATGACAGCTGTTACCACCACCAGCAGTAAGAATGGGCCTATTTTAAAGGATGTGGAATCCCCAGTGGGTCTGCATCCTGCTTCTTGCCAGAAGCAGAATGAGAGAATGTCTCAGTCACCCCAAGTGGCAGCAAAAACATGCCCACAGCATAACAGAGAGGTCCTAGCCTGGGCCCCAGGGTTCCCTGCCATTGCTTTCCTTTGGGAAAAGGAACCCTACTTGTAGGCAGGGTGCAGGCTGCACCTGGAGCCTTGGTGTTACAGTTCTACAAAGGAGGAAGCTGACGCTCTGGTGGGCTCTCTCATTTGCCTGGGACACATACACTGGTTCCCTGCTTCTAGGGTGCATGCTGGCAGAGACCCTAGAGCATCCCTAGACCCCAGAACACCAGGGCCCCGAGCATCCCTGCACATTCACACTGTGCTCCAGGGACACAAGGCCAGGCCATTTCTTAGGGCTGTTTGCAGTGAGCTGTCACGAGGGGTGAGAGGGTGTCTTCCTGCCAACAAAGAGAAGACTGGTTTGTGCTGCTGTAAAAGCGGTGAGAGCAAGCTCAGCCTTGCAGGCATCGGCCGGCATCTGTCACGGCCCTCGGCAGGAAACTGACTCAGACCAGCATGATGTTCCGCGGCTGCTTCTGCTGTAAAGTGACACAGGAGGCTTGCATCTTCTGTGAGCATCCAGGAAACAGGAACAGGCTAGCTTGTCGGCTTCAAGTAGGGTAAACTGCAGATCTTGTACAGGTCTTGCTGAGCCCTAAGCACTTCTCTCTTGCCTGGTGATGGACTGCTTTATGTGGTGGTGAGCTCCCCGTCCCTGGGCAGCTCTGGCAGAGGAGACTGAGCTCAGAGCACCAGCCCGAGAATGCTGGAAAGGGACTTCCCTTCCTACTCTGAGAAACAAGCACAAGCAGTTTCCAAGCACCCAGAAACATGACCTGATTCCGAGTCCCTCAGCCCCTCCCACGATGACGAGTGAGCACGGCTCAGCCCCATTTTGAAGATACATCACCTGTTCAGACACGGACTCCAGAAAATGACTTTCCTAAAGCCTCAAACGATCAAGTGAGCCTTACCTTGATGCTTTCTGGCGGTCAGAGCTCAGGGAGACCGCATAGCCCCCTCCTCCATACACAGTGAGCTTCCCCCACGTGGGATACCCTTGACGCTGGCTCTGGCTCTGGTACCGCCAAGCCTGGGGAAAGCTGTTGCTGCTATTGAGGGCAGAGGCATTCCAGCCTTCCCCGTAGTCTGCCAAGTCTTCAACATCCAGGGAATATGGCGCACGGCATCCATTGAGAGAAGCCTGCAGCTGCTGAGCAAGGGGGCACGAGCCTTGGCGCACCCTCACTTGGCGAATCTGGGCACTGCCGACCAGTTTGGAGTTCCCATCCGTGATAAAGCCTAAAGAGGAAAACCACGTGGGTGAAGTTGGAACTCGGAATCATCGTAACGCATTCCCAGCTGCCTGGTCCCAGGGCTAATGTGAACGTCAGTGTACCCATTTCAGATCCCAGCTGCCTGGTCCCAGGGCTAATGGGAACGTCAGTGTACCCACTTCAGATCCCAGCTGCCTGGTCCCAGTGCTAATGGGAACGTCAGTGTACCCACTTCAGATCCCAGCTGCCTGGTCCCAGGGCTAATGGGAACGTCAGTGTACCCACTTCAGATCCCAGCTGCCTGGTCCCAGTGCTAATGGGAACGTCAGTGTACCCATTTCAGATCCCAGCTGCCTGGTCCCAGTGCCAATGGGAACATTAGTGTACCCATTTCAGAGACTGCCAAGAGAAGCTTCTAGACAACCACAGGCCTCCTTCACCACCTGACCTGCCTCTCTACCCTCACAGACCGCTCTGCTCCCTCGGGGAGTACCACTCCTACACTCTTTCATGGACCGGGACATCATCTGTTCCCTTTCACCTCAACCCTTTTTGTTTGTTTTTTAATTATATTCCCTTCCTCTCATTTCTTCCAAACTTCTATCTTTTTTTTCCTAAGATTTTATTTATTTATTTGAGAGGTAAAGTTACAGATGGTGAGAGGGAGAGACAGAGAGAAAGGTCTTCCCTCTGTTGGTTCACTCCCTAAACGGCTGCCAATGGTTGGAGCTGAGTCCATCCGAAGCCAGGAGCCAGGAGCTTCTTCCGGGTCTCCCATGTACAACCCTCACTTCCTAATGGTCACCATGTCCCATCCACCCTACCTCTTCATGTTTTGTTGTGCATCCATTCCCTTTTCTCATTCACTGCTGTCCCCTGTCCCTGTGTCAGCCTCCATCCTGTCTCCCCAGCATCCTAACTTGCTCACCCACCACTCCACTTGCCACATTCTTCCAGAGGGGTCTTTCTTAACCCACAGGGGTACGTTCCTCCCTCATGAGGAACCCCCCAAGGTGCCCCATTTCCTCCAGGGGAAATCTGAACTGGGGAGCTCCTTCATCACATGGCCCCTGTTGATCTTTCCTGCTCTGCTCCTCACTACCCAGTGCTTTGTGGTTCCTGGCGTATATGCCGTGGTGTGCCAGGCATTTCTCATGTTGTTCCTTCCACCTGGTACACTGCCATTGCCCAGTGGATTCATGCCCTATTGTCTGTCACTTGGGACATCCTGCAGCACACACCAGGGGAGGGTGGGGCCCTTCCCTTGTGCACGCACAGCCTCCTGTGCCTGGTTCCAGGCCTTCGGCTGATGTTGATGTGACCTATATCTCTTCCTAGGTAGGAGCACAGACTTGGGGGCTGAAGCCCAGTCCTGGGGCCTGGGACTGTACCTGGGTGAGGAGTGAACAGGTTGTCCATGAGGGTGGTGTTGGCCCACTTGAAGAACTCTTGGAAGCTCAGCACGGCTGAAAAGCCTTGGGTGAAGCTGTGCTCGAGGTGTCTGTTGAAGTGGTAGGCGCTGGGGTCCCTTTGGCCATAGGCGGCCAGCAGTAGCATCCACAGGAAGCCTACATATGCTGGGAGGGGAGGCACAGCCCTGGGTCAGCAGGATCCCTGACTCCCACCAAGTCCAGGGAAGGAGATGGAATGGTGGATGGCCTGGAACAGTTGAGGCCTCAGCCCAGCCCCTTGCCCCTGTGGTGACAGTGGAACCAGTCCTTACAGACACAATAGGGAGAAGTGCAGATCACAGACCATGGGGCTTCCTGTCTGGGTTCACATTTCAGCTTTGCCATTTCCTACCCATGTGCCCTTTGCAAGTGACTCTGGCTCACTCTCATCATCTGTGAAATTGGGATAATTCTGCGACACTGGGTTGTATTGAGGGGACCCATTGGTATCTACAAAGCACTTAACAACAGTGCCTGGGCAGATTCCATTAGAGAGCAGAGTTTAACAAGTGAAGCAGCTGCCACGTTGCAAGGCTGAGGCTATGACAGTGAAGGAGACAGACAGGTGAGAGCACTGGGAGGGTCCCCTGAGTGTAAAAGACTTAGTTTAGGAGTCTGCACATCACATGCAGTAGATGCACGCTCCTCCTGAACCAGAACCTTGGGCCTGGGCCTGAGGATCTGCATTCCAAGAGCCTCCCACTGGAGGACACAGGGAAGGATGCTGAGTCAGAGGAGGGCCACCCTGGGGCTGCAGACTGTGCTCTGTCCCTGAGGTCTCTGGCAGGACAGTCTGAATTGTTCACATGGAACTCACTGGTCACACTTTATGCAGGCTGAGTGCCCTTTGTTTGCGATGTTTGGGACCGGAATTGTTTTGGATTTTGGATTATTTGGACATTGGGATATTTGCATATGCATAATGAGATATGTTGGGGATGGGATCTGAGCCCGTACAGGAAATGTGCTGTTGTTTCGTATATACCTGTGCACCTAGCCTGAAGGCATCACTGCACAATGTCTTCAGTAACTGTGCATGGACCAAAATTTTCAGATTTGGGAGCATTTCAGATTTCAGATTTTGAGATTAGGGATGGCTTTGTTGGCTGCCTTTCCTCCGATCTTTCCCAGGCCAGCTACCTGCCCTCAGATCTGCTTCTGGGAAATCCACTGAAGACCCACACTGAGGCTGGAAAGCTCCGGAGGAACAGGGGAAGCTGCTCTGAGCACACGGTGATGAGGTTGAGATTTAAAGAAGAAAACAGATTAGAAGAAAAGGAGGAGGAGGAGGGGAGGAAGGGGCAGACTGGTCCAAGGCCTGGGGTCAGAGAGGACATGGGGTCGCAGGAGCAGCAGACCAGTGGCTGGAGCTCAGAGCACAAGGAGCCAACAAAGGGCACTCGGGGTGGATGGAACCGCCAGGGGAGGTTCAGACTTTTTATTACGGAATTTTAAATGTAGAGGAATTCCGGAGTGAGTTGACATCCAGGGAATTGAGGCCAGAAGCCGCGTGGGACTTGCTGAAGGTTGTGCAGTGTGTGTCTGCTCAGGTGCACATGCGTGTGGTGGGAACCAACCAGGGGCAAGGCCGCCTACCCAGGATCTCTCTGATGAGGGCAAATGCTTTCTGTTCCTGGAGGCGGGTGGTTTTCAACTTCTCAACAGTGGCGGCGAGAGGCGGGTGGTAGATGTCCTTGCTGCTGCGTCTTCGTGCCCGGTACAAGGCACAGGGACCTGTGGAAGCAAGAACACCAGGGCTGTCCCCCAAGTGGGCATGGGTTCCAGGCTCTCTGCTGGCAACCAGGAGACCCTTCTCTCACCAGGTGGTATCATAGTGTTTCTCTTTAGCTATTCTGATAGGTGCACACTGACCCAATGGTCTTGCAGATCCGTACCTCTGTCTACTCCACCAGGCCTCCCTACTTGGCCTCCCCATTCGCACCTTTGACCCAGTTCCTCCAGCCCCTAAGAGCAATACCAGACATCTTTCTAAACTCACAAAACAGACCATGCCACTCTCCTAGTCAAAGCCTCCCTGAATCCCAGCACGACTTGCTTCCCACCCCGCCCTCTCCCCTCATCTTGAACCACACTCTCTGATCCCCAGCTCACCATGCTCCATCCACTCCGACAATAACTTCCACAAAATGACAAGCTCTGTCCTGCCTCAGGGCCTTTGCACATGCCCAGTGTGCAATCCCTTCCTTCCATCCCTCAGGAGAAAGCCTGGGCAGCACCTCAGTTAAGTCTGCACTCTCTCGTTCTGCCCCACCTCTGGGTCTCCCCGCAGATCACACCTGGATGTCTACTTGTGCTTTTACTGCCTACTGTCATTTCTGCAAATGGGCCATTCATCCCAGGGGCAGTGAGCGGCCTGTTCTGCCCATTCAAGGCCGTGTTGGCTGGGGGGGAGGCAACCTTGTGGGGTGGTGTTTTGCATCTGGATTGTGGTAATGGTTACCACAGTCAACACACGGTGCACTCTCAATGGGTGGATTTCATGTCACTTATGTTCCTGCGCTGTCACTGCCTGGCGCAGGGCCCGCCCTCTCTGAGGAACTGCCAGGGGAATGACTGTTTAACTGCTCTGGGGGCTGGTGTCTCTTTTGTCTTGAGAGAATATTTTAGTGGACTTTTTGGATCTCAAGGCCAAAACCCTGTCCTGGAATGGAAGACTTGAGGGCCATGACGCAGTAACCGTGCTGTACAGCAATGCGCGCCCAGGGGCGTAGTTTGTTTGTTCCTTGCTTATTTTCCGAGAAAGTCGAGATCTCTGCAGCAGGCAGTAGCAGCTTGATTTTATTTGGTTGGCTTGCTTGTTCTGTCTAATTCTCTTACTGGCAGTACCCTCAGAAGCTTGGGGTGGGAAACAAGAGGTCAGGTTGGCAGGAAGGGATTGATCAGCGGCCGCCTAGGCCAGGGGTCAGCACGACCGTGTTCCAATAAAACTTTATTTGCAGACACAGCTGATGGGCTAGCTCTGCCCGTCTGCTCAGGTTTGCAGACCTTGGTCCTAGAAGTCTAATCTACAGGCACGTTCTGTAGCCTGCCTGCCACCTGCTGCTGCATTTACTTCTTTATTTATCTTCCTTCATTTAGTTTGTTCTCAAGCCCAGGGCCCTGAGCCTGGGGGAAGGAAGAGGATAGCCAGGGAAGAGCTCAGTGCCTCTTCTGGTGGGGGGCTGCAAGGAGAGGAGCAACAGGAGACAGGGGTGGTATTCCTGGGTGGAAGGCTAGTGGGGGAGCCCAGGGACCCCTGAGGCTGGACTGCAGGGCCTACTCAGCCTCCTGAGCACCACCAGGAGACAGGCGCCTGCCTCCACCCACCGAGGTCCCCTTACCTGGGCCAGACAGATGTCCCAGCAGCGGGGGCACGGCCTCCTCCTCGTCCTCTACTCTCTTCAGCACCAGTGCAAAGAAAGCAGCGAAGCCCAGCACCTAGAAGACACGAGTGTTGAGTGTTGGCCTCGTGCCTGTGCTGGTCACTGCCAAGGCCCGGTCCAGGACTGGGCCACATTTCTGTTCCGGGCGTTGGGCCAGGCTCTGGGGAAGTCGGGTGGCTCCTATCCCCTCCTCTGCAGGAGGGTGGGGGCTTGTGAGGAGTGAGGGCCTCCAAGCAGAGGGAATGCTTGCAGGCACTGGCGCCGTCTCACCTGCTGCTTGCCGACCTGACGGGTCTCTCACCTCTCAGGTGGGCAGTCACTCCTCCCTGGGTTACAGCTCCTACCTCCCTCCATGCCTGCCCTTGGTGCTAGGTGAAACACGCAGCTCGCCCTGCACCTACCACACACGATCGTAGCAGGAGTCTGCGGTTGGGGTGGGAACACAAGGGCTGGGGACAGGGACACACGCCTATTCGTGATACTCTCTGAGGCTGGTCTGGGGAGGGTCGCAAGTTTTGTGTGGTTTGTTTTGCTCATATGCTAAAGGCTGTTCAAGGTGGAATGGAGGAAACCAAAGTGTAGAGTGGACGAGGAGGGGTGGGAGGGCAGGATGTGGTGGCATCCCATAGGCATCCAGATTCACTTTGAATGTCCCCCTCCTCCCTGTCCCGTCTGTAGCTTCCCACACTCAGCGCTCCTTCCTCCAGGGGGTCCCCCAGGGATTGACCTCCACCTGACGCCTCCCAGGGGAAGCTCCTGGCCTGGGCTCAGCCTCTCTTTGACTCTCCCATGTTCTATATGTGATTTTACATTCCAGAGCTGGGAGTGTAGCTTCTAGTAGATGCACACATACATTGTCAATGAAAACCCAGTAGATAGAGTATTACCCACATTGATCTATACAAGGGATGTTCAAAAACGTCATGGAAAATGTGGCACAAAAAACTATGCATGGATTTCACAGTTTTTCCCACCAGAATAAAGTATCTATTGGTTCCATTTTTCTAGGAACTTTTGGAGTACCCTTGTACTTGCTTGTGACTTTAACACTGCCTCAAGGTTTCTCACCTGTAAAATGGGGGTGTGAACCCTCCTAGGGTAATTGTGATGAGGAAACACGAGCGTCTTAGCACAGCACTAAGCCTGGCCCATTGAGTGCCCAGTGACCAGGGCTATTACTGTAGTCACCCTGTGTCAGCCCTCCTGCCCCAGGGCCCACACAGAGGTGGTGCTCCCTGTAGGTTTGTTGAGTGAATAAAGGAAGGAATGGTTGTAGGCCAAGCAAGGCAAGGGTTGGCAGCAGGGAGGAGGGCAGCCACGTGGGGGTGGGGTGCTGACCTTCAAGGGCTGAGTGATGAACACGCTCTCCACGAAGGAGACTGCCATGGAGAGGAGCCACCTGATGGAGCTGGCCCGCCCGTAGTGCAGGCCGTACAGCATGGTGAAGAAGGCTGCCACGCCGCTGGTAGTCGCCACCAGGAGCCAGCCCACCAGGACGCACCACCAAGGCAGGCCACGTGGAGGCCTGCTGGCCCGCAGGGCGCTGCCGAGGAAAGTGGAGGGACACAGTCAGAGTTGAAACCCCACTCCACCCCACCACCTACACAACCTTGGCCGAGCTCTTGAGCTCTCAGGCCTCTCTCTTGTCTGTGACCTGGGTCTAGCAGCCATGCTCAGCTGCAGCGCCAGCTGCACAGCCTGGCTCCATCATTCCTTACGGCGAGCCGAGAAGGCTGGCACTGCGCCAGCTTTTTGTTTTCAGTATGAAAATGTGTCATACAAAAACAAGCGAGCAGAAGGAAACTCGAGACACTCATCAACCCCTGGACTTCAACAGCCATCGTTACCTTGTCACCCTCCTTGTCAGGGCGGGGGCTGCTGGAATATTTAAAAATAGATCGCAGACACAACATCATTCATTCCGAATCACTTCAGAACGCACGCCTCAGACGGTCACGCTCTGAGCAAATTCTCTTTCTCGCTTAGGGACAGACCTAAGAAGCTAGTGGTACTTCCTTAATGCCATCTAAAACCTGTCTGTGTTCACCTTTCTCGGGTCATCTTGAAGTGTGTCTTGTAAATTTGGGCCAGGAGATAGACATCGTTCCTGCTTTACGCATGGAGAAACAGAGGTGCAGAGAGGGTGAGGGACTGCTTGGAGGGTGCACAGCGAGGAGGAAGCCCACATGAAAACGGTTATGACCTGTGAAGTGCTGTACCAAGGGCTGTACGCATCTGTCAGCAAATAACTCTGTGCGAACCCCACTTCCCTGAGTGTGTGTGGAATCCTGAGTCACTTCTGCTTGGGCAGGCCTGGTGGATGTTCTTCCACAGGCCCCAGCGCAGTGGCTTACCTGGTGCATGCTGGGACCAGGAGGTCCTGCTGTCCCCCCAGGCAGCCCTTCAGGGTCTGCAGCTGCCTTAGCGCCCGGGCGTGGCTGTGGCGCTGGGGGGAGCTCCGGGGCCCAGCCAGCCTCAGTGCTTGCTCGATGTGCTCCAGCTGAAGGTAGAGACACTGCCTATAGAGGCCGTCCTTCCAAGGCCCTCTCAGGGCCATCTCAGGCTCGGGACACTGCCTTCTCCCTGGGGGACCGGGGGAGAGTGATCAGCTGGGGCAGAGCGACAGCAAACCAGCCAAGGAGAACAAACAGGAACAGCAGGCACCTTGGGTAGCAAGCACTTGCCATTGCCAGGTGAGAAGTCTGAGGTCAGCACATGGGGGCAGGTTCTTGGGTGGCCCGGCCAGCCAGGATCTGGAAGTTTCTCTTTCAGCCTTTCTCACAGACATTAACGCCACCCCCGCCACACTGCTGGACACTTACCAGCATCTGGCTAACCTTGCCTCATCTCGGCCCCAGCGTTTGGCCCTCCTGGAGGATTGTAAAGCGAGTCCTAGACGTGGTACCGTCTCGTCTGCACATACTTTAACACAGTGAGATGCGGACAGAAATCCTGCCTCGCCTAGCGCTAAAGACGACATCCTACGTTTTCAGCTGTCTTTAAGTTACGAGCCCTCTCAAACACACGGAAATAGAGGGGGGTTGAGATGGAGTCACAGGCACCCACTGCCTGGCTTCAAACCCAGCAGCCCCTGACGTCTTTGCCAGTGCCTTCCCACTCTCTCCCTGCGGGTCATTTGTGTGGGGAGCAAACCGGACTAGACTGAGTTACTGGAATTAAGACTTATTCTATGCATCTGCTCTCCCACAATATGGCGCTGGGAGAGAAGTAAACAGCTTCCGCACAGCTGCCTCCAGTTCAACCAATAAACTGTAGGACTTGTTCCTGATTGGAGAGCAGCGTACTCGGCGTGTGGGCAGCCGAGTTAGGATTGGCGGAGGAGGACTATAAAGGAGGAGAGAGACAGCATGCACCAGGAACATCTAAGGGGAACATCTGAGGGAACACCTGTGCAGCCCCCGAGACGACCCGGCCGGCGGTGTGCCGCTCCCCTGCGGAAGTGGGGAATGTGGCCAGGGGGAACTGCCCTTCCACGGAGGTGGAAGGGATAGTAGCCAACCCGGGAAGAACCAGCAGCAAACCCGGGGAGGGCCGAGCAGACGAAAGAACAGCGCAGGGTCCTGTGTTGTTCCTCCACGAAGAGGGGGAGCGACAATTTGAAGAAGACAGAGTATTTCTATAGAAGATTAGGACTCTTTTTAAGAAGATGATCCTGATGGCATTATCATTTTTTTTTTTTTTAGAAAGATTGGTTGATTTATTTGGAGGGGATAGAGAGAGAGACAGAGATCTTCCATTCACTGGTTCACTCCCCAAAGGGTCACAACAGCCACAGTTGGTCTGAGCCAAAGCCAATAGCCTAGAGCTCCATCTGGGTCTCCCACGTGGGTGACAGGGGTCCAGACACTTGGGCCATCTTCCTCTACCTTCCCAGGTATATTAGCAGGGAGCTGGATTGGAAGTGGAGCAGCCAGGACTCAAACCAGAGATCTGATATGGGATGCTGATATTGCATTGTTAATCTTTAAAATGATTAATGATAATGATGAATAATCAACAAATAACTTCTGCACAGCACTAAATATCCCATCAGTGGTCAAGTTTCCTCTGATTTACCTTCTGGATGCTTTTCTATAGTTCAAATTTCAGATTTCTAAAAAAAATTTTAAAAATCTTTTTTCTTAAATTACAGAGGTAACACATTCATTGTAAGAAGAAACAAAATTTGAACATTTCCACTATTCCCTGTGCCTTTTAAAAAATTTATTTGTTTATTTGAAAGGCTGAGTTAGAGAGGCAGAGAGAGAGAAAGAGCTTCTATCTGCTGACTTACTCCCCAGATGGCCACAATGGCCGGGCCTGGAACTCCATCTGGGTCTCCCATGTGGGTGTAGGGGCCTGAGGACATGGGTCATTTCCTGCTGCTTTCCCAGGTGCATTAGCAGGCAACTGCATTGGTGGAGCAGCCAGGACTCAAACCAATGCCCGTATGGGATGCCGGCATTGCAAGCAGTGTCTTAATGCATTTCATCATGATGCCAGCCCCTCCTTTTGCCTTTTAACGAGAAACTTGGCTTCTAGAGGAGGAAGAGCCAGGCTTTGGTCCCTGAGCCTGAGCTGGGAGGTGGTGGCACCCAGGGACATGTTCTCCTGGCCCTGAGCAGTGCCCATCTCCTCATAGGGTGTGCAGATGTGTGTGTATGTGAGTGACAAAGTGGAGTCCCTCTGCCCCGTGCTCTCTCACTGGTCACCAGAGTGAGGAACCATCACTTCCACAGGGAGAAGGCTATGGTGTGATATCACCGCCCCTGCTGCAGACTTGGCCAGGAGCAGGGTACGCCCCTGGGGCAACGTCAACCCCCACCTCCCTCTGACTGGCAGCCTCCTCCCTCACCCTCCTGACTGTGCCTCCCTCCACTAAAGATTCCAGTGTCCACACCCTCGTGCTGCAAGGCTTTTGCTCATGTTTCTGGAAGATACCATCATGGCCAGTTATAGCACCACTCACTGAACACCTGCCTTGTGCCTGGCTGGGACGTCAGCTTTTCATGTATCTTGTGATCTCATTCAGTCCTTATAACAAGCCAAAGAGCTAGGTGGATCCATAGAGGAAGAAACTAAGTTTCAGAGAGGCTGAGCAACTTGCACAGCTGTTACTGCAGCCTGAAGAGCCCCAGAGTGTGGCCAACTCCAGAGTTTGTGGTCTTCAAGTCAGCCCCTTCTAGCACGTCCATGGTGAGTGCCAAGGCGCCAAATGTGGTGCCGTGCGTCCATGGGATAGGCACTTGGATGACCTCCACAGACGGCACATACTTGGCTCTCTGGGGCACATCCTTCAGAGCAGGAGGAGCAGAGTGAGAGACGAGACCCCAGGTCAGCAGGGGCCTCTGAGTGTTGCAGTGAGAACTTGGGGCCTTATAGATAACAGGTCCGAGAGGTACAGAGAAGGGGTGATGATGAGAGGCTGAGGCAGAAGCTAGTGAGGGAGACCCTGGCACGGCCTCTTGACCCCCTAGTAATACAGACCTGGATCCAAAATGGCTCTGAAATGCCAAGGACTTACCTTCCACTTGTACAGATCCAAGAGCAAGTGGCTTTTTGGCTTCCTCCCCAAACCCCTGGCCTGTCATGTTCTGTGGACATATGAGGTCTTCCACCAAGGCCAGGAGATTGTTGATGTCCATCAGGCTCATGGAGTCGCAGCTGGAGGCAGGGGATGGCACCCTCAGAGCTTTAAACAGTGAGCTGACCAGTCTCCTCATATCCTGCAAGGCAGCCCAGGTCGGTAACAGAACGTAAGCCATGGGTAATGGGTGAGGTTTAGGGGTCAACAGCATATGCCTTGCCCTGGGTAGACTCATTTGAAGCCCAGCTCTGCCCACTGAGATTTGATATTGACCTCCCGAGCATTTGTCCTGTTACCTCTAAAATCCCTCTTTTATGGTTTGAACTGATTCATTCTAGGCCGTGTTTTTGGAAGTGTGGTTCATAATAGGTGCTCAATAAAATCTTGTAAAGTTCGTGAACATAGAAGAGGGAATCTTTTCTATGAGCAGATTCCAGTCTAGGAGATTACAGTGAGGGTGGACGATTTTGCATGCAGTATGTACTTAAAAATGTGTATACATGCTTGTACATGTGTGTACACATATGTGTACATGTACATGGATGTATGCATGTGTATGATTATACTCAGTTCATGAATCTTGGCAACTGATACTGCAAGACAAAACAGGGCTGCAGGGCCCCAAGTCCTAGCTGTGCACTCACGCCTGCATGGCTGCAGCCACCCCCACATGGGCTGAGGTTGAGGACATGCCTTGGTCACTGCTTCGGGTGTCAGGAAGCCATCCTCCACGGGTTGGGGTGTGGAAGTCAGGTTGGGGGTCACGCTGTCTCGTTTCCCAAGGCTTTGCGCCTGCGTGGCCCGAGGACGGGTGTGCCGAAAGATCTGAACGATCAGGAGGTTGATGGGGAACATGAGGACAGAGCTCTCCAGCCCAATCACCACTTCCTGCCAGGTGAATTCAACTTTACCTGGGAAAGGCAGGGAGCAGGTCATGGGGAGGGGCAGTCACGCAGAGCCTGTTCCCCCACCCCTTCCAGGAGGTGGCTGTGCCTTGAAGGATGCATCTGGCCCAGCACCTGGGAGCTCACCTCTGACCCCTTGGGTTGTGCTGCTTGATAAGACTATCTATTTGTTTATTGGGGGGCCGTGGGCCACACGGATGATCTGTGTGGACTGTGTAACTTATGGTGGGGTCTAGGGTCTTATGGTGTCAACTTGACCTCTGGGGTGGCTGGAGGCGGAGGCCAGCCAGGTGGGTGGTCAGCCATGCTGGCCCTAGACACTAAGGCTTGGGCACGCTTTCCTGGCTGGCAGTACTTAGCGTTTGTTGCTCTACCTTGTCAGGAGTATTAGTGCTGTCCTTGGCCACCCTGGGAGGTGACAATCAGAAGCTCCATGCCTGGCCTCCCCTGGGCCCTGGCTCACGCACCTCTGTCTGTGGCTGATTTTCACCTACGTTCTTTTGCTGCAATAAGCCATGGTTGTGAGTACCATGCACTTTCTTAGTTCTGTGAGTTCTCCTGTGGCTCACTAAAGCTGAGAGTGGTCCTGGGGGCTCTGGAATGGTAGCCGCAGTGCGAGGGAGGTGAAAGCCCTGGCCACCGCGACACAGGGAATTACCCAAGTCCATCTTTTGCTCCGCTGGGTCCTTGGGGATGCCCCAAAACATGATGCTGGTTAGCATGGTGCACAGGAGCAGGGAGAAGCAGCAGGACACCCGCTGCACACGGGTGAAGTTGCTCCGAGCCGAGCAGCTGAAGATGGAATACCAGAGGTGTCCCTCCTGGAAGCCCGCAGAGGTCTTCATGAAAAACAGGTGGCTGCGAGCGGGCAGAGAGCGAGGGGCAGGCATTAGGGAGACAGGAGTGGGGAGACACTGGCCTCTGTGGAGCCAGCCTGGGATAAGAAGGAGGAGGAGAGGGAAGGATTTGTTTCTCAGGACTGACATACATATTTTTAATGTTGCAGAAGAGACACTGCATCATAGCAGCTGTGGAGATGGCCACCCTGGAAAGCGCTGGGTTGAGACCCTGGACTGCCCTCTTCCTAGTGCTCTGACCCCAGGTAAGTGACTTTAGTCTTTGTACCTCAGTTTACTTGTCTGGAAGATGGGAAGCAGCCTACCCTATTGGATTATTGTAAGGATTAAAAGTGATAACATTTTGTAAAGCACTTGGGACAGTAGCTGGCAACAGATGAGTTGTCAATGGGTATTAGCAGTATTGTTTTTGCTGGGATTAAAATAAATTTTATTATTGATTTGAGAACTGCTATCTACTGGTCCCCTCTCCAAATGCCTGCAGTAGCCAAGGCTGGGCCAGAGGTGGGAGCCGTGGCCATAGTCCAGCTTTTGCACAGTGCGTGGGAGGAACGCAGTCATTTGAGTTGTTACTGCTGCCTGCCAGCATCTGCTTCAGCAGGAAGCCGGAGACAGGGGCCAAAGCTGGGAATCAAACCTAAGCACTCCAGTGTGGGACGTAGCGCTCTTAACAGCTGGGCGAACCGGCACTCCTTTTGCTGTGATTTTAGTAATACATTTTAATACATGAATATAAATGTAATGTTAGAATAATCTTAAAAGGGCTCTGGCTTTCTAGAGGGCATGCAGAGCTGAGACTCCTCACTGGCGCTGTTCTGCTTGGTCAGGCCCAGCACCCTCCAGGGCTGCCCCACGCTCTGACGGCTGCTCTGGAGCACAGGGAGCTGGAGGCGGGCCTTAGAGTGAAGGCTGCCAACAACAGTGACTTTCCACGTCGCCCTTCCACACCACGTGCTCTGATGGGCACCAGGGACTCACAGGGGAAGACACACCCCGCCTTCAGGGAGCTCCCCGCTGTTTGCAGGCAGCCCACGTTCTGATGCACTTGGTGACAATATTTGCTCCTGACTCTGAGCCATGTCCCATGCCGAGACTGTTATGGATGTCATTTCATGGAGTTTGCTCCATGCCCTTTGGGGGTAGGGGACACCAAATAACTCATTTTCGGATGCACATGCTAAGCCTGTGAAGATCCAGGGTGATGCAGCAGGTCAGTGGCAGGTGTGTGAGACCCACAGTTCCCTGCCCATATCTGTGTTCAACCTCTTGTAGGGTCCATGTCTCTCTGATGGACACTTTTTCCCTCTTGGAGGCCCAGATCTCCTGAATAAATGTGCTGGAAATAGGCCTAGTGCCTGTCAGTAGGAGAATGGTGGGATCGTTGTGTGATGTCCGTTCTATGAAATATTTCAAAACCAACAAGGAAGTGGTATGACTCAAACACATTCTCCCAATAGGATGCTCGTGATATATTGTTAAAGAAGAAAGGCAGGGCAAGCACTGTGCTGTGGTAGTTAAGCTGTTGCTTGGAATGCCTGCACCTCAAGTCAGAGTGCCTGGGTTCAAGTCCCAGCTTTGCTTCCAATCCAGCTTCCTGCTAGCACGCACTGCAGGAGGCAGCAGGTGATGGCTCAAGTATGGGTCTTTGTCACCCATTTGGGAGACCTGGATGGAGTTCCAGGCTCCTGGTTTCAGCTTGTAGCAGCCCTGGCTGCTCTGGGGAGAGAACCAATAGGTGGAAGATGTCTTTCTCTCTCTGCCTTTCGAATAAAATAAAAATTAAAAAAAAAAAAAACAGAAGAAAAGCAACACATTTATAGTGGGTTAGCTTTTAGAAACATGTAAGCATCTATGGTGTTGAGTATGTGTGCATGCATGTCCGTGCATATGTGAGTGTGTGTGAGAATGAGTATGCATGTGTGTGCTTGTGTGTGTATGACTGTGTGTCTGTATGCACACATGTGTGTGACTGTGAGTGTGCAGTGCACATGTGAGATTGTGGGTGTCTGTGTCTTTTTTTTTTAAAGATTTTATTTATTGGGGTGGCACAGTGGCACAGCAGGTTAACACCCTAGCCTGAAGCGCCGGCATCCCACATGGGCGCCGGTTCTAGTCCCGGCTGCTCCTCTTCCAGTCTAGCTCTCTGCTATGGCCTAGGAAAGCAGTGGAGGATGGCCCAAGTCCTTGGGCCCCTGCATTCATGTGGGAGACCAGGAACAAGCTCCTGGCTCCTGGTTTTGGATCAGTGTAGCTCTGGCCGTTGCAGCCAACTGGGGAGTGAACCATCGGATGGAAGATCTCTCTCTCTCTTTGTCTTTCTCTCTCTGCCTCTCCTCTCTCTGTGTAACTCTGACTTTGAAATAAATAAATAAATCTTTTAATTAATTAATTAATTTTTTTTTGACAGGCAGAGTGGACAGTGAGAGAGAGAGACAGAGAGAAAGGTCTTCTTTTGCCGTTGGTTCACCCTCCAATGGCCGCCAAGGCCGGAGCGCTGCGGCTGGTGCGCTGGGGCCGGTGCACCGCGCAGATCCGAAGGCAGGAGCCAGGTGCTTCTCCTGGTCTCCCATGGGGTACAGGGCCCAAGCACTTGGGCCATCCTCCACTTCACTCCCTGGCCATAGCAGAGAGCTGGCCTGGAAGAGGGGTGACCAGGACAGAATCCAGTGCCCCGACCGGGACTAGAACCCGGTGTGCTGGCGCCGCAAGGCGGAGGATTAGCTTAGTGAGCCGTGGTGCCGGCCAATAAATAAATCTTTTAAAAAAAGATTTTATTTATTTATTTGAAAGGCGGAGTTACAGAGGAGAGGCAGAGGCAGAGAGAGAGAGAAGTCTTCCATTTCCATTGGTTTACTCCCCACATGGCCACAATGGCCAGGGCAGGGCCAGACCAAAGGTAGGAGCCTGGAGCTTCATCCTGCTCTCCACGTGGCTGCAGGGGCCCAAGCACTTGGGCCATCTTACACTGTTTTACTATGTGCATTAGCAGGGAGCTGGATTGGAAGTGGATCACACAGGACTTTAAGGGGTGCCAGCCCTGCAAGTGGTAGCTTAACCCGCTGTGCCACAGCGCTGGCCCTGAGTGTGTGTCTGAGTGTATGCGTGCATGTGTATATTGTACCTGCTCATATGTGTTTGCAGACCACTAAGAAAGGAGGCCATACAACAGGCAAGGGGACAGGGAATGAGTAAGTCAAGGGCAGTGTATACTGAAAAACCCTGGAGGGTACAACAGCATGAAAGAGGAGCCCCAGTGGCTGGGTGTTGAATTTTCACTTATTCGGTCTGTGCATTGATACAGAAAAACAAAACACCATTCTGCAACCTTCGTAAGTAAATAGGGTAACTTGCCACCACTCCACCCGCTAGCAGATGATTCTGTCATGGCGGGTCATATCTCCCCAGCTGGGACCCTGAGTCCCAACAGGACAAGGTGATCTGCTGTGGTTGCCCCCACCCAGGGCTGCCCAGGCCTGCTTGCTGAAATGGGCTTCTGTTTGGATTGTGATCGCACAAAGAAAGTAAAAAGCATTTGCTTAAAAAGAGGAGAAGAAGCACCTGAATTGTTTTCGGTCCTGCTCGGTGGCCACAGGAAACACCCTGTCGAGAACACAGTCTGCGACATCGACGGACAGCCATGAATTGCAGAGGAAATACCACTTCCGGTCCATTGCTGGCTCGTAGACCAGCACTCGGCTCACGTACCTGGGGAAGGGACCATGATTTTGAGAACAGGCTGTGGGAGAGGAGAGATTTTCTTGGGCACGTGGAGGTAACATCTTTACAAACCTGAACCCCAAGAACAAGCGCTCCTGGAAAACAGACTTCTATGAGTATTTTCTTCATTGTTCCTGGGTCCCTGGTCAAAATTCGTCTCCCATGGTGGGGTTTAGTTTGTTAGAAAGTCAGCTCTGGGGCCGGCACTGTGAAGCAGTACCTGTGCTGCTGGCATGCACCGAGCACCAGTTCCAGTCCTGGATGCTCTGCTTGGGATGCAGCTCCCTGTGAATGCACATGAGAAGGCAGCAGGTGTAGGCCAAGTCCTTGAGCCCCTGCCACCCACATGGGAGATCCAGATGGAGTTCCAGGCTCCTGGCTTCAGCCTGGCCCAGCCATGGCCATTTGGCCATTTGGGAAATGAACCAGTAGATGGACGATCTCTATCTTCCTCTTCCCCTCTTTCTCTACTTCTTTCCCCATTCCCCTCTCTTTTCTCTGTCACTCTGCCTTTCAACTAACTTAAAAAATCTTTAACAAAGCCAGCTATGGAAGGCTCCCCGCCCCTCAAGTTCCAAGCCCAGGGCCAGCATCCAGTCAAAAGTGAGTGAAGCCAGCTTGTGGAAAGTGTGTGTGTTCCAGCAGGTGCAGGCGGAATGCCCACAGAGCAGGACCCTCTTGTTTCCCAGCCAGTGAGGCCATCACTGATGTGGGGCTTGGGACTTAGGGTGCCACCTAACCTGGTTTGGGTCCTCGAGACCTGGGCAAAAGGGAAACCCTCTTTCCTATGCTGCAGCCGCTTCCCCATCCCGCTACAACCAGTAAGAACAGCCACAGAGTCAACAGCTGCTCTTCACTGAGCATGCACCACGCTGTCAAGTGGAAACATGCTTGGTGTGCATGTCTGTCGAGGTCACGGGCCCTCCTGGGGTGGCTGACGCCCAGTGATGTGGTGCCCGATGTGCACCTGGGCAGCTCAGTCCAGCCCCAGAGGCCCCCACCAAGGGCCAGTGGGCTGCTGTGTGGCTGGCTGCCTCCCTCTGCCTGTGCTCCCTCCCTTCCTCCCTTCCCAGGGCTCACAGTAAACCTTCGTATGCTTCCCACCCTCCTGGAGTCTGCTTCCTGGGCACAGCCTGCATCTGAGGCACTTACAGTACAAAAGTGCAACTCCCGAAGAATTAAAGATGCACATAAATGCTGTGATTCATTTTTTAAAGCAGCCAGCTGCTAATGCATGACCAGTCTGGACACCACTCATTTGGGTCACTAGTTTTGGTCTCAGAATGCAGAGGCCCCTGTTCTGAACTTGCCTGCTGTGTGCCTGTGTGCAAGTCACAGGTCAGTGCTACAAAGAAACCAGCGGTGGGGCTGGTCCTAGACCCATGGTTGTGACTTTCAGTCCTTTTGCTCGCTGCTGACCGGTCTGTGTGGACCATCGACCAGGCGCCCTCTCTGACCCTTGGTTTCCTCCTCTGAGAGATGGAGGTCCGTTGCACGTGCCTTGCAATCGTGAGGATCAGGAAGTAGCAGACGTGCAATGCCCAGCCCGGGGTCTGGCCCCGACTCACCAGGATGGCCGGTCCCCTGAGTTGTCATGCCACAGCCTGAGGCTCTGCAGCTCCCCTAGGGGGAACAGGGTGGAAAGCAGGAAGACATCCACTCCTCCTCGCTCGAAAACTGGACTGTTGGGGTCTGACAGGTGGTGGGGTTCACTCTCTCCATCTAATCCATACAGTGTGATGGTCACCTGCAATCCAGAGACCATGAGTGGCCATCTGAACCCTTCTAGACCTGCTCCATTGGAGGGGGCCAGAAACAGACAAAAACCAGCCCCTCCCGTCTTGGAGGTTATTTGCCGTTATTTTTTCTGTTACGTGCAGGTTTAGGGTGACACCATCTGCATCCCCCACTAACAATCACATTTCCAGGGCCTCACACAGTGCTTGGCACTGAATAATAAACAGTTGTTACCTTGAAAATAATAGGGGTTTTCAAAAAGTGCGTGGAAAACGTATATTATGTGAACCATGTATGGATTTCAAAAGTGTCTGCAGCAAGATAAACTTACCCTTAAATTCCATTTTCCTGTGAACTTTTTGATATCCCCTCATATCCCAAGGGTGCACCCTAGCTCTTCCAAGTAAGAATATTGGGAATCAGATCCAGGAACCTGTTGTTCTGATTCTGTTCCTGTGGTGATGATGGACACACCTGATTTTCTGAGTCAACAGCAGCATTTGTGTGGCAGATTCTGGGCTCCGCCTGCATCCCTCTGCGTCACCACTACAGTGCTCCTGGCATCTGTGTCCAATTGCCGGCCACCACAGCTCCTGCCCCGGGAGCTCTCTTTGGCTGCTGGAGCAGCAGGCTGGAAGTGCCAGAGAACTGACGGCTCCAGCCAGCTGTTCTCAGCCAGCGGCGGATACCTACCGCGGCTCCCTCACCCCTCAGCCTGGACGGCTTCAAGGCTCTCGTTTCTGCTGTTGAGCTCCCGGGAGCTACTGGTTTGATCACGTTCACTCTGCTGCACCTTCCTGTCCCTGTCTGGCTTCCCTACTCTCCTGCAGGGTTTCCAGGGGTCCCGTCTCGGATCAACCCTTGTGCTCAAATCCTTGTTCCAGCGTCAGCTCCTAGCAGGATTTCTCCAGCTCCACTGCTGATGCTGAATGACCAGGTCATTCTTGGTGGGCAGGGCTGTCCCATGCACTGGGGCTGTTTTCCTGGCATTTCTGGGCTCGACCTGCCATATGCCAAAGGTACCACCTGCCCCATCTTGTGACCTCCAGATATGCCTGCACCTTGGCCAACTGTCCGCGGGGGTGTTAACACTGGCCCTGGCTGAGAACCTCTCAAGATCAAGTGAAATGTGACGGCAAGGCTGGGATCAGTGTCCCACTCCTTTCCTGTCGTCATTGGCTCTTCAGTGTCAAATGGGAGTGAGTGGAGTGTTGCATTGGATGAGGAAAGTGATACCTGCGTTTATTCAACAAATGGTTACCAAGGACTTACTCTGGGTTAGCAGGTGCCTAGGGCCTATGACACAGTGATAATTAAATTAAAATGTTCAATTAAAAAAGAACATGTGTAAGTAACATAATAAAAAAGGAACAGACGAATGCCCTGCTCTTGTGAAGCCTGATGTTGTTTTGGATAACAATGGAATTTTCTTCTGGACTGGTAAAAACACATATGGTTCTCAAACTGTGTTCCATGGAACCCTTGGCTTCAGTAAGGGAGGCTGCTGTAAGGGACAACTCTCGTGTATCCTGATGAGGGACGTGGCACGCACGAGATACTATAGAGATGTCCTCCACAGTGAAATGTTCATGGATCTCAGAGGGTCCAAAAAGAACTGAAGTATTGCCTTCAGTCCATCTGGTCAACCTGTTTAAGCACAGATGGTGTTGCCTGACTTCTTAGCCAGATTCTGCGAATCAGTCCACTTGAAAATCTAACTCAAGACTGTTTTCAAATGGTCTCTCTTTCTTTCTTTCTTTGGACAGGCAGAGTTAGACAGTGAGAGAGAGAGAGACAGAGAGACAGGTCTTCCTTTTTTGGTTGGTTCACCCCCCAAATGGCCACCATGGCCAGCCACTGGTGTGCTGCGCTGATCCGAAGCCAGGAGCAAGGTGCTTCTCCTGGTCTCCCATGCGGATGCAGGGCCCAAGCACTTGGGCCATCCTCCACTGCCTTCCCAGGTCACAGCAGAGAGCTGGACTGGAAGAGGAGCAACCAGGACAGAATCCGGCACCCCAACCGGGACTAGAACCCGGTGTGCTGGCGCTGCAGGCAGAGGATTAGCCAAGTGAGCCGCGGTGCCAGCCAGGACTCTTTGTTTTCAAATGGTCTTTTTCTTCCCTCCCTCTCTTATCAATTCTGTTGTCCCCGTTTTTCAATATCAAGAGCTTACTGACGGTTCTGCTGTACCTGTGAGCACACCTGCTATGGGCAGTGCTCTAAATGTGTGTGATACTCTGGTGAGAAGAGAGATGACTGACGGGCACGAGACTGGCCTTAACCCTCTTTGAACTGCTCTCCCTTTACCTCAGTGATACTGAGATTACAGTCATCTTTTGTTTGATGAAAAGACTCCCTAAAACACAAAAACCAAAAGAGAAATAAAACTTGAACAGCATTGGAGCCGGCGCTGTGGCGCAGCGGGTTAACACCCTGGCCTAGGCTGGCGCCGCGGCTCAATAGTAATCCTCTGCCTGCGGCGCTGGCACACCGGGTTCTAGTCCCGGTTGGGGCACCGGATTCTGTCCCGGTTGCCCCTCTTCCAGGCCAGCTCTCTGCTGTGGCCCGGGAGTGCAGTGGAGGATGGCCCAAGTGCTTGGGCCCTGCACCCGCATGGGAGACCAGGAGAAGCACCTGGCTCCTAGGCTTCGGATCAACGTGGTACGCCGGCCACAGCGCCGGCCGCAGCGGCCATTGGAGGGTGAACCAACAGTAAAGGAAGACTTTTTTCTCTCTCTCTCTCTCTCACTGTCCACTCTGCCTGTCCAAAAGAAACAAACAAACACTCTGGCCTAATGCACCGGCATCCCATATGGATGCTGGTTCGAGTCCCGGCTGCTCCACTTCCAATCCAGCTCTCTGCTATGGCCTGGGAAAGCAGTAGAAGATGGCCCAAGTCCTTGGGCCCCTGCACTCATGTGGGATACCTGGAACAAGCTCCTGGCTCCTGGTTTCTGATCGGCGCAGCTCCAGCCATTGCGGCCATCTGGGGAGTGAACCATTGGATGGAAGACCTCTCTCTTGGTCTCTACCTCTCTCTGTAACTCCATCTTTCAAAATAAATAATAATTAAAAAAAAAAAAAACTTGAACAGCACAGAATCCACTAAGTGAGTCCCCAGTGGCAGAGCAGTGCTTCACTGTGGGGGGAGGGGGAGTGTGCTGATCAACCAAATGGTGTTGCACAGATACCTTCGAGGACGTGGCTGCCCCTCGCCGATGTCCCGTGTAGACTGTCACCAGGTAGTGGTACTGGGCAAAGGGATCGTTGTCCTCCAGCACTGTGACCTTGACCTGGACAGAGGGACAGCATTAGGGAGGGCCCTGCTCAGTGGGTTCACCCATCACACCAGCTGAGAACGAGCTGGGCATTTACGACAATTAAAGGGCAAAAGCAAAATTATATATGCGACCTATTCATTTTGTTGGTGAAAACTGCTCTTTAAAAAAAGCAGCATTTCGGATAAAAACTATTGACAAAAGCACAAATGCATTGTCTGTTAAATATGACCCTGCTATTATGTTGGAAATAGACTTGGTGTTAAGCCAAGAGTGTTTGATGATGGACGTGGCGAGCCACACAAACACTGTTGACCTGGATTAAGATCCGTAACCAGACAGTGCTTGCGAGGGAGCTGGAAGGAATGAAGTGCTGGGATAATGTCAGTTGGCAGGGGTTGGTCAGGGGCTCCCAAGGAGCCAAAGTCTGGCTGAGGCTCTGCGGCATCCAAGGCCTTCCCCAGCCTCACCCCATGTTGACATCCTGAGAGGTAGGGTGAGGGAGGGCGGGCATGTCAGGGCTCTATGGCTGTGCAGCCTGGCATGTGTGTATGTGTTCCCTCCAACTTTCCTAGGCACTTGCTGAAGGCCTACTATGTGTCAGTCATGGGGCATGTTTCAGAAAAATCAAAACCTGCAGTGACAGACAACCTGTAACTTGATCTCGTTTCAGAGTGGTCATATGCTCAGGCACACCTGGCATTGAATTCCTGCTCTGTCTAGAGGGCCTGAGGCCAGTCAGTGGCCCTCTGCATCCTGGGCTGCCTCCTATTTAAGACTTCAGAAGTACTGTGCAGGAAAGGGAAAACTCAGCAAGCATGGGGGTCCAAATCCCGCATGTGCCTGGGAAATCCTGGCTGCTGGCTAGGTCCTGGGGGGTAGCCTCTAAGCCCTGGGAATATCCCATGTGTTGAAAGTCTGTAGACCTGGGACCTTGGGCCTTGCTGACTTATGGTGAGAGCCCCAGGCATACTGGGGAGCCAGGAGACTGAGGCACTGGAAGACAGGCAGGTGCGCCACACCTTGCAAGCCGCACTTGGGTGATGAGGCCCAGTCAGATGCTGGTCCTGTGAGCTGTCACTCACTGTGGCTAGAGGATTAAGCAACTCCACTGGGAGATAGCCAGAGGCTTGCTCCAGGTCTCTCCTCTTTCCTTTGCTGGATTTAACCTGCGTCCTTTTGAGGACCATAACTATAACCACGAGGCTGACTGCCTTCCCGAGCTCTGTGAGTCCTTCCAGCTGATTACTGAGCCTGAGGGTGGTTTTGGGCACCCCTGGACTGGTCCCCAAGGGCTGCTGTGAGCCCTATTAAGTGGGATAACTCCTGTCCTATAGTAAGTTCTTGGAAAGTGGTCAGTGGCACAAGCCTCCTGATAATTATATGAAAAGAGACATTTTGCCTGAGACAAGTCCCAGGGTCCAGGGTCCAGGCCTGAACTGGCAGCTGGCCTCTCCGCTGCCCACCCTGGCTCTGGTCCCTGCAGCCCCTGCAAGAGGACTTCCAATGGTCCTCTCTTCCCCACCCCCTTGGCCATGCAAGCTCACCTTGGCCTGATCCTGCACGTCCTTCCTCCTCGCCCAGATCACCACCAACACGTAGATCACACACAGGCAGCCCACAGTGGTCACCACCACCGGGTTGTCCTCAAAGGTGGCAAAGAGCTCGGCAGTCTGGCCAACGTCAACGGCATTGGGCATCACTAGGAACGTGCTTCCGAAGAAGGTGAGGTGGTCACAGAGGCAGTGGGTCTGGGAGGGAGTGGTCCGCGGCCCCACCTGCAACTCCAGAGAAGCCAGGGTGGAAATGCTCTGGGGCTCGTCCCAGCTCCCTGAGCCCAAGGCAGGAGAGTGACATTGGCTGCGCTGCCCTGCGGTGCGCTGGGAGGTTGCTTCGAGGCCAGCCTTGGCAGGGGGCCCCTTTGAGCTTTTTCATTTAATTAAGCATGAATTTTAAAATGCAGAGGAAGTTATTTCTAGCCAACATCCTACCCATTGTTCTTAGTGGGCACCTCTGTGTATCTTGGTGGTTGGCCTCGCCAGTTTTAGAGAAGTGTGCAGAGTAATGCTGGGGTCCTGTTGGTTCTACTCCTGAATCATGCATCACCCTAGACTCAATGTGTCCATTGCATGCCTAAGGCCCACTCACAGGGCAAGCATTTGTGTGACGCTAACTCTGTGCCCTGCAATGGGCCAGATGCCAGAGGACGCCCATGGCAACCAGCCCATCTCAGTTTGCCTGGGACTTCCCCATTTTTCAAACAGCAAGTCCTGAGTGCCAGAAATTCCCTCAGTAACAGGCAAACTGGGATGTTAGTCAACTTATACCAAAGAGCAAAATACCATCTGGGGAGTCACAGGGGTAAAAAGAGAAAAACGAGTGTTTAAATCCTAAACTGGGGGTGGCCATTTGGCCTGGTGGTCAAGATGCCGGCTTCCAGGGGCCAGCGCTGTGGTGCAGAAGGTTAAAGCCCCAGCCTGCAGCACCAGCATCCCATATGGGCACCAGTTCGAGTCCTGGCTGCTCCACTTATGATCCAGCTCTCTGCTATGGCCTGGGAAAGCAGTGGAAAATGGCCCAAGTTCTTGGGTCCCTGCACCCACAGGGGAGACTTGGAGGAAGCTCCTGGCTCCCGGCTTTAGATCGGCCATGCTGCAGCCATTGCAGCCATCTGGGGAGTGAACCAGTGGATGGAAGACCTCTCTCTTTTTCTTTATAACTCTGTCTTTCAAATAAATAAAATAAATCTTAAAAAAAGATGCCAGCATCCAAGATTAGACTACCTGTGTTTGAGTCTCAGCTGCATTTCTAATCCCAGCTTCATGGGAATGTACACCCTGAGAGACAGCAGGTGGCAGCTAAAGTGGTTGGGTCCCTGACACCCATGTGGGAGACCTGGATGGAGTTCCTAGCTCCTGGCTCTAGCCCTGGCTCAGCCCTGGCTGTAGTAGCCATTTAGGGAAGGAACCAGCAAATGCGAGATTTCTCTCTATTCTCTCTGTGTGTGTCTGCCTCATAAATTAATGATTGAAACCCCAGTCTGGTGTCTCAACACCAGGAGGGGGATGCACTGGGACAGGAGAGACTGGTGGACCAGGACCAGAACCTCTACCTATGCCTTGCTTTACCCCCGTGTGGTCAGGCAGGCCATCCCCAAGCCCTGAAGCAAGCCAGCAGTCGTCTCCCAGGGACATTTGGTGGGTAAAGGAGATTTAATTCAATCCCATAACCCAGCATTGCCTTTTCATTCCAGGGTCCACTTCAAGGCAGTAAGGATGGATGGAGCAGCAAAGAAATTCTGAGAATTCTGGAAAGTTCTCTGGTCTAGCACCTGCTGGGGAAGAACCTCAGGGAGCCCAGTCATGTCCCAGCAGGTAACTGTTTACCTTATTGAGCTGTTCAGCAAGGCTCCCCCCACCACATACACGCACAAGCACAAACACACGCACATACACATCCATTCCCCCCACTCCACCCCCGGGCATGGTGCCAGTGGTTCATTACACAGCTGGGGAGCTTCCTGGAACACCAGGCATGCCTGGAAGAGTAGGGCTGGTTCAGACAAGAGACCTAAGTAGGTGCCCGTAACAAGACCGAGTGCTGGGGCTCAGGCCAATCTGGATGTAGACCCAACACCTGTGCCTTCCTGGACTCGCACAGTGATGAGCTTCAGTGGCTTTCCCCACCTTTTGTAGCCTGAGGGGGCCTCTGAATATTGAGAATTAACCTGTGGATCCACCATGACAGTAGTTGTGCCTTCAGCATCCTTGGAGAGAAAAAAATATATGCAAGAATATGGATTCTCAGACTCCTTGTAATAATTCCTACTTTGCTCTTAGATAAGAATATGTGGTCCAGAGACCTGGGACTTGCTGTGTAGGGAAGGGAGTGGTGGTTTTCCATCTAGGCCAGATGACTTTATTTACTTGTGGATGCAATTTCTATGTGTCCATAGTGTATCTGTACCTGCACCTGTACCTGCACTGTGATGAGTATACAGTGCACAAGTCTGGGCTAACCAGAGATTTTGGTCCCTGATGCATTCCTGCCTATGAGCTCTGCACGTCCCCCACTTACATATGTCTGCATTCATAGGTGCATGGTTTTAGCCTAAAGAGTACCCACTTGCCAGGCTCCAGGCTAAGTACTTCATCCCCCTCATCCAAGACCCCCCTGTATTCTCTGTGGTAGCCATCCTGTATCCCCATGGTGGGATGAGGAGGCTCAGAGAGGTGGGGCGACTTGGCCACCATTTGACAAAGTGGGATGAACAGCCTGACGCCACCCTGACACTTGTTGAGTAGACCTTGGGGGCATTCTGTGCCAGGAGCCCAGGAATAAGAGGGCTTCCGGGAGAGGGGAGCAGGACAGGGAGACCACACACCCAGGGTTTTTGTTCCCGAGGTACAAAGGCTCGTGCTGCAAGTTGTGGGGAACTCGCTCTCTCCTGGATGCCTCCATACACCCAGGTGAGTCTTCCCAGCACCTGGGGGAGTTCCCTGTGTGTGGCAGCCGGAAGCCAGGGCTTGACCTGACCAGACAACAGAGGCAACTACAGAAGTGAACACAGAGGGAACTAGCTCTGAGTCTCCTCCTCCTCTGGCTCTGCTGGAACCTGGCTTCTCCCAGTGCCTTGGGACCATTGTGTGCCATTTGCTTCCTGTCTGGTCCTCTGCTAGGCTGAGAGCACACTGGGTTTTCTCAGTGCTCCGTCCCAATCACCAAGCACGTGGTGAAGATGTGTAAAATAAATAAATGGGCTAGGAGGAGACAGATGGGAGAGAGACTTCAATTCCAAGTGGAGGCTGGTGCAGGAGGAGGGAGAGGGAGGGGGAAATGTAGAACAAATCCAATGGAGGGAGACCCCAGGCCCCCAGATGTGTGGGAGCTCCCTGAGAAGAGCAGGAGAGTTTTACTAGAGGGGAGCCGAAGTTTTACAAGTGGGGGGTATAAGAAGGGTGTTGGAAAGAGATGGCACTTGGCAAAGGCAAGGAAGGGGAAGGGACAGTGATGCCCTAGAGTGGGCTCTGATGACCTCCAGGCCAATGTCTGCCTGCAGGACGCTGCCGTAGGCCTTGGCTCCTTAGGGGCAGAGCTGAGCTGACCTGAGATGGGTTTGATTGCAAGGGACAGAGCCAAGAGGCATCCCAGGGCTCAGCAGGACAGCACCAGGCTCTGCAGAGGCAGCACCTAGCATGGCGGTTGTGTTTTAGAGACAAAACAGACCTGGCTTCAAGTTCCAGCTCCCCATCTTACTAGGTGTGGGATTTGGGACAAGTTAGCTTCCTGAGCCTTTGTTTTACCACCTGTAAAATGGGGGAAGACAGCTACCCTGGAGACCATGGTGCGGGCTTATAAAGAAAGCACAAATCCAGCAGAGAATGCTGCACCCATCCTAGCATGACAGACCCACGGTGAGTTTACCTCCTCGGCAGTGACGCCCTGGCCTCCTCAGCCACTGGAGTCCGCAGGGCTTCCTAGCCATTCGTCCACTCGTGGAATTATTGTGGGCTCCAGTAGCAACAAAGCACACAGTCCCCGCCTCGAGGGCCCTCAGTGTGCCCAAGAGCAGCCATCATGTAAGCGTTCTGTAGAGAGGTCGGTGCTGTGCAGGGGGCATGTGTGCTCTGGGGTTTACAGCTGGAAATCTGACCGAGTTGGAAGTGTTGCTAAGGCTGGGGCAGGGGGAGGAGGGATGGTCCAGGCACAGGGAACAGCATATGCAAAGGCCCTTTAAGTGACACAGATGCTGACTCCACAGGAACCGGTCACAACCAACCACGCTGCCCTGACTTCCCGTTCTCATCCCTCTCCTTACCTGGCACCCAGAGTTGTCCCAAGTTTCCTGGACCTCATCCCAGAACACACAGTGGGAGAGGAAGGTAGTGATGCCGACTGTGAGGTTCCCACGGGGGGCCAGCTTCAGGTCCAACTCGGGGGCCACAGTCAAACAGTAGACGCCTTCTCCGAAGCGCAGGTCCTCAGGGCCCAGGATCCACGTGAACGGCTCCTCTGCAAGGAGCAGGCACCAGGTCAGCTGGGAAAAGGGGACTGGGGTGGCTGAGCAGGGAAGCAGACTCCCGACGTGCTGGGAGTGCCCTCTCCCCCGGGACCCAGGAGCATGGAAGTGCCATGACTTGGTCAGCATGCAGAGCACCCCAGACAGACAGGGCTCAAAGATGGATTCTACCCCGTAATGGGTCTGTGATCTCGGGCTGTTTCTTAACCTCTGTCTTCTCATCTGGAAAGTGGGGATTTCAACACTTCCTACCCTCGAGGGCTGTGAAGACCAGAATGGGGTCAGTTCCCTAAGTGCTTATCAGCTTCGTCAGGGCATGCATACAGCAGGTGCTCAAATAAGATTGGCAAACATTAGTGCTAGTAACACCAACAAAAAGAAGCGACTGCATGTGGCAGGTGGCTTTTTCCTTTGATTTTCTTCCTATGGCTTCTGATTCTCAAGTTTGAAGCGGGTCACACCCCAGGAAGCAGCTCAAGAAAGAGCCCGGGGAACAGGGCTACCTGGAGCAGGCGTTGCCGGGAGGCGAGTTTGGACATCATAATTGGTCATGTTGGGGTGGAAGCCGTAGCCCAGGCTGAGCGTGAGTGGGATGCCAGGACGCCAGTGCAGCTGGATCCCCAGGGCCGCCTTCCCTGAGGTCATGTTCACCCACAAGGCCCCAGGACTGGTCAGGCTCAACACAGTCGGCTCACCGTGCCCTTCAGAAAGCCGGGGCAGCAGGATCTGTCATCGGAACAATCAAGTCAGAGGTGTGCCAGGAAGCAGATGCCACTGGGCAGTGTCCAGCTGCTGCCGAGAGCCGTGCAAGGCAAGTGCAGGGAGCTGAGCTTCGCTCCTGTGTTGCTTGCCTGTGGCCTCTGTAAGTGACACCCTCTCACTGGGTGGCTCTGGAATCCAGGAGTCCAGAGCCAGGTCAGAGGGCTAACATCAGCAGGGACGGCTCCTTCTGGAAGCCCTGGGAGAACCTGCTTCCTTGCCTCTCCCTGTTTTGGGGCCACCTGCAGTCCTCGGCTCATGGCCCCTCCCTCACACCACTCTAACTTCTTGCTTCTGGCATCAAATCACCTTCTTCCGTGGTCACTCTCTGCCTCCCTCTTATAAGGACCCTTGTGACTGCAACAGGCCATTGGATCATCCAGGACCACCTGCAGACCCTCGATTCAATCACAGCTGCAAAATCTCTTTTTGCATTTAAGGAGACATTGATCAGCTCCAGGATGAGGACATAGACAGCAGCGGAAGCTGTCACTGAGTCGGTCCTTGCAGAGAAAATTGGAGAAGGCTAGAACACTCATTAAAGCCTTGGAAGCACTTGTGAGCTCATGTCCTAGCTTAATTTTTTAAAAAAATGAAAATACCTTGTCTTTCCCTGCCCCCCTCATTCTTCCCTCTGCTTTTGCTTAATTTTAAAGGAAAATCTGGGGCTGACAATTTGGCATAGTAGGTTAAGCCACTGGCTGTGGCCATATGAGCACCGGTTGGAGTCCCTGATGCTCCACTTCCAATCCAGTTCCCCATTAATGTGACTAGGAGGGCAGCAGATGATGGCCCAAGTATTTGGGCCCCTGCCACCCAAGCAGAACACCAGGATGGAGCTCCAGGCTCTTGGCTTCAGCCTAGCCCAGACCCAACCATGGCAGCCATTTGGGGAGGAAACCAGCAAATGGAAGATCTCTCTCTCTCCCTTTTTCCTTAACTCTGTATTCCAAATAAATACATCTTTTTTTTTTTTAAAGAAATATATATAGAAAATCCAACTGCACATTTAGAGGCTACATCATGGGTTGGTTCACACAATGAAGATGATTAAAAGTCCAACTGACAGATTTACAACAAGGAAAGCTTCTCAGTTAAGTACCCAGAGATTGGTTAAACTGACACATTCTACATGAAATGCAACGTGTAAGGCAGAGTCAGGGCCATTTCATGACTGACTGTTGTACAACCAACTTGAAAAGGAGGCCAGAAGCACCCCGACTTCTGACAACACTCGACTGCTACCTCAATATTCTCCGACAGGTTCCTCACAGGGATGAGCTGTCCGTCAGCGCGGGTCAGACGGAGGCCACCAATGGTTCCACTGACGTCAAAGCGGCTCCCGGCTGGGAAAGGGCTCTTTGGGAAACTCATCATCTGCAACAAGATCAGAGAGTGTCAGCCGGGCCCCTGGACCCCTTGGGGCTGGAAGTGGACAGGTGCTCAGATGAATGACAGGTCCTAAGAGGGCCGGGTGAGGAGCCTTGCTAGAAGGAGGGTGGGACAGGCCTTCAGCTGCTGCTGGTTTTTCTGGTGTGTCCACCCTTGGGCCTCAGAGAGTGGGCCCTGGGGAACCCAAGTCAGCCTTGCTTTGGCTGAGCACCTACAGGATCGTGCAACTGTGCAAATGTCTCTGTGCAGCGAGCCGATGTGGTTGGCCTCCACATGGACGGACGCACCCAACTGCTGATGGAGAACACTTGGAAAAAACTGCGTCTACACTGAACATGGGAGTTTTTTCTTGTCATTGTTCCATGAAGAATAGCATGTAACAACTATTCACATGTCCTTTACTCCACATCAGGCATTATGACTGTCTTCAAGAGGACTTAAAGTACATGGCAGGCCATGTGCAAACACAGGCCCCTGAGCACCTGGGGCTGTGGTGTCTGGGAGAGTCCTGGAATGAATTCCCCATGGGTGCTGAGGACTGACCTTAAGTCTCCAAGAGAAAGATGCTTGTCACTTTTATTTGGGCTCAAGGAATCAATAGTCAAAAATGATCGTTTCACCGGTTCAAGACCCGGCTGCTCCACTTCTGATCTAGCTCTTTGCTATGGCCTGGGACAGCAGTAGAAGATGGTCCAAGTCCTTGGACCCCTGCACCCATTTGGGAGACCTGGAAGAAACTCACGGCTCCTGGCTTTGGACAGGCCCAGCCCTACCTGTTGTGGCCATTTGGGGAGTGAATCAGTGGATGGAAGACCTCTCTCTCTGCATCTCCTTCTTTCTCTCTCTGCCTATGCCTCTCTAACTGTGCCTTTCACATAAGTAAATACATCTTTTTTTAAAAAAGTGCCTTTATCTGAGGGTGGAAAGAGCCTGAGTTTGCCATTTCCTGGTCATGGAACTGATGGAAAGAGCTTTCCATCTACTGCCCAGTAGATTCAAGGCTGCTGGAGAGGTTTTGCAACTCAGTATGAAGAGGACAGGTTTGGATGTCAGGAGTGCCACTTAACTGTGGCTTTGGCTAAGTCACTGAACCTAATCTGTAAAATGGGCACAGTAGTACCATGTGGTCAGCAGAGGTGCTATCAGCAGAAACGAGCAAATACATGGGACAGCGCTTTGCAAACTGTGAAGGGCTGTCCCTGCAGAGGTGATCACTGCTGTTACCCTGATGTCCACAGGCTCCTGGCCGTCCTCTGCAGAGCCGAAGGACAAGGTGGCAGGCAGGGTGAAGGTCGCAGAGCCAGCAGCAGCGATGTGCATGGAGGAGCCTCGCCAACTCTGTGGCTGTATTCTGGCCATGGGATAAGACAGAGAGAAGAAAGTCAGAGCTGGAGGAAGAGCTGTACCCCCACACTACAGGGAGTCCTGGCTTTGCCATCAGAGAGGGTACAGCGGTGAAAAAAGCTGGAAAATGCTCTGTCCTCACGGAACCTCCAGGGCAGCACAGGGCATCCACTGCCCTCAGTGCTACTTCTGCTCAAACAGTTGCATCTCTGGATTATCCAGACACCACAGGGACAGCTGCCCGCTCAACAGGTGCTGAGTGAGTAAGTGAGCTTGGGCGGAGACATTTCTCCAGGCTGCTCTCTGTCCATTCGACCTCTGGTGTCACGGCCCCACCTTCTCTGGCCTTTGACCCTGTCCTATCTGATGAGTGTGGGGACCTGCTTTCAGAGCCTAGTTCTGATCAAGATGCCACTTTGGAAAACTGCCCGAGGGCTGCAGAGGGCAACCCTGGCATGAGGAGCCAGGGACTGAGACTTGGGATGGGGGTGGAGAGGGGGTCCCACAGTGCCTGCAGCACAGTCTAGCCCCTGGTGGTCAGGTGGAGGGGTGGTGGGAGGATGACATCTCTAGGTGCTGGGTCAGTGCTCAGCCAGGGAGAAGCCCTCTGGGAGGAAAAGTCCCCTGGCCAGTGTGTCTTCAATCCTCAGGCCCAGGGAGCAGTGGGCTGGGCAAACACGCCAGGGCATGGCATGCAGTGGGATGCTTCCGGTCACTCAGCCTCTGCACAGCTGTGACACTGTCTGTCACTCAGGATTCTTGCAGGTGGCTCTGACACTTGGCTTGGCTTTCGACTATTCTGTGTAAACTGCCATCATGCTGTGTTTGTGTGTGTGGCGGGGGACTTCCCCGGGTGGGCAGTCCTTCCCAGCTTTAGGTCTCTTTCCTTCTCTGATCCCCACAGTAGGCGCCTGGGCTCTGCCTGTCCCAGAGTTATGGGATGTGGTGTGGATGAACGAGGCTGGGGGAGGAGCCTCCTTGGGTGCACCCACGCAACCAGTTACCTGTTTGTGTACACGGAGATGGAGCGGGTGGCCAGCGTGGCGGGAAGGCCCCCGGGCAGCGTCCCCAGCAGGAGGGCAGTCTGCACATGCTCTGCGACTCCGAGCAGCTCGGGCACTGTGGCAGCCTGGAAAGGGAGACAGGAAACAATGCTGTGGGTGCTGACACGAGGCCAACGTGGGGCCTTCGGGGGGATCAGGGGTGTGAGGCGGAACACAGCCCTAGTGGGAGCGTGAAGAGCGGGCACTTGCAAAGTCAGACGCCTGCCTCTTGCCAACCTTGTCATCCTCACAACAAACACATGGGGTGGGTCTGCATTATCACCCTTGGCAGACAGGGAAATGCGGCACGGAGGACGAGTGACCAGGGATGCTACGCGGATGAGGGTCACAGCTGGGTGTGTGCCCTGAGCTGATGTCCTGTCTTGGCCCACGTCTGATTCCAGGGGAAATGGCCAGGCAAGGCCGCTCTGCAGACGTCACCTGCCCTGGACTCTGCTCCCCACCCCGTCCAAAGCCCCAGGTAAGATGCATTGCTGGGATTGCCAGGGCTGCTGTGAGGACGCAGGAAGGGTGGGTGTTTGCTCAGAGCTGCTTTCCGGGCACAATTAGTGTGTGTGTGTGTGTGTGTGTGTGTAACTGTGAGTGTATGACTGTGTGTGCATGTGGGTGAACTTGAGTGCATGAAAGTGTGTATGTATGAATGTGAATGTGAGTTGAGGTCGGGAGCATGAGTGTTGAGCATGTATGAATGTGTGTAGGTGACCCTGAGGTGTGCAATCAGGGCACAGTGTGAGTGTGCAAGGGTGTGCCTGTGATTGCATGTGCGTGCATCTGAGTGTGTTGTGAGTTTGTATGGGAGTGTCTATGATTAAGTGTGTGAATGTGCTTGTGGGAGGGTACAAGTGGGTGAATGTGGCCACATGTAACCATGTGACTATGTGAGTGTGCACCCCCAGGTGCTTTTCCTGGTCTCCCATGGGGTGCAGGGCCCAAGCACCTGGGCCATCCTCCACTGCACTCCCTGGCCATAGCAGAGAGCTGGCCTGGAAGAGGGGCAACCGGGACAGAATCCGGCGCCCCGACCGGGACTAGAACCCGGTGTGCCGGCGCCGCAAGTGGCCACCTCTTTTCTAACAATGTTCTGTGTTCCTGGCTGAGTGAAACAGGGGTACCCAGCCTTGAAGGGGGTATGTGAGACCCCTCTGACTGCTGGCTGATCTGGGATGAGGCAGAAAGTGCCACTTTGCAGATCAGAACGTGGGGCTAGGAAAGTTGTGTGACCTGCCCAAGACACAGGCTCGCAAGTGACAGCAGCGGGGTTTGAACTCAAGCTGACTCGTTCCAGGGCACGAGCTACCTGCTCTACCACACTGCCTCCGGAAGCTCTGTTCTCAGAAACTTTTTCCAGCTCTCCAGGCAACACTTTAGCCTCTGTGCCTCAGTTTCCTCACCTACAAGATGAGACAAAGATCCACCTGGAAACACTGAGAAGTGGGGGTGGGGGTGGGGATGGGGTGGGGTCTGCATCTGGGACACTGACCTGGCTGCTGGTGAATGCTGTGGTCTCTTCTGGTCTGTTGCTCAGGGAAGCTTCCAGAACACTGCCCACCACCTGAAACAGGTCCTGGATGGCTGCCTGGTGCCTCTGGTCCTCAGGATGGGCCTTGGCACTCACCATCAACAGGGCCTCAGTGGCCTGTTGCAGAGCCCAGCTGGCCTCCCGCTAGATTTGCCCAAAGAAGGAAAAAGAGTGTGAGCCCCTGCCTGGGATTGGGAGTGCCTGTCTCAGTCAAGGGACAGGGGCTGCAGTGTAGGGGAGCAGGGCAGGGACGCATGCCAAAGAAGACCGGGCCAGAGCCGTCACACAGGCTGCCTGCATCCCTGACTTGAGGTCAGAGTCCCCCCACCCCCACCCCCATTACAAAGTTCTAATTGCCTTCCAGAGGGCAGTCTGGCCATCTCTGAGTCCATTCCAGAGTGCCTTGTACAGTGCCCTGCACATAGTAGGGATTCGATAGCATTTCTGATTGGAGGGATGGATGGGCAGGTGGATGAATGGACGGGTGGACAGGTGAATGGAGGATGGATGGACTGAAGGGTAGGTGAACAGATGGGTGAGTGGAGGATGGATAGGTGGATGGGTGAATGGCGGGTATGTGGGTAGATGGATAAGTGGATGGATGAATGGAGGGTAGCTGGGTGGGTGGGTGGAGAGTGGATGAATAGTGCTACACTTTGAACATGAACTCCCCAGCTGACAGAGATATTTAAACTCCAGAGTCTATGTTGATGGTACTGCGAGGGTAGAAATGTAATTGAATTAAAGCAATGATGGTAGGGCTTTTGGGAAGTGATTAGACTGGGTTAGATTGCTAGGGTCGAGCTCCACGACCAACTCATGGTGGCTTCATCAGGAGTTACCACAGAGAGGACTGTGCTTCCTGTCTCACCTCCCTGTTCTTCCTCCATACGCATTCTGCCACCCTTGGCCCTCATCAACACCTGACCAACGGGGCTGCCGACCTTGGACTGTGAATCTCCAAAACCATTGAGTGGGAACAAACATTTTCTTTCTTGCTAAGTTGCTTCTCTCAGGTATTTATTAGAGTGATGAAAGGTTAACTAATACAAACAGATGGATGTAGGGTGGATGGACACAGCACTGACTCCAACTTTGTGAGCATATATGTACTTGTGACATTATTTGTTTAATGTGTGGCTGCCCCAGTTGTCTGAAAGTTCCCTGAGGGCAGAGACTGTCTGAGTGATTTCCTGCTGAGCTCTCCATGAGCTGCACAGTGCCTGGCACATACAGGACATCCAGGAAGCATTTGTTGCATGAATGAATAAAGAAATGGAAGGACTGAGGTGAGGGTATATACAGGTACAGGCAGTATGTCTGCAGGTGAAACAGGTGAACAAGTGGGTACAACAGAGATGTCATCAACAGCGCCGTGGTCCCTGGCTTCTGATGGGAGGACTTGAGGGGTATAACCTCCTGCCAGCCTGGGGGTGTGGATAGAGGGCAGTTCTCCCCTCCTCCTGTCATTATGGCTTCCCTTTCTAATCCTTGCCACCGTACCCCTACGAATGCAGTGTTGTAATTTGAGTTCTCCAAGAAGCAGAGGTCGAGTCAAGGATTTGAGAGAAAGTTGTTTATTTGGAGGTGATTCCAGGAAACATTGGCAGGGAGTTGGGGAGAGAGTAAGGGAGGGGCAAGAAGCCAACACAGAGAGAAGGATCAGGTCTTTTTCTAGGGCTCAATCCTGCTTAGGAGCTGGGGTATATGTACTGCAGCCCCATTTGTCACTGAGCACTGGATCAATTAGGCAGGTAGAATGACCCCTGGGGGTCAGAGAAGACCCCCAGAGAAACAAAGGCAGGAGCTGGCAGCTGAAGACCAGGCCGGGATGCACTGAATTGGAGGAGGGGGTAGGGTGTGCATGGGAAGGTCTGGACACATACTTGGCAACAGAGGATTAATTAGATTCAGTCACTCCCCGGAGTTGCTCTCCAGGGGTTGGGGGAGTGAGGGGGTGTGGGCAGAGAGGCTGTCACATTTAGCAGGAGACACGGGGCAGCTGGAAGGGCACCTTCCCTGTACCACCCACACAGGACCCTTGGAACAAAGGTGGCAGAGGTACTTGGCATTGGTCTCTGACTGTGTGGCGCTTTGATCCAAGCCCAGCTAGGCTGTCACCCACCCACTGGGAGTTGCATAACCTGTGGCCTGGCTCAGTGGCTGGGAACTACTCACCTGGGCTGCAGGTGTGAGCTCCTCACTATGGTGGGTCACCTCTCTCAGCACCTCAGCCAGCCCCTGCACCCTCTGCATGTCCTCCAGGCTGGCCGTGACCATGGACAGTGACCTCAGCACACTCTCTCTGACCTTGGCATAGGGGGAGAAAGGCAGAGAGAGGAAATGTAATTTCAGTGTCTCAGGGAAGTCATCGCAGAAAGATTTGGGTCAGAGGAGTGCCTGGGCTCTTCTGGGGTTTTCCCAAGCTCCGTAGGTATCCATTTGCCTCAAAGGATGCATGGGAAGCAGGGTCATGGCCTCCCGAAGATGCCCCTGTCTTAATCCCCCCAAACTGTGGCTATGCAGGTGGTAAAACCACTTTGCAGATTTCATTGTGGTAAGGATCCTGAGATGGGGAGATTGTCCTGGATTAACAAGGTGAGGCCAGCATAACCCACCATGTAATCCAAGTATCTTTGTAAGAGGGAGGCATGAGGGTCAGAGTCAGAGGCTGGTCTGTGAGGGTAGTTAGAGGCTGGGGAGAGGAGAATAGGAGGGGACTTGGAATATGGAGCAAGGGGCCAAGGGTCAAGGAAGGCAGGTGGCCCCTAAACGCTGGAAAAGCAGGAGGTGATTCTTCCCGAGAGCCCCCAGCCCTCTCACAGCCTTGCCCAGGCACCCTTGACCTAGGCCAGGTCACTTTTCCCCCTCTGAGTCCTGGTTTCGTCATCTTTACGAGGAAGAGGCCAGGAGCTGATATTGTGGCACAGTGAGCTAAGCTGCCACCTGCATTGCGGGCATCCTGCATCCGAGTGCTGGCTCCATCCCCAGCTGCTCCACTTGAGATCCAGCTCCCTGTTAATGCACCGGGGAAAGCAACAGCAGATGACTCAAGTGCTTGGGCCCCTGCCACCCATGTGGGAGACCAGATGGAGCTCTAGGCTCCTGGCTTTGGCCTGGGCCAGCCTCAGCCATTGTGGCCATTTGGGGGAGTGAATAGAAGGTCAATCTCTTTCTCTCTCCTCTTCTCCCCCTTCAAATAAATAAATCTTTTCCAAGAATAGGAAGAGGCTGGACTGACATCCTCTAAATTCCTTCCAGCCCCAGAAGCCTGTGTCGGGGTGTGGATGAGCAGAGGAAGCAGGTTATCAACAAAGCAGGCATTTTCTGTGTGTCACTCACTGTGAAGATGATGATCTTGAGCACTTGGGAGACACTAAAGGCTTCACCACCATCCACACGCCTGCCCCGTTCCCCCTTCCCCCCTTCTTCCACAGCGGCAGGCAGACCCCGGGGCCCAGGGGAAGAGCAGGAGGGGAGCCTGCCTCAGCACCTTCTGTCTGGCGTCCCTGCTCAGCAGCTGCCCAGAGCCCTGGCCCTGGCCCTCGTGGTTCAGCACAGAGGACACGGACTTGGCCAGGTGGAGAAGCTGCTCAGGGGCGCCCTCCTCTTGGAGAGTGGCGGTGATTCTCTCTGACACAGCAGCCGGGAAAGCCACGTCTTCCTCTACACGTGTGTCTCGGAGACCCACCTGATGGGGAAGCAGAAATATGCTCAGAAATATACTCAAGACCCTGCTGCCTGAACTCAGGGGTCTTCTCTGTGAGCCAGAGGGGACTAGAAGCCTTGGACCTGGCACAGAGCATCCAGAGGCCGGGGGCCGCTGGACCTGTCGGCACCAGGACCCCATGGCCACCAAAACCATGCCTTGGGTGATCCGTGGCTGCCCCCACAAAACTGTGCCCTGGGTGATCCGTGGCTGCCCTCCTCACTGCCCTTCTCAGCTTGTTCTCAGCCCTGTCTACGTTTGCTTGCTGTCTGCCCCGTGGCGTTTGCCCGGGGTTTTATCCAGGTTCTGCCTGGAGTTGCTGTTGGCTGATCTTGGTCCTCTTTTCCTGGGTTCTCTGAAGATGTGACACTAATCAGGGCAGGTCTTCCTGCTCTGCCCAAGTCCTCCTCCCAAGCCTCGCTCCCTACTCCTACTCTAGCTACTGAGTCACAGGGTCTGAAGGTAAAAACTGTGTCCCTTGTATCCTTGGCTGTGGCTCCAGGACTAGGCACGTAGTAGATTGCTCTACAAGTGTTTCTTGAATGACTCACTGGTGTATCTGGCCATGGCTTTGCTTTTCTTCCACTCAGGCATCTTTCTGGGTTGAGAAGTTTCCTCTGTCAGGAAACAGTGGTCACTGTCACCACCCACCTTAACCGTGGCACGTGTCTGTTGTCTCTCCCCCGCCTGATTGGTGACAGAAATGACCACTGTCAGCACAAAGCCATTGTCTTCTTTTCCAAGTGGCAGATACACCGATGGGAGGGTGGGGTCAGGGCCACAGTGGAGACAGGAACCTGGCAAAATGGAAACCAAGCGGTGAGATGGCATCTCCATGCCTCAGGCAGATTGCAGCCCACACAGGTAGAGCCAGGTTGGCTCTTCAAGGTGTGGCAGGCACTGGGGGCTTCCAAACTCTTGGTGAGAAGACAGTTACAGGGCCTGACTCACTGTCCTCCCTAAGTAACAGGCCGGGCTGGAACTTCAGAATAATTTTACTAAAATCCATGGAAAATTGAAGAGAGAACCCTCTTCCCCACATTTGCAAATTAAAAAAAGCAAAAACGAGTTTCCAAAAGAAGAAAAAGACAGGGTGGGGGGAGGAGAAGGAAAATACAGGGCAACAACAAAAACAACTGAAAAATCCACTTGAAACACAGCCAGGTTCCTGCAAAGCCCTTCCCAGGCTGCTCTGGCTAAATCACAGCCCTGGCATCTCTGTCTTCGTTTACCAGTTGTCTCTGTTTCTAGACTGCTCCACGGGGTCAAGGGCAGGCGCACAGCACAGAGCCTGCCACTCAGTCCATCTCTGTGAGAATTAATGAATGAGTGAGTGAGTATCTTGTGCATCTTTAAGCGGAAGCCATCTGTGATTGGAGTGTGCAGACGATGCTGCAGGTACTGATCTGCAGTGAAAACTCAGTTTTCTGTGGTCACACGAGCGCTTTGGGCTGGCCTGGGGTGGGGTTACTGAAGACGAAATGGCCAGCTGGAGTTAAGCCAGCTGCCGCAGCCTCTCCCCCTGGGCCCTGCAGGTCTGAAGTGGAAGCTGCTCACTGCTCACTCTGCCTCAGCCTTTTCCTGCCAGGCTCCTACCTCCTCTCCACATCTCCTTCACAGGGTGCCCCACGACAACTGCACTCCCTCGGGTCTCAGAACAGCTTCCGTCCTCCCTGCTCTGGTCAAGGTGTCCAGTCCTGGTGGGGTCTGAGGCTGGATCCTGGGACTCTCGGCAGCACCCCCGGTGCCGAGGTTTGGAGGAGAGTTCTGATCGGGCCAGAACCCATCAGAGCCTGTGTGAGGGTCACCGCACGCCCAAGCCTATAGGAGGAGGGAGAGACTCCCACGAGCCCTCCGGGTCCTTGCCACCACCACACAGGAGAATAAACGCCATGCGGGCTGCTGCCCCGCCTCCCGCCTGTGCCCCAGTGCTCTCCTGGGCTGTGTGTTGTTACAGCGACGGGATGTGTGTGTATGTGGGGGAGACTGCAGGGTTTTGTGCTGTGTGAATGTGGTCTTTCATGGTTTCCACTTTTGATACTGCCCATTCCTGGCAAAGCAGGGCCCATCAAATTGTTGAAGGCTCTATGAACCAGACCCATCTCCATCTCCCTGGGCAGCTCCAGACTTCTGAGGGATGCTGTCTTGCAGTGGCCCATACGACCCTGCTAGGCAGCCTCGCCTCTTTCACCCTTACAACGTCCCTCAGCTGGCTTCCAGCTGTGGAGGAGCTGCTGGGACCTGCCTCTCCTGTCTGGGGTGTGAGGGCTGGGGAGCCCCCATCCTGGACCCTCGCCCATGCCTAGAACACATTCTCTGCAGCTCCAGAGAGGCTGGGACATGCCCAGGAGCTGAGGAGAGCAGAGTCCTCAGCCGGTACCTGATTCCAGGCAGAAGCAGTACTCCAGGTGGCCCCGGGCTACGGAGGCATTGCAGAGGATCGCGAAGCTTGTCAGAACGGTGCCCTCCTCTGGGACGATGGCACAGGCGGGCACCCCGGGGGCAGGCAGAGTGCTGATCACGTAGGTGTCCTCCCCATAGGAGCTCCTGCTCAGTGCTGGGGTGAGAAGGCAGGTCAAGCTGGGCGAGCTGTTTGCTCAATGCAGATTCCCAGGCCCTTAGCCCGCCCCGGAGCCTCAGACCTCTCTGGGAGCTCTGAGGCAGGCCCAGACATCTGCATATTCAATACCACACCCCCCCCCCCATGCAGAGGGCCCCCAGGTCTCTGAGAAAGTGACAAAGAAAAGAATCAGAGTCCAGCCTGAATCCCAGGTCTGCCTTCACCTCACACTTGACCTTTTTGAGAGTCAGTTCCTCAACTGCAACACAGGGCTAAGAATAACGTCCTGAGGAGGGAGTATGGGGGTACTTAAAAAACTTAGTGGGAAATGGAATTAAAAGTTTAATTTGGTGGAAAATTTTTAAAATACTGTATATTTCCCACGAACTTTCTGAAGACCCCTCATATGCATGGGTTTCAAAAATTTTTGCACCAAAATAAACTTATCTTTCTAGGCCCCTCCAACCCTGGGGTGAGCCCACAGGTGACCCGCACAGCACCCATATCACCTGGGTTTTCAAGAGCCATGGGTGCCTGGAAGAGCCAGGAATAAAGAGAATCTCCATCAGTTATAGTTAATCCTGTGGCAGAGACTCAGAAGGTTTGGGGTGGACCTAGGAGTGAACTGAACTAGTCAGTTATCATGGTGGGGGGTGGCCTAGGGCCACTCTGGGACAGAGAGGCAATCCTTCCCCAAAAGCAGGGCTTGCAGTGAATGAGAAGCACTGAGTCAGCCCTGCAGGAGGAGCAGGTGTGGGCCTCTGCCCCGGTGTTCCTCATCCTGCGTTAATAACAGTTCTGTGGCTGGTGTGTGTTATACCCCATGAGAGGCACAGAGAGCATAACCCCTGTGCCTACAGTCTCCCTGGTCGAGAGTGGAAGGAGTGGGAGTCAGGCCAGGGCTGCCCCTGTCCCCACACAATGTCTCGGCTCCCACCTGTGGCTCTGACCCGGATGACGTCTCCCCAGGTTTGCAGGGCTGAGCTGTTGAGCTGTAGCGTGGAGGTGTTGCTCTGAAGGAGGGTTAAGGACCTCGGCCAAAATCCTCGCAGTCTGCAGGCGGTGGGGAGGGGCTTGGCCTGAAAGAGAACATGGCCCAGGGCCTCAGCAGGACCGGGCTGCCGACCCCTTAGCCGGCCTTCCAGATGGACTGACAGACAAGCGACAGGAAGGCGACACCTGCTTCCCTGTAGGTCGGCCAGAACAGCACATCTCCAGGCTCTTTAAGGTGTGTGTGAGAGGTGAGCGGCCTCATTAGGGGAGCGAGGGAAGGCAAAGAGGTGGGTTGGAGAGGCATCTAGCCTCCTGTGGGGAGCCCTGGAGTGTATGTCACACCACAGAACTCTGCTGACACAGGAGCAAGGCGTCTGGGCTCCCAGACTGACATGTCCATTGGTTGTTGGTCAACGGCCACTCATGGGGGTTGGGGGACTCGGCTGGGCTACCAACAGCGTCAGCTGCAGTGGCTCCCTATGGCCCCTGCTCCCTTCCTCTGTGGCAGGACCCCAGTACCCACCCCCAGGGCACAGCTCAGAGGGGAGCTGACCTGTCCCTGGCTCAATACTGGGCACGTGACATGGCTGGGCCCTCAAGGGGGAAGGTTTCTGATTCTGAGTGGCTGCCCATGTCCTCACCTGCTCCGACGAGGTGCGGTCTAAATACCAGCTGAACGTGGCCACCGGGGCGTCGTCTCCCATGGTGACCCTGAGCAGAAGGTCATCGTTGGCATCCACCGGCCCACAGTTGTGCTCGCAGCTGCGAGGGGGCAGAGGACAGAGTGAGGAATCTCCCTCGGGCATGGGGACCACTGCCTGGCCATCTGCCTGTTCCTCTAAGTCCTGTGAGAGGGCAGGATGTGTCCTTTTCCTAAACGGAAGATGGAGTAAAAGCCACTACTCCTGCTCCAGCCGAAGCTGGGACGTAGCCTTGGCCGTGACCAGGGTGTGAGCTGTGCCCTAAGTTCCCGTCCTACTCACTTCTAGGCCCTGCCCACGCTTCCACCTCCTTCCTGCGCCTCTTCTCCTTCATCCTCTGGGATGCCCTCACTTCTTGGTTACTCTGCCTGTCCCCTTTGCTCGCTCTGTTCCCTCTCCACTACCCCCGTACCCCTTCACATCTTTGCTGAGCCCAGCACCAGAGGGGAATCTTCTCTGGGACAGGGGCCCAGGAGCAAGCTCTCTCCCTTCATTCCTTTCTGCATCATCACTGACCCCCAGGGAGGAGCCCTGCAGTCACAGAGATGGGGCTGCTCTGCCCATCCTGCAAATGGCAGTAACCCCAGAGGACTGTGTCCTGTGCCCCACCTGATCCGAGGCCTTAGCTCCGGGGGAGCAGACACGTAGAGGCACTGCTCCACCTCGTGCTCCACCTCCTGGCCCCTCTGGATGGCCAGGTGTAGGGTGACAGCTGAGCCAGGTGGTGGCAGGCAGGGCGGCGGGACCACCAGCTCCCTCCGGTCCACATGGAGCAGGCGCTTCTTCATGCAGTCTCTCCACTGAGCCCAGCAGTGCCCTGCAAGGGAGACGGGCAAACACCATTCTCATCAGGAACCCAAGTTTTGCGCGTGTGGCTACCTTCTGGTTCAGGAGCTTTAGAGGACAGGGGTCAGAAATACCAACAGGAGCTATAAACAGAGATCTTGATTTCTAAGGAGTGCTGGGAGAGGATGCCTGGGGGCAGGTTGCTGCTCAGGGAAAACCTGCAGCGGGGCTTGGCTGGTGACTGGCACTGGTGCTGGGGCGGCCTTGTAGCAGGAGAGAGCTCCATGCGGCTTCTCAGCCTGGTGCCACTGCCTCTCTGTCTAGGGCCCCGTGTCCATGTGGGCTACTACAGGGTCGTCCCCTGCTTATGTTAGCAGCTCCACAGATTTCTACAACTCTATTAGTTGATATTTATCCACCAACACCTCACTCCTTACCACCTCCAAGGTGTGTCAGGAGTCAGGCCCATCAGCTCAGTCACCTAAACACAGCTTTTTTAAAACAAATTATTCCTATTTTTATGTATTTGAAAGGCAGAGAGAGGGAAAAAGAAGTCGTGAAGGGTGGTGGAGAGAGACTGATCTCCTATCTGCTAGTTCATTCCCCAAGTGCCTACACCAGTTGGAGCTGGGCCAGGCTGGGCTGAAGCCAGGAACTGGAAACTGAATCTGGGTCTCGCATGTGGGTGGCAGGCACCCATGTCGTGTCCACCAGTTGCTGACCCCCAGGGTGTGCATTAGCAGGACACTGGGATCTGAAGCAGAGCTGGGACTTCAGCCCAGCCACTCTGATATGGGATTGTAGGCTTCCTACTAAGTGACGCCTTAACTGCAGTGTAAAATGCCCAGCCCTAAACTCTACTCTTGTGTTCTCTGTATTCAGATAATAAGAACTAATATTCAGAAATATGTCATCACCATGCAGCAGTTAATGTCACAAGCCCTGAAATTTTGTATGACTTTTGACACACTCTCTCTGGAAATTTATTTGTGAAAGTAACCACAGATAGAAATAAAGATTGAACTGTAAGGATGTTCATGACAGTATTGTTTATGAAGGCAAACAAACTTAAGTATCCAGGAAGACAACACAGATAAATGAAAGATCATACATCCCCAATGGTCTATTATGCAGCAGTCATGAAAATCAGAAATGCACCGTGACAATAAAATATGCAGCATATATGAGGGATTTTCAACAAGTTAATGAAAAATGTGTATCATCTTTTAATACCATTTTCCCATGAACTTTTAAAAGTACTCTCATAGTGTTCAAATGAAAAAAAGGGAGGGGGGAGGTATTGTGGTGCAGCTGATAAATCCTCTACTGGAGACGTGTGCATCCCATATCAGAGTGCAGGTTTAAGTCCCAGCTCCTCCACTTCCTATTCAGCTGCCTTTAGTGTGTCTGGGAAGCAGTGGATGATGGCCCAAGTGCTTGGGCCCCTGCCACTCAGTGTGAGAAACCAGGAGAGAGTTCCTGGCTCTGGCTAGGCCCTGCTCCAGCTCATTTTCTTTCTCCCTCTCTACCTTTCAAATAAATAAACTAGAAAAAAGGATAACAGTACAGTGTGTATGACTTTTTTGTGTGTATGACATTTTATTTCCCAAAGTTGTGTGTGTAGCCAGGATGTATCCCTATAACAAGCAGGACACCTGTTTCTAAAAGATGAGCAGCAGGGCTGCCGTCTTGGTCACTGGAAAGTGCCCGGCCCCTAGCCTCTTCTGCTCACCCCAGTGATAGATCACAGGGAGGGGGAAGGGAGGAAGCCACCCCAGAGTGGCGCATTTGATAGCACGCATTGTTGGAATTGCCAGCGCATGATGATCATAAAAAAGCAGGCTGACTTTTAAAGTTGTCTTATTTTTAAAAGAATTCTCTATAATCCCTTGTCTCCCAAGCTCAGGGCCATCCTGCCCCCATGGTTGGCTTCCTCCCATTTCCATGGCACTTGCCATGCCATGGCAGGCGCAAGCTACACAAAGTGCCAGGCTTAAGTAACGTCATTGTGAAGATTAAGAAAACTGCAAAATCTGATCCCCTATGAGATAGGACATGCCGAGAACTCCCACACACCTACCACATGACCAGTGGAATCGTAAATCCTCCACGTTGTCAGGCCAGCCCAGGGTCACGGTTGTGAAAGGATCCACGTATATACCAGGTTGAACATACACCTCCATGCCCTCCTTGCCATTCTGCAGAAAAATCATGCACTGGTGAGACACCCTCCACGGCTAACTCAGCTGTAGAGCAAGGGGCATCAATAGTGGCCACAGCGTAAGGCCTGGAGGAGACAGACCCTTGCTGATCCACCTGACTCCCCTTCCTGGGCTGTGGAATCAGGACCTCTGGGTGAGTAACTTTATACCAAGTGTGGCTCAGGGTCCACCGTGCATTCAAGTGCAGCAATAGAGGTCATCTGGGCCCGGGCCCTGTGCCTGATGCTTACAGATACAGAAATAGAGACCCAGACCCTGCCCTGAGGTTCTATAGGGAGGACAGGCCCAGAAGCCAGCTGCTAACTGCTACAGCAGAGGGGGACCCAGGGAGTTAGGAGACTTATGAGAACCGAGCAGAGAGGCAGAAGGTGAGGAATGTAAGCCTGGGGCCACCCACATTCCACACTCTAACCTCTAGCCAGTTCCTGGGCCTCTAAACTGTGCCTCCCAGGGTTGGAGAGCATCTGGTGCCTGGAGCTGCTGTGGATTCAATCTGCCTAAGGCAGTATCTCGAAGAGGCAGGGAGCAGAGCTGTGTGGCTCACAAACGGGATGGCAGAGTCGGGAAGCTCCTGCAGAGGATGGTCTTGAGACCAGAGGGGAGCAAGGGTTAGCTGGGGGACAGCAGAGAGCCCGCAGGCTCTAGGAAGAGGGGGTAGTGGTGTACACCGGAGACTTCTGCTGGGACCCATCAAGCGGCTCAGGCCTACTGCTTAAACCTGCAGGGCCTGGCCTGCAATAATGCAAACTCAACCTGAAATGGCTTCCCAAAAATGCAAACCTGAAAGCCATGTGACTGGGCCTCCAGCAGGCTCCAGTCTGGGTGGTTTTTAGCCACAGGCCCTTCTCATCCTGCCCTGCCAGGAAGCTCTCATTCTGTTTTATCTTCAAGTCCGCTTATACAGGTCACCTCTTGAGACCACATCTGCCAGGCCACCCTCTGTAAGTTGCTATCCCTGCACTATCCTTTTGGTTCCTGTTAGATGCTGAGCATACATGCTTGCTTTATGCTAATTTGCTTGTTTAACCTCACCCACTGAGCTCCCAGAAACAGGACCATGTCTGGTTATTTACCATTGCATTCCTAGCCCTAAGACCACACCGCGAGTGCAGCAGGTGCAGAGTAGGTCTCTGTCATTGAATAATGCACGCATGGACAATTTCAACAGCAAAGTGCTAAGGATTCAGTTGTGTTTTAAAAACTAAAGTACTTGTGCAGGTTTCCCATGAGCATTAAGGGCTACATGGTTCCATCTCAGCACTGTTTGAGTTGCCTGCAGCAAATGTCAATAGCTTGTCCTGTCTTCATCATTTAGCTAGAAATATTTTCCAATTTTCTCCTCTTTGACTCACTGTTTTTTTTTTTTTTTAAGAAGTGTGCTGTTTCATTTGCACAATGACTAAGAGATGACTGCATAAGCTAATGGCTTGCTACCGACTTACAATCCTGTTACAGGTAGAGAATGTGTTTCTTTTCACTTCAGTCCTTTTGGGCTTCTTTTCAAGTGGAAGAAGCCTTGGGAGTTCCCAGTGCCCTGGCTATCAGTACAGACACATCAAGACTCAAAGCTAAACCAGAGCGCTTGCATATCTTGTGCTTGTGACGGTAAATGTTTAAGAAAGATACTCACACTCTCTTCTTTGGTACTTATTCGAGATGGTTCTTGGAGACCGGATGGCGCTGTGAACACAGTGAGAATGGGCGTTTATCTTTGGTGGATGAGTTAGGAAAGTCATCTAGAGGCAGAGCCAGCAGTCATGCTGAGGGTGCCCCAGGGGTCTCAGCCTGTCTTTGGAAATGGCTTAGGGGGAACAGAGGGCATATTTAGGTCATAGGGGAATGAGTCAGAAGCAAAACCAGCACGTCCACCACCAGGGCTAAAGAGAGAGCTCATTAATAGTTGAGGAAGTGGCAGCTGCTGCAGGGCAAACACAAGGCTTGGAGTCAGGCAGGTGCACCTGTGTGCTGCTCATGTCGCCTGCAGACTGAGGGGTGAGGTAAGAGCCCCGGCGGGCAGCATTTGTAATTCCCAGGGTGTAAATATTCCCAGGGAGGACAGCAAGCTGCCTGTGTAGCCGAATGTAGGGGGGAAGAGTTACGATGATTCTTTCTGAGTTGCCTCATCTGTGTGAAAGATGGCAGGTTATCTCTGGTTCTCAGCTCCTGGAGGAGTGCCTGTGTGCTGTGTGCACTAGTGCTCTGTAAACTATGCATCTGTGAAGAGTGGGAGTGTGCCAAGAAATAAGGGAAAGGCACACTTAGTTGATGTGCTCTGAAGATATTTAAGTCATATGATTAGTGTCTAATTAAAGTGATTCGATTAAGTTGGCTCTTACAGGTGTTCCATGTGAGTCACTAGGGCCTAGTGAATTGGATATGTTAAGATCTGGGTACCACTGAGTTTTAAAGAATGCTTTCCCAGTGAAGTCTCATGCACACGGTAACTTTGAAGGTATTATGGTTTGAATAGGATTTGGCTTTCCAAACTCCTGCAGACATTGAAATGCCAAAGCCTATGCCACAGTTGATGGATTCACGTTGATGGATTGTAGGTGGAGAGTTGATCTGGGCATCTGGGAGCCAGGGCCTGTGGGAAGTTTTGAGGTCGCTGGGGCCTTGCACTTGGAAAGTGATGCTCACAACAGGGCTGGGTGGATGAGCCTCCATATGCTGTGTTCTGCCCTCAGACTAATGGGGCACATGACCTTGGCCTGTGAACTTCCAAACCGTAATCTGCAATAAACCTTCCTTCCTAAGAAGTCCCTCTCGGGTATTTTAAAGTAACGAAAGGCTGACAGATGCAGAAGGTCAGCATAATTTCACTGCATGCATTGTTCCCCCTTTAGAATAACCAGGGAGCAAGGCACATCTTCAAAGCCCTGTTTGATGGGCCCCTCACTAGGTCCCAGGTGACAGTAAGGCCCTGGAATCCTGGGGAGAGGTTTTATGCCCCTTACAGAAACACCTTGCCTGTGACTGTGACATTCCCGACTTCCAAACTCAAGTTTGAGAAGGCATTCCTCACCAGCACAGTGACCAGGAAGGTGCCTGTAGGGCAAAAGGCAGACGATTAGGGCCTTGCTGTCCAACCTGCACTGAGACCAGTCACCCGGCTTCTGCTTCTCCAGGTCCCTGATGCCAGGGTCTGGACCTTCCACCCTCAGCATTTAATGAGCCCCCACTGTATGCCAGGCTCAGGGCAAGACTGGGGCTACAGAGGTGAAGGAGCATGGTCCCTGTCCCCTGTCTTGGTCTTGTTGTCCAGTAGACACACATGGACACATAGGACAGTAAGTGCTGAACCCTGGTAGGAATCAGTGTAGGGGCATTGTGGCCAGGGGTGGGCTCACTTCAACCGTTCATTGGCTGGAGCTGGAGCTAGAACTAAATTTCAGAGCTGGGCGGTGCTAGGAATCAGATCAGATTGGGGATTCCAGCAGAGGGCAAGACAGGTCAGATCTGTAAAAGGATCAAGAGTGGAGAGGGAGGGGGACGTGTGGTTAGAAGGTCCATCTGCAGGTGCTGCTAATGCCTGGGTCTCCCTTCCCTTCTCCCCTGTGGCAAAGCAGTGGTGGGCGGGTGCTGCCTTCTTCGGTCTCAAGTCCAGAGAAGGGCCTCAGAGGAGACCCTTCCTTGGGAAGCTTGGTGTGAGTTCGAGGTTGGGGACTTCCATGGCCAGGTCACTTAACGCCTACCCTTGAAGGAATGATCTAGGGCCAGGGGCTGGGGGCTTGGGAGGTGGAGGATGGGGACAGAGAGCCTGAGGGAGCAAAGAGCTGCATTTCTGCACCTGGGAGAATGAGCGTTGGTTGGTTTTAAGCCTAGGGATGGGTGAGAGTTTTCTATGGACCGGATGGAGGCCTTGGAGAGAGAAGGTTTGGGGAAAATGAGACTCCCACAGAGTGGGAGGTGGTCCAGGAGAAGCAGCATCTGGGAGGCAGTAGGCAGCTTTTTGAAGAGAGACACCATCCTTATCCCACGGGCTGTTGTCTAAGAGACCCAGCAGGGGGCCTCAGGAACCCGTAGAAGCTGCTATGGAGAGGCAGCTTCAAACACCTGCTGGCCCCGGGAGCCAAGTGCAAACCGCCAAGTGCAAACAATCCTGGTCCATCCTCCTTCCCTCCCTCCACTCCTTGGCCCCTGGAGTAATTCAAATCTCTGGGTCTCAGGGGATAAGGGGTAGAGTCTGCTTATCATCTAAGAGTGAGCAAAGAAGCCAGCAGCAAGGGCTTCCCCTTACCATTATCTGAGCAGTGGGAGACAAAGCCGTCCACACGTGGATTATGGCCTCCATGGTGTGTGGGCTTTCCAGTTTTGGTCACCTCTGTATTCTCCCTGCCCCAAGCTGGACCCACTGGTACTTGGCAAGGTCCCATGGTTTTCTCCTCAAATCTGTTATTGCTGCTGCTGTGTCTTTTGCCCAGGTCCCTGCTGAGAGCATGGGATGCCCACACCTGCCCAGTCTTACTCCCCTTCTGACACACCTGTGAGAGGCAGGGGATCTGTCAGCAGGGCCCTGGGCAGGCTGGAGACCCTCTCTACCTTCACACTGCTCCTTCCAGCTATGATGCTCATGTGCACTGGGACCTCCCCCCCTGGCGGTGCCTGTCAGTCTGTCCCCAGCCAGCACCCTCAGGACTGACTGTGTCTTTCTCTCCCTCACCCTTCCGTCTTCACCTCTCTCTCCACCCAGGGCAAGGACTGCAGTTCCTTTACCACTCTCCTCTAGAGATGTTGGAGGAAATCAGAATGCACCGCTCTCTCCCACTGGTTCTCAGTGGGTGGTTTGCAACCCCTGCACCCCCCAGGGACATTTGGTAAGGTCTGGAGACATTTGGGCTCTCATGACTTGGGGCATTGGTGCTACTGGTATCTAATAAGTAAGAGCCCATGTCCTCCAGTGCCCAGGACTGCCCCGACTAGAACAAGGAATCATCCAGCCACCAATGCCAGAAGTGCAGAAGCTGGGAACCCTGGACACTGTAAGTCCCATGGGGGCAGCCATCTCTGACTCTTCCTCTTTTGTGACCCAGGCTGGATGCTGTGAGCCATGTGCATGTCTGGGTCACACTGGGTAATGGACAGACATCAAGCACGAACGGGAAGAGGAGGGAGATTTGGAAGGGGAGCGGCCAGTCCCAAGTACCTGCCATAGGAACTGCTACACGGTAAGTGCCATGTGGCTCCCTGAAGCTCTCTTCCTCATGGGAGAAGGTGGCACTGGGTCCTGCCACCTCCAAGGTCACCTCCTCGGGGGTGCCACGAGCCACGGAGACGTTGATCACTAGGTCCTGTCCGAGCTCCAGGTGGTCGGAAGTCCAGGAGGCCTGCAGCCCCGACAGCGGCTCCAGGAGATGGACGGTGATGTTTCTAGAGGGTGCAGAGGTGGTGGTGTTGCTGGTGGCTCGGAGCTCCAGGTGGTGCACCCCAGGGCCCAGCAGTGCCTGGGCGTCCCTGTCCAGGGTCAGGTTGTAGGGTAGTGAGCCGCTCTGGGTGCTGGATTCAGCCAGGGTTTCGTTACCCAGAAGCACAGTGAAAGTCATTTCTGTTCCTAGGTGGGATAAGAAAAACGTAAGAATGGTGGTAACAGCCCTGACGCTGAGTGTGCTGGTGCAGATTCCGGAGGTAGTCTTGGGTATGGACACAGATATCAGGCAGAGTGTAAGCCCCTGCCCAGGCACTAACAGTGAGCATCTCTGAAGTTTGAGTTAATGAAGGACTTTTTTTTTTTTTTTCTTTCTGGGATCACCTCTGTTTCTTTGCGTATTGCAGTTTATTTATACAGGTCATGTATCTCTGGTGAACTTAAAAGTTTGTGTTAAAAACAAAGCTTTTGGTTGCCAGGGCTATCCTGCAGTGTGGGTGTGGGAAGCTGGGGGAGAGTTGGGAAAGGCACCACCCTTGTGGACGGGGGCGGGGGCTGACGCAATGCCCAGGAATTAACCCCCACCTCATTTTAGTGGGGCTGCAGGGGAAGCTGTTTTCTTCACTCTGCACTGGTGACCGCCGAGACCCCGCTAGCATGAGCACACATTCTCCCCACCCGCCATCCACTTTAGGATGGGGTCTACCTCATAGTTTGGAAATGGTTGGTCTAACTGGAGGCCAGCTATTGTGGTTGACTCTTGAAGATTGATTTAAACCAACAAATTAAGACTCTTTCAAATAGATCTGTGATGATAATATTTCTTGTTTGGATGATGATGGTGGTGATCATGACAGTGATGATGATGATGGTGATGATGGTATTAGCTCCTTGAGGTCAGAAACCTTGATTTTCCTGTTTCAATTGTATTTGCAGCAGGAATAAATAACCAGAGGACTATTTTATATTACCCCAGATGCACGTGTCAGCTGGTGGGAACAGACAAAAGCCCCATAGCACCAGGTGAAACAACAATTATAGCTCCATTAAATTGGTGCCGGAGTGAGGCTCCCAGTGGTGCATGAGGTCAACTGAGTAACATCCTCGAGTCCACAGCTCTGTGCTGTACCACTGACATCAACAGGCCTCTGTCCAGATCTCAAACTGGACCTCTGCCTCACTGAAAGATGCTGCGCTGGGTGAGGATGGCTCTGAGCCAGGAGGGTCTCCACTGAGACAAGGGGCAGTTTTTAAAATAACAATGGAAATGGCAGGGCAATGACCGACAGTCAGAATGGAGGTTCTAATGAAATCAGAATGAACACTGTTGGCCAGTCAGAATGGACACTGACCAATCAGAAAGATGCTGTGACCAACCAGAAAGGACACTGTGGCCAATCAGAATGGCCCCTCACCATAACAGCTGGTACAGCTATACCAGTGTGTTTAGCCCAGTATCAGCCCTTACTGGGACACCATGGCTGTGCCAAGCTGGTTGCCACCGGCTGCTCTAAGAAAAGCTCAGGCTTCCCTGGTGGCACTCCTGGACTCCCTCATTCTGTTCAAACTCCTCCCACGAGCAGATCCTTGAGATCTACTGTGGCCATGCACAATAGGGCCTCGGAAAAGCCAGGAGCTCTTACTATAAGCTGCTGACCTTGTGACTTTGAGAATACCTCTGAACCTTTCTGTGCCTCCATGTCTTCATCAGTGAAATGGGAACTGGTGTAAGTGTTTTTCAAAAAGTTCATGGAAACTAGAATGAAAAGATAAGTTTATTTTGTGCAAAAACTTTGAAATTCATGTGTACAAAGGGAATTTCAAGAAGTTCACAGAGATTGAGTCTTATGGAAAAGTAGGGGGCAGGTGTGTGGCCCAGCTGTTGGGTTGCCTGTGTCCCATATTGGAGTGCCTGTGTTTGACATGTGGCTTTGCTCCCGTCTCTCAATTCCTGCTGGTGTGAATCATGGAGTCAGAGGTGGTAACTTGTGATTGGGTTCCCGCCACCCAGGTGGGAGATGTGGGTTGAATTTCCAGCTCCTGACTTCAGCCTCTGGACCAGGAGTGTTGCACATACTGGGGAGTGATCAATGAGCAGATGGGAGCCCACTGTCTCTCTCTGGCCATGTCTTTCTTTCTCTTTCTCTTTCTGTCTCTGTCTCTGTACTTCTCAAATAGGTAAATAAATACATTTAAATGTATTTATTTTAAGGAGGGGAATAGAGAGAGAGAGAGAGAGAGATCTTCTATCTGTTGGTTTACCCCCTACATGGTCACAACAGTCCCATCTAGACCAGGCTGTAGCTATTAGCCAGGAACTCCATCTAGGTTTCCCTTGTGGGTGGCAGGGACCCAAGTACTTGGGCCTTCTTTCACTACCTTCCCAGGTACACTAGCTGGAAGCCAGATTGGAAGCAGAGTAGCCAGGACTCAAGCTGGCACATCAATATGGGATGCTGGCATTCCAAGCAGCAGCCTAACCCACTGGCCACATGTTAAACACTAAAGTTGCCTTTAAATTCCATTTGCATGATCTTTTGGAAGTACCTTTGTATGTACTGAGTGGGTCTGTAAACATAAAACATTTACAACAGAGTCTGCCACACACTAGATGCTAAATAAATGAATCAATGGTAGCTAAAAAACCAACTCAGTAAGTGATCCCCGCTATTACTGATGAAAGCCTCAGGGTTTCAGAGACAGGTGGCCCAGTTCCACATACTCACCTCCATCGAGCTCCACCTGAATCCACAGAGGGTCCCCAAAGACAGCCCTGCAGACAGGAACGGCTCCTGACTCGGACAGGCCAGAACAGCCCGTGACCCTGAGCCTCCCGGTCTTGTCTCTCAGGATCACCTGCTTCTCAGCTGTCACGTGCCACTCACTGGTCGTGCACTCGGCAAACACGGTGAATTCCCCAGGAGACGTGAACTGGTGGGTCACGCTGCTGGACAGACTGTGGGCCACATTGAGAAGCATGGCCAGCGTTAGGGAAATGGACACACACACACACACACACACACACCTCCCACCTCCCAGGCTGTGCAAAGCTGAAGAGATGAAGGAAAAGACACACCTAGCTCTCCCCGCAGTGAGGCTTACATAGAGCGGCCGGGAGCAGATGGGGACGGTAGAAACAGCACCCATCAGCCAGGTGAGCACATACTGGCTCCAAGTCCCTTTTCTGTCATTTTATCCCTCTGGGGCCCACACAGCCTCCCCTCTCTGTATCTTCGTGCTCCATCTGTAAAGTACTATCTTTCTCAGCTGTATTTCCCCCTCTGCAAAATGGGATCATTTTTAACATGGCAAAGGCTTTGCGCACTAAACTGACACATATGCTGTGACCCTGAATGGCAAACAGGCAGCTCTGAAGACTGAAATGACACCGGGAGCCATGCTCAAAGATAGCAAGTCAGAGCACCTGCTGCCAATCTGACTGGGCTGGCCACCTGTTAAAAAAATTCATTAAAAATCCCACATTTTTCTGGAGGATTTTAACAAGGCCCAGAACCTTCAGAACATATTATTCAAGATGTCTAAACACCATCCAAACTTCTTGATATACCAAATGTCAAGGGAAAATATAGTTCATAAAATTCAGCCTTGAGATGACTCAGATGTTAGAATTATTGAAGACTTTAAGTTGGTGATAACCATACTTCATAAAGTAAAAATAAACCCTCTCGAACCCTGGCTGCTCTCCTTCCAATCCAGCTCCCGGATAGTGAGCCTGGGAAAGCAGCAGCAGATGGCCCAGGTGCTTGGGCCCCTGCACCCACATGGAAGACCCAGAAGAAGCTCCTGGCTCCTGGCTTCAGACTAGCCCAGCTCCAGCCATTGTGGCCATTTGAGGAGTGAACCAGCAAATGGATGAGCTCTCTCCCTCTGTCTGTCTGTCTCTCTCTCTCTAACTGCCTTTGAAATAAATAAATAGTTCTTAAAAAATAAAAAGTGAGAAATCAGTCTCCCAAATTAAAAAAAAAATTAACAACACAGTACCTGAAATAAAACATTCATTGGATGGGTTCAATAGCAGAATAGAGATGGTGGGGGAAAAGATAGTGAACTTGAAGATAGATCAAATTACCTGCCTGGAGAATCAGAATAAAAATATCAAAATAATAAAAGGAACAGAATTTCAGCTGCAATATTAAAAGGAAAAGGCCTAATGGAGCATTTGAGAGAGGAAAGAGGTTGGTATAGAAAAATATACTTCAGGAAACAATGGCTAAAAACGTATGACATTTGACAAAATACACAAATTTAGAACAGATTTAAGAAGCTCAGAGATCCCCTAAACAGGGAGGAAAAATCTTAAAACTACACCAGATCAAACTGCTGAAAACCCAAAGTGAAATAAAAAAAATTAAAATTAGTGAGAAATAAATGACACATCAGGGAAACAGTTATCTGAACCACTGTAGCTTTCTCACCAGATAGCACGGAGGTCAGGAGACAGGGAAACACCACTCATTTCCACATTTCTGAAGGAACATCAGCCCCGAATTCTAGACCCAGCACAAATGTCTTCTGGGAGTTAAGGCAAAATAAAGATGTTCTCAGAAAAACTAGAATAATTTGTAGCTAGAAAAACTCTGGAAAAAATGCTAAAGGAAATTCTTTGAACTAAGGAGAAATGAAACAAACGTGAAGGAATCTTGGAGCTCTGGACATGCAGGAAGAGCAGGAGAAAGGCAGATATGTGGGTAAACGCGTAGACCGGATTGCTCTCGTTGAATTCTACAAGATCTGTATGGCTTTGAGAAGGGCTTTACGAGGTACGTGAATATCGCACACGACTGTGTGTGACAGTCGTAACACACAGCTGGCGATAAAGGAACCTGGATGCAGGTCAGCCTTCAGGATTTTACCTGAAGAGGCACAAGCTCACCTCTGCCCAGACTGAAAAGCTGAGGACATGGGTCGTAATTCGTGCAGCAGCTCCCGAGAAAGAACGCAAAGGGGCACGGCCCACACCAATGCATCAGGTGAAACTGAAGATTAGAGACATTCACATAATGTAAAAGGAGGTAGGAAAAGGGAGCAGAGAGAAAACACGTGGAGGAGGCCAACAAACAGATAACAACAGCAGACCCACATCTGGCTATGTCAGCAACTGCATCAATTATAAATGGTTTACACACATCAGTGATTATGCCAGCCTGCATTTAAATAACTAAAACCCTATCAAAGCACCGCCTTAAATATAGGGATATAGTTAGATTAGAAGAGTGGAGATATATCAGCAAACAATTACCAAAGGAAAGTTGGAGTGGGCATTGTCAAATCAGACCATGTAGATTACAGAACAAGGGAACAGTCATTCTCTAAGGAAACAGCAAAATTCGGTCTGTCTCCCAGCGATCTCCTTGGAAGAGGCACTTGCAACTCTGTGCCAAATGGAATCACCCAGGACCAACAGGCAGAGAAACGGTTCTTTGCTGGTTTCTGTCCTAGGCATCTCACCCCAGGGAAAAGACAGAAAAGTAGTTTTACAAACCATGCCAGCAAAGGAGAGAGATACTCACAGCAGAACCAGAGAGAGAGAGAGAAGTCAAAAACCCATTCTATGACCCCGAGACCCAGCAACTCAAGCATAAGTCAGGCATCCAGAGCATATACTTTATGATGCCATTTCTGGGGGTTTTAATCCCATGATGCTGGCAGATCAGGCTGGCAGTTCGTCACAGGTGCTGAAGAGGCTCGGGGGGGAGGGGTCTCTGGACGGCTGCTCATGTTTTATTGCTCAGCTGTGTGCTGCTGATGTGTGTGAATTTGTTGTGTAAAAATATGTTGAGCTATTTTTTTTTTTTTTGCACTTTTCTGTCCATGCATTATCCTTCGATAAAAAGGTTAAAAGTTAGTCCCGGACTCCATCACCCACTGATCCGCCCTCATGGCTTTGCTATTTGACTTCCATTTGCGGCACATTTTCCTTAAAGGGAAAGCTCATGTTGCCGGTCTTCTCTCATAAAGCCCGGCCATCGGGAATGCCTGTGTCACTTTGTTCTGCCACTCATGAGGGGCCAGCCAGCTGTGTGATGAAACCTCAGACCCAGCAGGGCTTCGGGAAACCGGAGAGCTCGTCTCCCAGGAATCCTCTGGTTACTTGCACGATCCAAGTTCTCTGCGGAGCTCTCTCTACCTCATTTCCCTTCCACACGATGAGGGCGGCCCCAGTGTTGGCAGTCGGAGTTGTTGCAGGGGTGGGGGACCCCTGAAATCATTCGGTCTGGCCCTGCCGAGGCAGCTGTAGGCAGGACTCGAAATGCATGCATAGCAGGCTCGTTTTCTAAGTTGATCATTTTTGTATGGCCTGCAAATGATGTCATAAATATAGAAATAGCCCCTGGGCAAAAGCCTCTCCACCCCTGGATAGTTTGAATGAGACAACAGCTGAGGGAGTATCTGGTATACCATAAACCCAAATCTTGCAGCGTTTCTAATAGGATGATGCGGTGTGCCGTTTAGCCTGCTGAAATACGAGCATTGATATATGAGAGTACTGCAAAAAAGTTCATGGAAAATGGAATTTAGAAAGTTTGTTTTGGTATATAATTTATTTTATTATTTTTTTAAATCTCTGCATCTGGGGCTGGCGTTGTGGCGCAGCGGGTTAACACCCTGGCCTGAAGCACTGGCATCCCATATGGGTGCCAGTTCGAGACCCGGCTGCTCCACTTCCAATCCAGCTCTCTGCTATGGCCTGGGAAAGCAGTAGAAGATGGCCTAAGTCTGTGGGCCCCTGCCACCTCGTGGGAGACCCGGAAGAAGCTCCTGGCTCCTGGCTTTGAATCGGCGCAGCTCTGGTCGTTGCGGCCAGTTGGGGAGTGAACCATCACATGGAAGATCTCTCTCTCTCTCTGCCTCTCCTGTCTCTGTGTGACTCTGACTTTCAAATAAATAAATAAAATCTTAAAAAAAAAATCTCTGCATCTTAAGGGTCTTCAAAAAGTTCATGGAAAATGCACATTACAGCTTCAGCTCTTCTCTCTGGCTCTCCTTCCTTCTCCGCCTCCTCGGCTCTTGGGCTAGAATAGCTAAGGGTCAAAACGTGATGCGATGAATCCCAGAGACTGAACCTGGGACAGGGAGGGCAGCAGAAGCGGTGGGACTCGTGGGCATGGAGGCTCTACTACAATGGAGGCAGCGCCCCCAACCGCCGCCCTCCCAGCCTCTCCAGAGTGAAGCTCCCAAATCCCCTCGGGAAAAGGATGGCGGCAGCACCTACTCAGATAGAAGCCGAGCTGTACCACATAATCGCCAGGTTCTTGCAGCTCGGACCTTGCAACAAATCTGCTCAGTGCTTGTCCAGGGGCATCCGCTGATTCTGCGCCGCTTAGATTGGGAGGGAAAGAGCACAAAGAAGCTTGGAGGATCTGCATAATTCCCTTTGAACTGACTGTACTGCTTAACCTCATGTGTCCAGAAGAATTAATAATAATTAAGAATATTAAGGTGGCCAATATACATTCTTCCAGACTACCTCCTTAAAATTTGTGAGCGGATTGATCCCTTACTAGATAAGGAAATCCCTCAGAGTGTTCCAGGTGTCAGTCGGCAGCCTCTGTCCCGGGATGCCAAAGCCGGTAAGAGTATACTATGGAGTGGGTCTGCTTTTGTCCCTCTGCTTGGAGGCAGACCTCCAGAGCCACCTGTAAATCATGTGAAACCTCCACATGTGAATATCACCTCTGCCAGGCAATTAACCAGAGGGAGTGGCTTCAGCCATATTTTTCCTTCATCTGCATACCAGCACAAAAGATGCATAGGAGAATTCTGGGACCCTTGTCATCTGTATACTGCGTAGCATTTGACTGAAGTGGGAGAAGATTTTTTACAGGTTCAGATGACTGGTGAAAATCTGGGCTACAGATGATGGATGCCTTCTGACTACAGTTCGAGGACACTGCTGAGATTTCTGGCATGGATGTTAGCCATGAA